CACACCCTCCCATGTGCATCTCAAAAAACCTGAAGTACTCTCTTGGCAAAGGCAGAATATAGTCCCTGGAAACATCGATCCATTTTCGCATATAACTATTATAGCAACAACGCCTATGATAGCTGTGAATTGGTAGAGGTGAGTTGTTGTAGAAAAAGGCAATGTAAGAATTTGGATTTGCGTCACAGTTTCTAAATTCCCAGTCTTTCGATCCGGCACGGTATCCTTGTGTATTACGGTTCGCAGCAATGTCTTTTGGGAGGAATCCAACATAAATGTATTTCCCTAGAAATGGAGCATTCAGTGGTGTGTTAAAGCCCTTATTTTTGTCGACCTGAAGACTCAGTGAAACCTGTGACTTGTCCCGATTTAACTCTTCCATTGTTGTGCTATATCGCTTGCCAGAAGTCCGAAGGTGGACAACTTTGATTTCTTTTGATGTTGTGTAAAGTCCGCCCAAATCGAATGAGGAACCTGGGTAGTCTTTGATGTACGTGTAACCATGGAATCTTGACGAAAACTCACAGAAGACTGTGACCGTCTGTCTGTCCTCAGTAATCAGCTGATACTCCCCACTCTTGCTCTGTGGGTATCTGGATAATATATCCTTACAGGAACCTAAAAAACAACAATTGCTGCAAATTTTGAATTTACCAGGTGGCGGTAATTAAAAGCAAAATTTACAACGTAACACAATACTTAACAAATAACCCTTAAAACCTTTCAAATCAAGCATAGCAAATACACGTTTTGGTGTAGAATGATTAAAAAATGATAAGATAAAGTTTTATCTAAATTCTTTAAAAAAAGCCTCTTGAAAATTCAACTTACGATATCCATCATTGCACTTTGCAGAAATGAGAATGGGAATATTTAAAACCAAAAGACAAGTAACAAGGAATCTGTACTCCATGGTGAATACTTATAATTGTAACGAAATTGATCTTTTATATACTAGTATGCAGTCGATAGAATCTAAAGCAAGTTATTTTGTTTCACATTGTAGTACTAAGGTCCAATAGTATATGAAATGGGCGGGTACAATTCGATGCGGACGGCCGAGAAAACATTGGATTGAAATTCTAGTTTGAAATTCATTTTCAATCCACCTGAGTTGTTTTCAAAAGCAAAGTGTGAATGTATGACCCAAAAGACAAATAATTTCAATTCCCAAATACATGTTGGTTGAAATTTATATTGATATGAATTTATAGCCTATAATATAATCTTAAGAACACTGGTAAAAGTCATAGATGACATATTTTTTCAGGAGACGGCCATTTGATTCTAGAAGGGGTGGGGGGGGGGGTCAAAAATTGTCAAATCAGTTCATGCTTTGTACCAATTAATTTTTTAGGATAACAAGAGCTTTTTTTAGTTTTCAATGAAAAATGTTTGACAATTTTCTTATTTATTTCCAAGATCGTTATGCCCCCCCCCCCCCGTATATAAATTATACCAAACAGAAATCAAATATCTTTCTTTAAAACGCTGGACAGAAAATTCTGATTTACATCTTCATATGTATACTAGTATATTATTTTTAAACTATATTTTTAAACTAAATTGAAAGTATTTGTCTTCTGGGTCAATCAGTAATAATTTGCCCTCTAACGTAGCTGAGTTGGATTGAAAATAAATTTCAAACTAGAATTTCATTTCCAATGTTTTCTCAGTCGTCCGCTTCGAATTGTACTAGCCCATTCCATTGTCTATCATTAAATGTTTTGATTGTAACTGATAGAAATGACGTAAGCTGCATTTTTCCAATCTTGCCAGCTAATGTTCCGCGGTCTATTTAAAATTTAAATTAGAGAAGATAGAGAGCTTTTATTTTGTTTGGAAACTGAATATATATATATATATATATATATATATATATATATATATATATATAGTAATAATTCATGAAGAATCCTAGATGAATCTTTTTTGAATGATAATCTTGTTGAAGTACGAACTATATCATTACTTTTCTCTAAATCAATCACTGATGTTTTTTAAATTTTTTAAAATTATTCTAGTAAATTGTTATCATAGGTGTTTAAATGAAAAACTCGAAATCATTGGGTTCTTTTTAAAATCATTTGGTGAAATAATTGTTATTCCATAGATTTTTAATCATCTTCTTTGCAACACATGGTGCAAAACTTGCAAACACGGTACATGTATAAACAAATGCATGAAACCAAAGCAGCTGTTGCAATATCATAAATCATAAATATAAAGAGGGGGATATGAAGATTTTCGAACGGACTTTTGGGGAGAATGCAAATTTGAAAGACTTAAAATTTGAGATTTGAATTCCACCACATGCATTCTGTCTGCGTGTGTGGTGTGTTCGGGGGGGGGGGGGGGGGGGGGGAGCTTATCTGATTTTCTGGAACTTTTATTTCAGATTACATTAAATCTTAGTTGGTAACATTTAGATAAAATATTACCCTAAATCATAATTGAATATTAAACAAATATGGACTCAATGTAGGTCAATATACATTTATAATGAACTAGGCTGACAGACATTGACCTCAGATACATGGAGTATATCGACCGAGGTATCTGAGGTCAATATCTGTCAGTCTGGGTCATTATTAATGCATATTGACCGTGCATTGAGTCCATATTTATTATATTATATAAATAATATTTTCCCAAATTTATTAATACAATGTTTACCTTCGTAATGTTTACAGAGAAACATGTAGTATTAATCATTAAGGGCTGTTCAATAAATAATGTCCTCAGTGCTCGGAAAGAACCAAAAGACGCTTTTTCAATGATTTTGTCTTCATTATTTTACTTAATAATCTCCTGTAATTACAACACGTGTCCGTAACCTTTTTTATCCAATTTCTGATTGATTTTAGAACTCATTTTTGGGTATGACCCTTGGTATACTGGAAAATGGCAGATCCAATGATTCCCTGGACTTGTTTCTACCTTATCAAAGGTGGGTTTTTTTCAAGTTTGGAAATAGAAATAAGTCAAAAGGTCAAAGATCTGGCGAATATTGTTAATGTGAAAAAATATTAACTATCTGTGTATCCCGAAAACCCCTTTACTCTTCAGGGCGTGCAGGTTTGGACTCTTTCATGAAGAAATTTAATGTAGTGGATTCCTGATTCTGGGTCCTTCCTCTAATAAACCTTTCGATTTTTTTGCAAAAAAAATTGTTTTCTAGCCTCATCCAGAAATTAAACTGTCTCCCCGAATACGAATTTGAACAACAATACCACTAATATTTAAGAACATTGCATATAAATCTGTCTTTGTGCTCTTGCAATTCTTTGCTATCGCCAGACCTTCCCTGTTTTTGTCAAGTACATCTTATGGTAAATTTTGTTTTGAGGATTTTAAGCAATAGATTCAAGATCCATTATCTGTTTGAATATCCAAAAAACGTGGATAACTCCAATTACTGATATTTTAAAATAATTGTTAAGACATTCGTACACGTTGTCGTTTTCACTCATTTCTCAAAATGTAGGGTGACCTTTGAGTACTAAGCTTTTTTACCGTCAAAAGTTTCTTAAAAACAGTGTAAAGTACCCCCGATGTGATGTCTATCAAATTTGCTATTTGTCTTAAAGTCAATCCTACATCATCGAGTATTTTTGTTGAAATTTGGCAAACAGTACATAAGTGTTATAATTTTTTGTTGGCAAGGACGGTACTCATTTTTGATGCCCATTATATAATTTTTTATCCTTGAAATCCACCTGCTCATTTGTCATAAAACAGGTATTGGTTACTGTAAATGTCACATATTTCAGTGAATATTTCTTTGGGATTTTTAACAAGTTTTACAGCAGCTTTGTTTAAGCTTTTATTTTCATTCTAGTTTACCGATTCTTTACCATTCATTTATAATGCAGTGTCTCGAATAGCCCTTGTTTCCCAGCTTCTCACAATGAAACTAGGTGATGAAAAGTGGTCACATGAACTGTTATAAATTCATTAAAGATTCAATTATAAGAGAAAGCCAATTTTAATGTCATATGATATCTGTATTGTATGTCATACAGTTCAGGACATCATTTATTGAAAGCTAGCGCCCTCGGTCGATATACTCCATGTATCTGAGGTCAATATCTGTCAGCCTGGGTCATTATAAATGCATATTGACCTACATTGAGTCCATATTTGTATAATATCATTGTGTTTATGTCATCACCAGGGTGAATTCTGTCATTTCTGCACAAACAGCTGGACAGGCTATGTACATACAGCTTCTTTGAAATGAGAAAAAATCTTCACTTTTCCTTTCTCAAGCACTTGTTGCTTGAAATAAATAATAAAACATTTTCACTATTTAAGTAATAAGGAATTTACTCAACAATATAAATTAACAAATATCACATAAGCAAACAAAGTTCAGGGTGCATTACTGTACACTACACAGATATCAAACAAGTGTAAAATACCGATGACATCATCATTCACTTTATTATCAATATGTTTCAACATGACTCTGTTTAAAATAAAAAAAAAAAATGTCTTGCACGAATCATCAGAAACATGATGTATTTTCATAAAAATATACATGCCATTTAATAAAATACAATATTGTGACCAATTTCATTTGTGCTAAAAAAAAGTTGAATCACTTTATCACTCAAGTTACACCATGATATAGCATGATATAGCATGACAATACAACAGTGATCATTTCAATCATCACAATTTCCATGAACTCTTTTTATCATGATGGATTTTTTTTTCCATGTGCAAATATTGCAACAACAAAAATACAAAAAAAAAACCTGAGTATTTCTCTTTCAATGCACCAATATGTTGTCAACTATTTAAACAATGAAACAATATATTTGCTCACTGATATAAGTATGATAAAATTATTCAAATTAGCTATGTAATGGCTTTGCAAGAAAAAATGATTTTTCTTTATAAATAGGATCTCTCAATACCAAAGGAATTGTAATTATATTCCATGCTTTTACTTCAGGTAAACAAGATAGTCCCTAAGAATTGAAATAGGAGGACATATTGAAAATAGAAGGGTACCGGGGGTTCCTCTCTTAACTCTGAGTTTAGGAGGAATACCAAAATAGCTGTGGGATTACATCATTATTTATAGGCGGGGAAATTCCCTAGCCCCCCCCCCCCTCCACCCCCTGGGTCTTCATAACAACCCTGGTTGTACTATTTCCATAAACCAAAGCAAGGTAATTAGGGATTCGGCCAAGCATATATGTAAAATTGAGTCATGATCATATCTATAGTCTATGTCACAAAACACAGTATTAAACTATTTCAAAACAGGAACCCGCCAATGATGATATCAGTACATGTTTGAAACACAAGGATTGATATTCCCAATACTGATTACATTTTCAAATTGTATTAATTATTCTCCAAACTACACAAAATAATTTCCATTAAAGTCAATATTGTTAGCCGGTCTACTTTACTTTCCCCAACTAGATCTCTGTTAGTAAATGTACATTCTTACATGAAGATAAGGTTTTCATTTCTCTCTCCACTCAAATGAATTTTAACATTTCTAATAAAATCTACATCTAATCAATGGCAAATCAGCACCTATTAATTACAGCTAGTAAGCTATATTAGGGCCAACAACATTGACGATATAAAAAAATTGCACACAATATCCACTTGAAGAGAATTTGATACCAGTTCAGCACTACTGTGAAATTCACAAGTACATGTAAGTATACAATGCCTGACAATTCTCTTACAATCTACCACACTACTGAACACGGATTTGTGGGAAGAGCAACACTGTAGTTCACTGACAAATCTCAAGAAAAGCACTTCTTCACAGATTCTTCAAAGTTCGTGGTAATGGAGAATTCGAGGGGTTTGACTTCTACAGCATTATTTATGTCTCTAATGGTGTTCCATTCATGCAGGATGTCGTGGTAATGGTCGGCCATAGCCAGGTTATTAGTCGTCCTGTATAACTTTAACAGTCCTCTATAATCATATTCCAAACCGCTGTAACCTTCACCAAATAACTTCTTACCTGAAATAAAAACAGAATTAAGGGGTCTGTGAAATAAGGATATCTTATGTACCACCAAACTCCCTACCGTTTGAAAAGTTCTAATGCCACTAAATGAGAGAAATTCCTAGCCTTCTGAATTCTAGCATTAGCCAAGCTAAAACTCACTTTTAATAACAATCCAAAGAAGATTTGTCTATCAGTACTTACATGTAATTAAGTAAAAAAAAAAAAAAAAAAAAAAAGCAACCCCCCCCCCAAAAAAAAACTTATTCTTACCAAGAGCTATAGATCTAAGATAACTCTTACCAATAGCTATAGATGTAGGATAACTCTTACCAATAGCTATAGATCTAAGATAATTCTTACCAATAGCTATAGATCTAAGATAAAGTTTTTCAGCCTCTGCATATTTCTCCATATCATAGTTATAAAGGGAAGCTAAGTGTCCTACAGATAGCGCCACTTCATAGTCGTCCTTTCCTAGCAGTCTCTCTTTGATTTTTATAGCCTTCAGATGCATCTCTTCTGCCTCCTATAAAATATAAGATCAAATTTTCTTTTGTTGGAAAAAAAATTAATTTAAAATATAGAGTGCATATCAGGACTTTGTCTCAGTGAATCAAACCATGAATTGTAATGACATGCTTCTTTTATGGACAAAAATTTGTCCATCAATGTTCATATTTTTTAATTCATGTAAACTTCTTTAGGTGATGGACAGTTCTATATACATGTATAAACTAATGAACTACATGTATGACCTATCTTGAATTCATGTGCAAAAATACATTTCTATCTCATAGTATGCAATACCTTTATCTCAGAATCACTGACCTCATATCTCTGCATGGACTGATACAGACGTCCTAGGTTCCCATAATGCTTTGCAGTTTGTACGTTGTTTTCCCCGAAGGCCTTCCTGGCCAGAGCCAGAGACTGGAGGTGTAGTTCCTGGGCCTCCTGTAGATTCTTCTCCTTGGCCTCCTTAGAGAGACTGTCCAAAGCAATCTCCTCCAGTATTAATGCTGAGGAAGGAGAACATTTGCGGGTCAGTTAAACAAGTCTCTATCTTGATAATTCCATATTTGTCTAATCTTTAGCTGAAGTTGAATCCCATTATAAATCTAATTCTTTGCAAAAAATGCTTAGCTTTTGATGGACATTTATTGCAATCAAATGATATCTGCATAGCTACAAGTATTTGGGTACATGACACTTTTACTTTATAGATTATATTGTGCAAGTATCAGTTTTACATGTATGTATATTATGCATGTTTCTATTACTAATACTGAAAGACAAGAGGCCCAGGGGCCACATCGCTCACTTGAGCAATTGGCTAGAAAAAAGCACATATCAGATCAGAACTGAAAGTTAACTGAGGGCGGGGGGGGGGGAGGGGGCTTGAATTTTAACCCCCCAGGGGGTCATGATTTGAACAAACTAGAATCTACAATACCTGAGGATGATTCCCTATAAATATCACTAAGCATGGCTTTGAAGTACTTCAAAAGAAGATATTCCTATTTAAAACTTTTATCGACCATTGGGCCCCACCCTACCCCCGGGGGTCATGATTTGGAGAAACTTGAATCTACACTACCTGAAGATGATTCCACATGGGTTTCATCTTTCCTGTCTCTATGGTTCTTGAGAAGAAGATTTTTCCTATATATTACTATGTAAAACTTTGATAGGCTATTTTGACCCCACCCTACCCACGGGGGTAATGATTTGAACAAACTTGAATCTACACTACCTGAGGTTATTCCACATGAGTTTTATCTTTCTTGGCCCAGTGGTTCTTGAGAAGAAGATTTTAAAAAATTTTTCCTATATCTTCCTATGTAAAAATTTGATCGACCATATTGGCCCCACCCTACCCCCGGGGGGTCATGATTTGAACAAACTTGAATCTACACTACCTGAGGATGATTCCACATGTGTTTCATCTTTCCTGCCCCAGTGGTTCTTGAGAAGAAGATTTTTTAAAAATGCCATTAATTTTTCTCTAATTCATAATTATCTCCCCTTGGAAAAGGGCATGGCCCTTCATTTGAACAAACTTGAATCCCCTTTACCCAAGGATACTTTGTAGCAAGTTTGATTGAAATTGTCCCAGTGGTTCTTGGTAAGAAGATGAAAATGTGAAAAGTTTACGACAACGACGACGACAGACAACAAACAAATTTTGATCAGAAAAGCTCACTTGAGCCTTTGGCTCAGGTGAGCTAATAATGTTGATGATAGCATACCTTTTACTCTTTTAGATGAGGATAGTAACAAATGATCTTCTGGTAATATATGACTTAGTATCTCTATAGCTTTTTCTGCATGCTCCCTATAATAAAGTATATGTTGTAAGATTAAATTCAAAAAGAATTTGTACGTTGATTGGAAATGCCATATCACAAAGAACTTTGAAGTAAAATAAAACCATGCATACTTGGCATCATTAAATCTTCCAGAACTATATTCTTGTACATAAGAAGCATACGCCAGATCTTCGTGTCCTATGGCAACATAGAGGTTCTTGCCTCCAAATACCGACTGTCGTATACCAAGTGCCATCTAAAAATATTTACCAAAAAATTTTGACATTCTGTGACAAAATCAGTGTTCAGTGAACACCATTTTTTCCAAATCATTGGTCAATGAAGACATCCTCTGATATCATTAATACAGCTGCCAAAAAATTACCCGGTACAGATATAAAACAAAATTCTATTTTTGATCCCAATAAATATTAATGAAACCAGAATAACCACAGTACAAAACGGTCTTCATTGACAAAATCTAAAACAGAATTTATTTTTTTAGCCTATTATATTTGAGATGATTTAATGAATTCCTTGCATACCTGATATACTTGAACAGCAGCAGTTATTGAATCCACATTTAATAAATAAAATCCGTAATCCAGCAATGCATCAGAATACTTAGGGTGTTTATCTCCAAACTTCTCTCTAGAAATATTGAACATCCAACTCAATACACAGAAGATAGGTATAAAGAGAAAGAAATGCATGAACAACAGGATTAAGTGTGATATCTTACCTCGCATAACACACAGCATGCTTTACAAGAACTTCTGCCTTGGAAAATTCACGTTTCACAACACAAGCCTAAATAAACAAATATCATGGAAAAATCAAATATTATTTTTATTTCAATACTATTCAAGTTAGATTATTTCTTCAGTATTAAAATAAAAGAAATTTTAACATGCAAAATAAGCAAAATTATTTGTAGAAATGCTTGCCTTTTTTCCTTTTTACAGGAAAGAATAAATGTTTCTTACCTTTGAGCACTGCCTTAATACATCAACAATAGTCTGAAATAAAAATTATAACTTACCAGAAAAATTTGTCAGACAAGGAAACTTTGCAAAATCAACATGCATATCCTCAGTCACTGTCAGGAATATGTTGACTGAGAAAATGAATTATTAGGGTGCTTACTTACCTTGTTTGGTAATGTCTTGGATAATGCCTGTATAGCCCTTGAACAAAATTTTATTGCCTGAAACATACAAAACAAATGTGTATTTAAAGGTAAATTTTTAGTCTTGTTATAATTATTTCTCAATATACAGTACATGTATTTAAAGAGTAGTTATACGAATTTTGAGAAAAATAAATTACATGTATTTACATGCAGTTAAAATGTGTGGTCTTAACATACCTTTATGCACACAATACCTTTTAATGGTAATATCTATCACCATGTAATGGCACTTACAAACTGTTCTTACCTCATCATACTGACATTCAGCAAACAAAAGGGCACAGCACTCTGTGTAGAAGGCTGCAGCATTGACGGGTAAATTCAGGGACTGTAACTCTTCTAGGGTCTGTCTGGCTATCTGACAAGTCTGATCAGCCGCAGTGTATTTACAGTTAGCATTCTGTACATGCAGTAGCCTAAAATATAAGATTCCATAGTACTGATCAAATAAATTATTAAAAATTCCCATTTACTTTTGCTTTTATACTGTAAATGCACATACATTCATTTTCTCCACATGATAAATACTTTCTATCCTAATTTTAAGATTTCTATTTTAATATTTATCACTTTTTAAAGTGTGATGATGCCCAAAAGGCTCTGCAGTCCTGCATTGTATCAGAAGAAGAAGAAGTCTTTTCTATTTTAAGTAAATGTACATGAATACTGTAAATACATACCCAACACTGCATTCTAAAGACTTGTGTAAGTAAGCTTTATCCATCTGACATAAATTAAGGCAGGCTTTATATACTGTCTCACTGGCCGAGAACCAGCCCGCATCACAGAGAAAACCACCTACAAATAAACAAGTTGGTCAATCACATCAGGAACGTGTAGATACATTACTGTGCACATACTACTGTGGCACTTTCCCATTCTGCTCCATGCTTAAGTCTATTGTTTGGAATCAAAATCGTCAATAATCAATCTGTTTAGGCCATAATAAAAATATTCCTAGATTCTCATCCCCGCCTGCCCCGATTTTATACCCCCGCCTCTATTTTTAAAATTTCTGTTTTTCTTCGTCTTAATTCTGATCGGGATCGGCATTCATCTATCATTCTACTTTCGTTTTAAATTCCGCGAAAGTCGGAAAGTTGACATGATTTTGACAGCTGAAAAGATTGCATATTGCTGTAATACATGTGTATATATCTTTGAAACAAGGGTCAATGGTTGAAAAGGATTGGTGATGATGTGAAGTAAGAGATAATTGAACCTCTACTCTTCTTTTTAAAGACATCCTCACTGGGATAACCCCCCCCCCCCCCCAAGGCCACCTATTTTTGCTCAATCAATTATAAACAATGGGACAATTTTTCCCACATTAGTATTATGCTATACTATCTATTAAATATTCACATACAATGTAATTCCATTCAACAATAATTCCAGTCTCAGCAATAAAACCTCCCAAATTTTGATTATCGTATAACAGGCTAAGGGTAAACAAAGACAGAAATATCTAAGAAACATTTGGATATAACATGTTAAATGGGGTCTATGTAGCAGGTTATCTGATATATTGAACTACCTGTCGGATGACTACTGACTAGTATGAAAGGTATGTAAGAAAACTTTAAGAAAAAATCAGATCATAACATAAATAACCTCCCTGTTTACCAAACTGAAAGCCTAGCTGTATAGCTCCATCCCTTACCTAACTGAAAGCCTAGCTGAATAGCTCTATCCCTTACCTAACTGAAAGCCTAACTGTATAGCTCTGTCCCTTACCTAACTGAAAGCCTAGCTGTATAGCTCTATCCCTAAAGGCCTTACCTAACTGAAAGCCTAGCTGAATAGCTCTATCCCTTACCTAACTGAAAGCCTAGCTGTATAGCTCTGTCCCTAAAGGCCTTACCTAACTGAAAGCCTAGCTGTATAGCTCTTTCCCTTACCTAACTGAAAGCCTAACTGTATAGCTCTGTCCCTTACCTAACTGAAAGCCTAACTGTATAGCTCTGTCCCTTACCTAACTGAAAGCCTAGCTGTATAGCTCTGTTCCTAAAGGCCTTACCTAACTGAAAGCCTAGCTGAATAGCTCTATCCCTTACCTAACTGAAAGCCTAGCTGTATAGCTCTGTCCCTTACCTAATTGAAAGCCTAGTTGTATAGCCCTGTCCCTTACCTAACTGAAATCCCAGTTGTATAGCTCTGTCCCTGGCTGAGACATCCTGACACGTGGGGGGAGATAACTGCTGAGCGAACGTATCAGCGAGGGTATCAGAAACACTGGCTCCATGGTCCATCAAGGCCTGGAAGCAGTGGTGAAGTAAGTGTCTGTAAAACAAAAAGGCTGAATCAAAAACTATATACTAAACAAGTCTAATCCTAGGGCATTGAAAGTGCTGGATTATGTAAAATCTGGTTTTACAGTAACAAAGTTAATGTTCATAATGCAATATTTTTAAATTTACTGAAGAGTATTTCTTATCATTGTGGTATGTTTGATTTTTTTTTTCAAATATGATGCCTATAAAACACAAAATATTTAGAAAATATACCTTTTGTCATTAACCTTTAAAACTCTTGCAAATGTGTCCAACTCTGAAAATTCCAGGGCTAGCTGGCATATTCTTCCTTTGTTATACAACTACAAAATAGATACATTTCAGTCAATATGGTAACAGCATTGTAAAATTAAATGTGGAATTTATTTACAATAAACATTTTGAAATATAAGTGAAAAAAAAAATTATCATATAGTGATACTGTGTTATATGAAACAAGTGTTAGAAGACAGGAAGCTTTGTGTAATACTGTTGCCCCCATTTGAAGGATCATGGAAAAGGACTCTCAAATGCATGTCAAACTCTCAGTCAAGGTCAAGAGATCAAAAATAAAAGTACATGTACTCATAGAAAGTCATCATAAGGAAACAACCTATGAAATACAAAAGATCAGGCATCACCAGATCAAAAGTTATGGCCAAGGTTGAAGTTTTTCAAAACTAGGTCAACCTGTAAGGTCAAGGTCAAAATTAATGGTGCCTAAGAAAAGGGTCTTGTCCCAAGAAATATACCTGGGTTTTATGAAAGTCCTAGCACTTACTGTTCAAAAGGTTTTTAGAAGTAAGTCAAGTTAAACATATTTGTACCCAATGGAAAGTCTTTTCACATGGAATACCCAAGTGAAGTATGAAAGCCATTGCGCCAAAACTTAAAAAGTTATGGCCAATGTTTAAGTTTGGTAAGCTCTCTGCTTTATCTGTCCCAATTTTTCGAAGCAGATTGAGAGCCACAGTTCTGCAGCTAGAATCAATTTTGCAAATTAAATCTTTAGATAATCATTTATTTTGAGAATTGAGACACCAGTAGGATGGATAAATCTAGACCAACAAATTTATAAATAAAATACATGATTACTGTCTTGAAATATACCTGGTATGTGATAGTTGGGCAAGGATAAGAAAATCTGATAGAGGTTGAGGTTTCCCCTTTAATATCACCTAGAATTTGCGACCAGGGGTGTGCGATAACAAAAATAAGTTACTAGCCCGCCACGCTAGTGGCAGTAACAAAGTTACCAGCCTGAGGTTGCCAGTTACTAGCCCATTAACTACCGAAAACAATACATGTTCAGGTATAACATAAAGGTTAAAAAAAACATTTAAGTTGAAATAAAACAAATAATGGTTTGCGCTTTATAATTGTCAGGTAATTCTCCCTATTTTTATCGACTATAATTGTCACTGAAACGACTGGCGATAGCAACACACAATACATATATGTTAAAACTAATAAAAGATTATGATTTTACAAAAAAGTTAATTCGTACATCAATTCAGTCAAGGTAAATATATGTTTACCTTCGTTTTAGATTTACTAGCCTGACAGGCTAACGCAGTATAGATTTACAATAGCCCGACCTCTTAAAATTGGTAGCCCCATGATGCATATGGGCAATGGTAATTGCACAACCATGGGGAACCAATATCATGTACATGCATTTTGTTTATCCTGCAACCAATTTTACATTTGACATCCAAAACAAGCTATTTTCAACAGATTTACACATATATCTTTGCAGTTGAAACTATGATGCCATTGCATAAACATTGCAATTTATCCTGCAACTACCCCTTGCATTGACCAAATAAAGGTAACCTAATAAACCAAAGCTTTATCTGGTCACTGCCCTAATAAAGCCTCGTGCATGTATTCCGACGTTCTAAAAGCATTGTGACGTCACGCATATTGCAGTATTTACATTCACTGTGTTTTTCTACTAAGCCAACTGTGAAATTGATTTGAAAACCATTTTCGTGTATACTCACGCGTAGAAATATACACAGAGATAACGTATGTTAACGTGACGTCACAATAAGGCTACAGCAACGTCACAATAAGGCTACAGCTATGTTAGTAGAAAGAACAACGATATAGGGCAGCGAAAAATTCAAATATTGAGTATATTCTGGTGCTTTCAAATAGTACGTAAAATGTAAATATAAGGAATGTTTCTAAGTTTAGTGTGAATAATTGGTGTGTGAATCACACAGACTTGCACGTAAGCATATTTTTCATGAAGTGCTAGAGCGCTTCATGAAATATGCCTACGTGAAAAGTCTGTGTGATTCACACACCAATAACTCACACAAAACTTAAAAACATTCCTTAAATGTTTACGCCATGGCGTCACACTTTCTACTGCATAGACATGCCTAATTCTGTCGAAAACAGCTAGTCTTGGGCGTTTAATTGTAAAAATATGTTGCAGGATAAACAAAATACATAATGACTGTCTTGAAATATAAGCGATATTTCAGCTCGGGTCGAAAACATAAGAGGGCTCGGCAAGCCTCGCCCTCTATCACGTTTTCTTACCCTCGCCCAAATATCGCTTATATTTGACAGTATCCATGTATTTTATATATATAACGTAACAATGCTATGAAATTTAAGCCATGAAGGAACATGTCGATTTTCAAAAAAGTAAAAATTAATTTGAGATCTCGAATTACACAATCCGATCCCATGGATTATCAATCCGTTCCATGGATTTATAATTTTCAATCCAAGAGAACAGATTGTTTAATTCCAGATTTTAGTTTACTCTTACACTTTTTTGAAAATCCCAGTGTCACTTCATGACTTTGTATACTTTTCAATACTTAGAAATGCATGCACAGGTCTTTATCAGGGCATAAACCAAATATAGCTGTGATTGTCTAAAGTTACCTTTATTTAGTCAAATCAATGCAAGGGGTGGCTGCAGGATAAATATGGCTAAAGGTTTAATGGACCTGACTTAAAGTGTTCTTTAATTTGATATCCTAACACTGTTAGTATCACAAAACAATTTTCATGGCTGTATCCTGTTAAAGTTAAAACGATGTCATTTTACTGACAGAGTCTTCCTAACGTGTTAACCGTCCAAGTCTGCCTGTGGTAACTCAATGCTGAGTCACCATGCAATGATGGATTACCTCATATTTTTAATTTGTTGGAAATGGGAAGTCAAGAGACATCCGATCTCATACCTTTCACAACAGTGAAATATTCATACACTATCACAGTATTTATTCATTTATCTAACTATCTACATTTTGGGGAATTTCTTTCTTTTCTGAAGGGAATTACCAAATATATACCCAGGGCTAAGAATAACATTACGTAGTCACTGTGGTGACAAGTGTATTCCGGTAAAAATCCTACTTAAAACTTACTTTATAATAAATGTCAAACTGCACATCTTCTGGGAGGCTCTTAACTTCTCGTCTGTGCTTATTATAAGACGATACTGTGGCAGAAACAGCTGTATTATACAAGGAATCTGGTACCCACTCTAACGCACAAGCAGACGCCATTTTGGATTATTTGACAGGTGCGACATCTAATGTGATTTGGAGTTATCGTTCTTGTTTCCTTTCCACAATATTATTTTTTGCGCGAAAAACCAGTAATAATAATGATAATGTACAGATGAACAGATAGTAATTTTTAATAATTCTAACAAACGAAACAGAGAACATCCCCACTTCCACAAATTCCCTTATAATATTTTGCTTGGAGAACAAACACCAATAATTTTTTTAGACTATTCCTTCCACAATTTTCAGCATTTAAATAAAAAAAAATCATACTATAGCAAATGACTTCCTTGTAAATAATTGTAAAGTTAATAATTATCTCAGTATGTAAGAACATTGCAATAAGGACATGAGAATATTGTAACCCACTTACATGGCGTTACAGATCAAACACTCTTTAATCCTTCTGATAAGAGTTATGTCTATCACGATCATCTTCCTTTGGATGTTATCTAAAACTTGGAATACTGTATAGGTATACTGGAGCACATCATTACATTCTCAGTCTTCATCACATACAACTATATGTGCCATGAAATAGGGGAGGTCCTATTGATATCAATAGCATTAATACCAAATGGATCCGCAGATTTTTTCATTTCACTTTGCATCACCCCCTGTTCCTCCCAGCCTGGCAAGGTATGAATGATAAAAGGAAAATCATAACCTTAGCAAACAGCATAAAAAGCTACAATCTTTCCAGATACACTGTAAACAATTTTGAAATTATCTCCCTTCCCCCTACACTATTTACAAACAGCAATCAGAATTTCAGAGTTTCAGACTGTAGCTTTTACAAAAGAAAATAGCCTTTGTAAAACAATGAGTCCAATGTCCAATCGTGACACTTCATGGTTAAACGGGCAAACTACTACGATCCTGAGGTCAAAAATGCTGGTAGAAGGTCTTGTCACAAAAATACACTTTTTTCCCTTTTTTTTTTTTTACATCAAATATTACTGACACAAAGGTTTCTTTCAATATTTTATTTCTGCTTCATGTACATCATGGTTTAAATTTCAATGTACAAAAAAAAAATTGTAACACCAATGCATGACATCACAATGGTATAGTACGGGTATATATATTCACAGACACTATAATGGACGAGAGATATGTACATAAGCACACACAAATGAGCACCATGTATGCCATATCTCACAAGTAAAAACAAGTTTCCCCATTTTACTGTCATTATACACACAATTTTTGGACATATAGAAAAAAAATTCATCAATTTTTTTTATCATAATTAAATTGATAAAACTAGAATTATTTACATATTGAAATATGTATCATCAAGATTAGTGTTTATTTCAATTAATTCAATATCAAAATATGCTTATGAATCAATAACAAAACACTGCAATTTAAAACTGCTTTGGAATATTTCCTCTGTGTTGATTTAAAAGACATGTTATTCAAAAGAAAATATGCTTTAAATGACCAATTTTCATAATACACAATATTAAGAAAATTTTTATCTAAACTGTACTCATAATAATATATGCAATGTTACGCATAATCAATGTTGCTTATTCAATACAAAGGTTTGTTTTTTTTTTAAGTGAAATTTTTTCTTTTTCAAAAAAAAAGGGGGGGGGGTTGAGATAACATGCATCAATGCATTACGGGTAGGTACATCCTCTCCACTGGTATAGATCATTAAAAATGTTTTCGATGAATTGACAAAAAGAAATAATTAAGCAAACAAGTTCAGGTATATTTAAAGGCAGAAAAAAAAGTGAAAACAGTTCCAAAAAGAAGCCAATAGCTACAATATACGTCAACTACAAAATGCACAGATACATTCCACAAGACAGTTGCTCCGTAAAAATAAACAAATAATAAATAAATCAGCTTAGAATTCTATCCTCTTTTCTTACAACCTTTTGCAACAAAAAAGGATTGAAAAGACAGGTATGTATTGAAAAATTTATGTTTTCATATGTCTGTTAATTGTTACCGTAAGTAATATTGCTCAAAATCTTTCATATTTAATGATATCTTAACACTAATGGATACTTGTAATTATGGGATGCAAATATGTCAAACACACACACACACACACACACACACCAAAATTCATGAAAACAAAAGGAGTTCAATTTTAATGGACATCCATGTACAAGAAATTAACTATCAGGGCAAAAAATTCTCCAACCCGTTGTTGAACTCTCAGCAATAGTAAAATCACTGATCTTATATGTTCATGGAAACAGGATACTCCTATGCACTCCAACACTAAAGGAAAAAAAAAATTTAGGAAAAAATGTACCAAAAAGATTCAAAGTCAGTATTATGTATTGGGGAGGAGTATCTTGTTCCAAGACAACTATAGCTTGGACTGTTAGAATGATGAGAGAACAACAGGACAGAGTTATTTTCATTGTGTACTATAAATATTCTGTGGCATAATGAGAATATCATTAAAGGAATATCAAACTGTACATTGAAGCAGGGCACATCTCTGCTCAATAAAAAAAAAATTAATTCTAAGTAATAATTATCAAAAAAAAAAAGAGCGAATTTAGTCATTGCTTGAAACAAGTTATTCCCCTTGCAACAAAATACTACACAATCCTTTCACAAAACCAATGTAAATTGTGAGATAAAAGCGAGGTGAGGATACTTCATCCCAAGTAAAACCTGTCATGTCAGGTTTACAGCCACAATAACTGAAATAATTCATCCATTATCAAATACAGTGTACATAGTCAACAACAAACACAATCCAACTGCTAACAGCAGAGTTCAACTACAAGCAGAGGTTCAGATTTTTGACATAAAGAGCTATTTTTACACAGGGGAAATTTTATGTTGATTAAGAAAGTAGTACAGGAAATGGGAATAAATCTGTCTTCAAACTATTTCAAGTCTGTAGAAATAGCAAGGCATACATCAGAATTTATATCATGTGAGAAGTGTTTTAAGAATTTTCTCAAAAATTACATGTATCAAGTGATTCTGTACACGAGAAATTTACAATATTTACAAACAATTGGTTAATGATTTCTGTTTATAGCTAATGGTTGCTGTTTTCACTAGTCGTACGACTGCGATCAGTGGGAACATCAGCATCGTTTGTTGCATCCCGGGGTTTCCCCGTGCCAAATATACTGGCATTTCTAGTCCCAGGTGCTGCTGCTGCATTAGCAGGCTCTTTACTACGTGGTAAAAGTTTTAATTTAGGGCGCTGTGCCGCACTCTCTGCAATGAACACAACACAATTGTATAACAACAGTTTCTAAATTCAGACCTCCAATTTCATATTTAATCAATACCTCCAATCCATTCATTTTGTGAAACTGCAAAATATAGTTTTGACTTGCACATACACACCATGAAAGGATGAAAGATGTCACTTGTCAGGAATCAAGAAGTTCTTGAAGATAAAATTTAACTGTATACCAGAAAGGATGTCTACAAAATACTTCTGGCTATATGATACTCACCAGGTGAGGGTTCCCTTAGTTCTTCTGAGGGTCCACTATTCTGTCTTTGCCTGGAGCGACCACTGAAACCATCATGGTTTCTTCCACCACCAAAACCATCCTGATTCCTACCCCCAAATCCGTCATGGCGGCCCCGGCCACCACCGTAGTCCCCCCGATAGCCTCCCCTGTTATAGCCCCCGCGGTCTGAATACCCCCGGTCACCGCCCCAGTTGTCACCGCCTCGGTCCTGGTAGCCACCTCGACCACCACGGCCCCCGCGACCTCGGAATCCACCTGTAGTATAAAGAAAGAAAATCTTCTCTTTACTTTGAAACTTAACGTGTTCAGAGATTTGCATTACAAGTCTGATGTACTATACAAGCTTGTATCAGAGAAAACATTCATATACTTATGATGTGTGCTTGTTTGGTTTGGATACCTACAATTTCTCAATTACAAAATCAGTATATCTGATGTAGCATTTAATGCTTACATTAGATCATGTATCTTTCATTTTGGTTTGGATATTGCTTGTAAGCAAGCTAACCTATTATTAACAAAGAGTGTTTAAGGAGCCAAACAGGCATTATGATTCAAAGTTTGGTTTGGACGTTTCTCATTACAACCTAGAACAGACATGGAATCTAGGGCATTATACAAGATCTGCAAGTTGGATACCTCTGGAGATGGAATATTACCAAAATGCTGATTTTTTCTTTTTATCTATAGATGAAATACTGCATTTCCATGCTAACTCCAGAGTCCTTCTTTTTAATTTTCATAAGCTTTAATAATGCCCTCTCCTTCCCTTATCTTCTTATGTGAGGGAATGAAGTAATTATTTTTCATCTTCTGTTGTTACGTACCCCTATCTCTTCCTCGGTTGCCTTGGAATCCTTGGCCTTTGTCTTTATTTCTACCCTCTGCTACATCAACACGAATATTTTTATCTTCAAATAACTGAAAAATGGGGGAAAAAATTACTGTTTTTGTGCTTATGGATCTAAAAACCTATCAAAACCTGAAATGTTCAGGTACTAGTCCAACTCTAACTGGTCTAGTTTGTTTTGAGCTTATTGTTGAGCCCTAAAGTACAACTTGGTTTGTAGATAAGCTAAGAATTCATATAAATAAATACATGTACTTTAACACCAGATTAGCTGTAAACATTTGGATGGCAATACATGTACTTACTGCTCCATCATATGTGAGGGCTTCCTTTAAAGAGTCAATGTCTTCAAATTCCACATAAGAAAATCCTGAGAGCAAATGAAACAGGTATAAATATTGTATGCAAACAAAGACATATATATACTGGTACTGTGATCAAATTATGGCTACAAAATAGACTTTGAAAGGAAGAAAAATCAATTATTAAGTTGTTTTGCAAAACTTGACAAAAGGGAAAAAAAATCCTTTACCCACCTTTAAATTTATCTGTTTCTTTATCTCTGACTAGACGTACACTACGAACCTACAAAGAAAAGAATCATTTATTACACGTCTTCAATAAAGTGTTGTTGTCATGTATGACACTTCAATACAATGTGTACAGATATTAATGCATAATATCATGATACTTGGTCATTATGATTTGATCAGGATCTAAAACATAAATCAAATTTACATCAAATTTTAATCAGGACAACAATTTCTTCTATCAAATTTAAGGTCAGATTGTAAAAATGCAACTATCTTGCGCTTCCACATTATGCTTCAAAATTAAAACATTTGAAATTTCACAAGTATTGAATTTTTTTTTTTTAAATTTCATACCCGCAAGTGTTTGAATATGATTTCTAAGTCGCCCTGGACAAGTCCTTGAGGTAAGTTTCCTACGTAACAAGTGAAGGGTGGTTCTGTGGGTAGTGGTTTCTTCTCTTGGTTCCTCCCTCCTCTACGTCCTCCGTATCCACCGCCGCCGCCACCGCCGCTGTATCGATCCCCATAATCATTTCTGTAAAACAACATTCACAGACTGCAAAATGTTACATGTTATCATATTGTTTAAAAGCTTCTGTACCGCTGGCCAGATGAGATCTGTGCTCAATGAAAAAGAGATACTTTTATTATGTGTCATCTACGAAGCAGTGTATAATGTATATCCTGATATAAAGCTATACTATGTAGTTCCTTTTTGTTGTTCAACCTAGCCATAGGGACCATGAAATGAACAAATGCATTATATGTCATATAGAGACATTGGCACAAGTATTGTTTTGTTTTTCAGAGTTTCCGAAAACCAAATATTAAAATTCAAATGTAATGTGTTCTACCAGTCCAAGCAATTTTCACTAAATTTTAAAATATACAGTGTATATTTCATGTCAGATGTAATTCAAAGGAAATGGCATTGAATATGTAAAAAAAATTTGTGGCTCACAAACACTGATTCACACAGGGTTATGCATGCAACTACAATTAATTCAAGCATGGCATCAGCTCACACAGGCTTGTGGCAGCAATAAAGTCACTAGCCCAAAGTAAATTTTGGGGGAAAGAAACAACTAATTATAAAAAAAGTTAATTCTTGAAAAAGAAAATTTCTCAAGGTTTCTAGAATTGTTTAGGTTTTAAAGTTTAATTCTCACTTGTAAAATTGAATCATATATAGATAGCAGTTATGATAGAAATTCAAAATAAAAATAAATTTTAAATTATCTTTACGTTTTCTCAGTGGGTATTGCACTTCATGACCTATATACTGCATGTGTTTACTAATAACAGAGGAATTATTACTGGAAAATAAAATCGTTTTTGGAAGTAAACAAGTCAAGTAGTTGAAGTAGCACTGCAAAATGGATAAGATTATGGATATTTACGAAGAATAGGAGCTTGCTGCATTGAAAATTTTCATTTATGAAGATACTGCAATAGATCAGAGTACAATAAATTAATCAGGACAAGCCCTCACCACAATCGGTCACACGGACCGGTACTGTAGCGAATTTCATCGGACATTTCGATTTACTATCTGTTTTGCCGGCAGGACCGATAGTTTTCGGAAACTCTGGTTTTTCTGACCCAGTTGTTCTTGAAATTAAAATAAAATTAAAATGTTGGACACCACCAAATTTTCACTATTTCTAAATTATCTCCTCTTGAAAGTGGTCTTGGACTATATTCATGAACAAACTTGAAACCTCTTCACACAGGGATGGCATGCACTGGTCAACAACCAAGTGACAGCCTGATATTTCAATTCAAATATCACAATATTCTATGATAAAAATGAATGAGAGTTGCAGTGTTTTCCCTAAGAACGGCTACCGGCAAGATTGACCACTTCAACTGACAAAAATGCCGCTTTGAAATAAAAATTTGTTGTAAGGTCCATAGAGATTCTGTTTAAAGTTTGGATAGCCTGTTCAAGTATCTCTAACCCTTTACTTTGAAATAAAGGGAAAACACTGAGAGTTGGGTGGATTCTGAATTACATTGTTGTTACATGTATTAAGGTCTGAGTTACTAACAGCATCCTGAATTGTTTTTTAAGCAAATCATTTTACCAATAGGCTTTACATAAAAAAAAAAAGCAAACAAAAAAAAACCTGACAAATTGCATTCATCACAACCCCGAGTTTTCATGAAATAAACAACTCTCTGACATGCGAGACAAATATAACAGCAAATTGAATAATCTATATTGCACATAATTTTTTTGTTGTAACATAATGCTTTACTAATTAAATCATGTAAACCAACTTTCATTCGCGATTCGTCTATTTGAAAAAATTCTGCAGCAATTTATTTTCGTGACTGAGGAAATATTCTTCACAAATACAAAGAAAAATAAGTGGTTTGCAGCGAATAATAATCAGGAATTTTATAAGAGGTCGGAAACTTCCGAATATTTCTTACAAGCGAATAAGATTTGGTTTTACAGTAATATATTCACAAAATGATGACAAGAAAACAAACAATTAACAGAACAAATTTGTGAAAAACTTTCCCTTAAATTACGTTCAGTGAAAATATTCAGTTAAAAAGTGATAAAAATATCACTGAGTTTTTAGTATTAACTGTGCTATTGGTATTTAGCAACCTTTCTTTGAATAATGCTTGGTAGTGAGCAACACGTGTTGCATTGTTTTGCATGTAATCAACGGTGACAATATGCAAATCCAACAATAAGCTATTTTTATACACCGTTTCTTTAATGTTTATGATTAAGAGCATGTTATTTCTGCACGCTAAGTACATAAATTTTAAGTATATCTGTTCAACTGTCTTTTAAATTATCTTACCCATACTCGGCCATGTTGTAAAAAACTACATCCGCTACGCATGCGCAAAAAATACATTTGCTAAGATGTACATCCCCTATTTCGGAGAGACATTTGATTTTGTTTAATTTAGTCTCAAAGGGGAAAAAATTTCAAAATATTTTTTTTATTCTCAACTTAATTTGCTAATATATATTGGAAAAAAACTATTCAACTGCATCAATATTTTATGACCTCTACTTTACCCTTGACCATAGGCCTAACCTAAAGTTGTTTTTTTTTTAATTTGTGTATTAATTAAAATCCTTATAATTATTTCATAGAAAATTTTTAATGTATTTTATATAAAACTTCATATGCTGATACACATTGATGAGAGCTATACAACTTCATCAATCTTTTTGATATTTTACTCTTCTTTGACTTTGATGCCACTTTTTGCAAATCCATATGATTCATGAATTAAAGTATTCAAGATATTTATATTAAACCTTATATACGAGTATAAGATTTGGTTTTACAGTAATATATTCAAAAAATGATGACATTTTCCCCGAAATTTGCAAAACAAAAAATTAACAGAACAAATTTCAATAAAACACATTTTTCCTTAAATTATTAATGTTCAGTGAAATTATTCAGTTAATAGGTGATAAAAATATCACTGTCTTTTTAGTATTAACTGTGCTATTGGTATAATTAAGCTGCCTTTCAATTTTTTTGTAATTCAATTTCAAAATATTTGAGCAACACAAATAAATTGACATTGTTTTGCATGAAATATAATCAAAGGTGACAAATTTGAAAATTTCCAACAATAAGCTATTTTGATACACCATTTCTTTAATGTTTATGATTAAGAGCATGTTATTTCTGCACGCTAAGTACATAAATTTTAAATATATCTGTTCAACTGTCTTGTAAATTATCTTACCCATACTCGGCCATGTTGTAAAAAAACTACATCCGCTACGCATGCGCAAAAAATACATTTGCTAAGATGTACATCCCCTATTTCGGAGAGACATTTGATTTTGTTTGCGGAAAAAATTTCAAAATATTTTTTTATTCTTAACTTAATTTGCTAATATATATTGGAAAAAACTATTCAACTGCATCAATATTTTATGACCTCCACTTTACCCTTGACCATAACCTAAAGTTTTTTTTTTTTATTTGTGTATTTAAGGACAGACGAGACGTTCCTTAATAATAGATAAATTTTTCTAAGAGTTTGTCATTGAAGTATTGCTACTTAAACATGTTTACTCACAAAAAATTGAGGTACCTTACCAGGCATTTCTGCAAGAAATCAGGGGTAGTTTTTCTTATGTAATCCTTTGGGGAAGGAAAATAATTTTCCAATTTCAAATGTTTAAGTGTTTGGATTTTTTAAAAACGTTTAGAAACGTCTAGAAACTGGTTTAGAAATCAGAATGTTATTAAAATTTTGAATATTTTTCATACATTACAAAGATATACGAAACAGATTTCGAGGAACGTCTCGTCTGACCTTAATTATTTCAAAGAAAATATTCGGTTTATTTTAAATAAAACTTCATATGCTAATACACATTGATGAGAGCTATACAACTTCATCAATATTTTTGATATTTGACTTTTCTTTGACTTTGATGCCACTTTTTACAAATCATGAATTAAACTATTCAAGATATTTATGTTAAACCTTATATATATGCTGATAATTTTGGTACTTGAAAGTGGGGATAATGCATACGTGCAAAAAGTTTAGACCTTGGTCTCTCTTTTGACATATTTTCCCCGAAATTTGCACTTTTAACTTACACGTACGGTGTACATACAGTTTCATCTTTAGTTTCTGAGAGACGTCGTCCTTTTCTTTTTACGATGACCTTATCGCAGACCTCTGACATAAATATTAGGCCTACTTGGTTCTTGAAATTCTGAGTTAATTGTTTTTAGCAACATTGTGAAAATTTAATTTCGAAGATGGATTGAAAAAAAAAATTAAATAAAGTAAATACTGTATGTGTTTTTAAAAATTCTTTCACTTAACGATATTCTATGCCCCCATAATCGAAGATTTGGGGTTATATAATTTGTTGCTGTGTTCGTTCGTCTGTCTGTCTGTCTATATGTCTGTGTGTTTGTATAAACCTTGGTAGACTTAGGTAGTGAAAGGTAGATGATCATGATGATTGTCCAATCCTGGAGAAAGGTGAAATTCACCCGAAAATGTGTAAAAAATCCTGTTTTATTTGCTTGTCAAGTTTATTTTTGGAGGTTTAATTTTTTCTCTTCAACTTAATTACCACCCCCCCCCCCTTCAATTTGCTTCCGACGCCAATGAAGACCAACATATAAAACCATAACGCTACAGCTCTGCAGCTACCTTGTGACAAGGCCTTTCTTCAAGTCCCACCAAATTTGATCTCTAGACTTTGTCCTTAGAGTTTAATTGTAATGTCTGATTAATGAACATAAGAATAATTCAACGATAAAGTTATCTACAGTGTGACGTCACAACGTTAATTATGCGTTTTACATTCCCAGTAGAAAATATGAAAATAATTAAGCGTTTTGAAGACATTGACAAACGCACATGTGTTAGGTGCCAGGCATGATCATGGGTTCCAAAAAAGCCCATAAAGTTGACAAATCTCTGTTAAACAAATTTTGGCAATTAGCTGAATCAAACCAGAACAAGATAATACAAGCTTCTAAAGCTTTGGTTGATGACATAGACAAAAGACAAGTTGATAAGGTAAATATTTATCAGACATACAGGTCTGGTACTATCACTATATTTACTCATTTAGCTACGTAGCTTGATTTACATCCATAACTTAATATATGTATATGTTTATTCACCAGTATATGTACATGAAGTAGCAGTATTTAGCTGCCAAATCATTCTTATTTCTTTAAAATACATTTTCTGAGGATGTACAGAAAGTCTCATTTTGATGCAGTGATCACTAGATTTAGCTACGTAGGTAGATATACCTACGCAGCTTTATTTACCTACCTCAGGTAGTTTTATTTAGCTATTTCAATGCAACTTTTCAATTTTTTTCTTTTTATTAAAGATAGACAAAAAATCGCAATTAAATGAATATTAATACTAGGGAGGTTTAAAAAAAAACAATCCAAAGCAGAGATAGGTTATACATTGCTGCGTTTGGACAATTTAGAGCAAAACATGTAATTCCGTTGTTTGGTTAACTGTCCTCTCTCATGCATGCGGTGAGGCATGACTGAATATGATTACTTCACATTGTGCTGAATAATTACCGACCTATTGTCATGTTAACCGGAACTGGACTTCTTTGTCATTTCATTCAAGGAGTAACTGTTCTAACTGTCATACATAGCCCCCAAACTTTCAGAACTTTGATTGCAATTGCGCAGAAAAAGTCATTTCTCCAAGAGTGATTTTTTCATGAATTGTTTTCAGATGACTTCAAAGTTGAAAATGATCACTGCATCAAAATGAGAATTTCTGCACACCCCGAGAAAAATGCTTTTTTATAGAAATAAATTGATTTGGTAGCTAAATAAAGCTACCTCAGGTAGGTAAATAAAGCTAAGTAGGTAAATCAAGCTACGTAGCTAAATCTAGAGATTGTACCAGACCTGTTGAACTCGGAAAACAATTCATGAAAAAATTACTCTTGAAGAAATGTCTTTTTCTGGGCAATTGCAATCAAAGTTCTGAAAGTTTTGGGGCTATAAACTAAACAACAGTTACTCCTAGAATGAAATAACAAAGAAGTCCAGTTCTGGTTAACATGACAATAGATCAGTCATTATACAGCACAATGTGAGATATCCAATATTCAAGATACTGATATTTACCTTTATCTCTGCTTTTGATTGTTTTTTAAAACCTCCCTAGTGTAAATATTAATAGTCATTTACTTGCGATTTTTTGTCTTTTTTTAATGAAAAGAAAAAATTGCAAAAAGTTGCATTGAAATAGCTAAATAAAGCTACCTGAGGTATGTAAGTAAAGCTTCATAGGTAATTCTAGCTAAGAAGCTAAATTTTGTGATTGTACTAGACCTGATTGTGGTGGTTGTCCTAGCTATTATGTCTATATAGATCTCTAAATCTGTATATTAGTGATATTTTCTTTTGCCACTTTGGACAGATGCTTTATGTTATACTGTGAATTCTATCTTCGTGCATTAAAACTAATTTTCACAACAAACTAGGGACATTCGTGTCCTATATCAGTATATGCATTGGCCATATTTCTAGTTTTATGTGGATATGAATGAAAGCATTCATTTCTTTATAATAAAGTTTATCTTAGTTTTTTTTTATATAAGGCATTAGATTGTCCCTCATTTTTTGAACCATATTAATTTAATTATGATTTAATTTACAGTTTTCTTATTTTCTTTTTCTATTTTGTAGTCAGAGATTTGTGAGGAGTTGCAGTATTCCATTAACAGGCTCATTAAGGGCCTAGCCTCCAACCGACAATCAGCCAGGCATGGTTTCTCAGTGGCACTCTGTCAGGTGAATGTGCATTTAATTTCAATATTTCACACTTTCAGGAAACATAATGAATGCACTGTCACACAGCTCCTTTGTTTCTTGTTCATATGTAGAATTTTTTTGGATTGTAGAAAAAGTTTATTGTTTTCAATGTCTTTCATTTCAATTGTAAAATATTTTTAGCGATAAGGTTTACATTGAAAACAATTTGTCAATTTATGATATGAAAAAATTAAGTAATGCATATTTACAAGACTTTAGGTGACAAAAATTAAATGTTTATTGTACATACTATATGCATGATTATTTAGTTACAATTTCAAGGCAAATGAATGTGAACTTTTGATGCTCTGTAATTGAGGATTTGGGGGCAAATAGTTTTTGTCATGTCCATCCTCTTTGTACGCATTTGTTCTTAATAAGTTTAAGATTGCCCATTACTTTTGATAGGTTGGGCTCTGACTCATATTTCACATGTGTATTCCCTTTGGACAAGTACCACAATATTTGGACTCTTGAACTTGACATTGAAATTTCATCCAATTTTGCAAGAATTTACCCAAATTTAAATTTCAAAACTTTTGAACAGTTAGGGCAAAGGCTTTCATACTTCACATATTTCACATATTTCACAGTAAATGTATTCCATATCAACAAGACAAAGCCTTTTACACAAAGCATTTAGTGATGTACTTGATTTAGCGGAGGCTGCTTTCCGCGAAAGGCGCTAAAAAGAATACACAGCCAAATGTAATACGTTTACAGTATTTTGGCCTTGACCTTCAATCCATCCATCATCAGTGTTTCACAAACACATCTTGTTTTTTTTTAATGGGATGCAACTCTTAAGTCAAAGTATGAATTACCATATAGTGAAAGGAAAATCCTTTCAAGGGAAGACATAGTAAACATTAATGGGGTAAATACTGAGCAGTACATGTATATCAATATTGTGAAAGTTATTATTTAAAAAGAAGCTTTATGTTTGACAGATCCTCAGATCTTTCCCTGCAGTAAATGTTGATGTGATACTCGGTGCTGTGGCTGAACATCTCAAGTTTACACAGAAGGAATCCAGATCTGTAAGTAACTTCTCTGTTAGCAGTGAAACTCATATATAAATATTGGATTTTTTATTGCTTCTTCTCATTCTTTTAATTACATCTGCTCATTCGTGAAGAAGCATTTTAGACACTGAACAAAAACTATCAAATAGTATTATCAGTACCAAAACATTTATTAGATGGCACTAAAGAACTTGGTGTTTGAACATTGCAGGAGCAGGGAAATATATTACTTGGGAAGGTGTTGGCCTATTTGACCTTAGCTCAATCTGATCGAATAGCCAGTGCAACTCAAGAACAAGTACAGAAAGTTGTCCAGAGTCTGGTACAAGTCTGCAGAAACCGAGCTTACCTAAAACAGATTTCAACTTATGCCATATCACTCATAGCCTCACAGGTAGTATTGGACTCTCTCAAATGTTATGGTAGAGAGAGACCTTGATTGCATTAAACATTATGTTAAAATCTTACAGGACATCCTATTATTATAAAGAATGAAAATATGATATATATGCCCTTCTTTTGATGGAATAGGCTTTGATGCTCTTGCATCTGTACATTAGTGTTTTGTGCCTCGATTATGTTTTTCGTGCTTTGAATTTTAGGGACCTTGTAAACTTGTATCGTGAGAGAAAGGTGTGTTACAACTCAGAATTAGGTCAATGTAACTCGATTTGGGCATTTTATCTTCATATATTATCAAATCTGAGACTTGAAATTAAGAGAACTCTGCAAACTTCTCAAGGGATACAACTTAGTTAGAGGAAGGGTATATCAATTAAGACAGAGAAAATTTAGGAAATTACTGTAAACTTATTATATTTGGCTGTGTATTCTATTTAGTGCTTTTGGTGGAGAGAAACTTCCACTAATTCAAGTACAACACTAAATGTCGTGTACACATAGACATAAATAAGAACATTGAGAAATGCGTTAAATCAGATTTTCACTAGCATGTTCAAAAACCAATTTCCGCCAGATATCGTACACGCCAAATATAATACATTTACATTAAATCACAGTTATTGTAAGATAATCATGGACTAAAATGCATTTAAAACAGTGAGTATCAGCAAATTATTGGATACAAAACACTGTTTTGGGTTGGGATCACCAAGTTTCCTTGTGACTAAATAATAAATAAAGCAAACTTTCTTTTTCCAGGTGAAAGCGGACATCTTTAAAGCCTCAGTTTGGAGTGAGATCGAGGCTGACCTGACCCAGGGCTGGACGGGGTGTTCCCCAGACACCCTCCTCCTACTGCTGGCCTGTCAGAAATACCACCCGGTACAGGGGCTATAAATATCTTAAATACTGTAGAAGTACTTTTTCCTGGGTAATATAAATAAAAAGCGGTCACAAAATTTTAGCGGAAATTTGTCCAAGTGTGCTTAACATGCATGTAAGACATACATGTATAGTGACATTCTAAGGAATCTGCGTAATTTTCTACCCATGGATTAAACAGAAATTGACATTCCGCGGAATTATGACCTCGTGGAAAAAAGTACGTCTACAATAGGTCACACTTCTCATTGATTCTCTTATTTCTCTCTGAGATTCAGATGAAGTTTAGAATGACATATACAATAAACATTTCAGAAAACAGTGGACAAAGCCTTTTTGAAAACATACTGGGGATCATCAGTGATATTTTGTGCTGAGAATCTTAAACATATTTGGAATGTTATAAAGGTTTGTTGTTATTTGTAATAGAAGTAAATCTATATGTGTTTCAGTAAGAAGTGATTTGCATTTTTGTTACATATAAGCTTTAAATTATCCTAAATCTTTAGCATTAATGCAGAAAGCAGTTTATAGGAAAGTCATGTAAATGATGAAGACTTTATTTCTGATTTCTGTGAAGAAATCTTATAAATGTCTGAACCTCTGATAACATGACATTTTGATTTTATAATAATGAAGAGCTTTTAAGGTACTTTCATACCTGTTATATCCATAATGAAATGATATTTTTAAAAATGCTATAGTACAGACATTTTGATTTAATATAAACAGGCATACAAGTGTCAGCAACAGCCACGGTAATGAAATTTAAGGAAAGTTGTATTGGAGAATATTTAATAGTGACTGTGCGTGATTATTATTCTCTAGCTCTCGACATCTTCCTACCCTGTGATACACCTGATAAATGATGAAATTGTTCAGCAGCTGACCACAGCTAAGATTTCTTTCACCGATTTCTGGACAGAAGGAAGAGGTAGAGTTAGATTTCAACTAAAATACTGTAAATCACTTTTTATTCGCGAGAACTTTATTTTCGCGTAATTACGCGTGACAGTGTCCTCGCCGAAATTAAATTCTCGCATATAATAGTATTCCTTAAGATTATATAGAGCAATAACCAGAATTCGTGAAAATTTTGTCTCGCTAATCAAGAGTCAGTGACAATCTCGCGAAAATAAGGTATCGCGAAAATTTAGTGATCTACAGTACATGTATACATTTGTAATTCTTGTTTTTATAGTATGTTTTGTATTTTATTCAAGAAAAAAATAAACTGAAATTTTTGGATAAATGATTCCGGATCTGACCTACATTTTCTGGATGATTGACCAGATTCAATTTTTCTGATGAAGGTTCATTCCGAGTTTCTTTTAAGGCTATATAATCAAAATTCACTCCCTACTTTCTTTATGGCTATAACTCTCATGCAGTCAAAACTGCCATGAATAATGCATTTAAGGATGCACACTACCTGATTTGCTTCAGATGCTGAATCATACTTATTAGTGATGATTAAGAAACGAAAACTATTATGGAACAAGTTCATTCCCAAGTTACTATCCTACCCAGACCAAACTTTCATGTATATTGCATCTGCATACTAAAACATTTGTTTGGATTACATTGGTGGGGTGAGCTGTGTAATCTGTGATTATCTGTCCTTCTTTTTCTTTTCTATTTTAGATCTTTTGTTTAGCAAGGAACACCACAGTTCTGTGAGTGTGGGACTGTACCTTATGACAAAAATTCTGCCTCATCTGACAAGCCCTGAAGAGGTTAGTCTATGGTATTCAAGATAATGATGTTCAAACCATACAAGTCATAATTTTCTAATTCTGTTCCCATACCTGTATATGTACTTGATGAACTCCTACAGATTGAGTGCCTGTTACCTGCTAGTGTTGTGAGGGTCCTGGTTAAAGTCATAGACGGTAAACAGAAGAAAACTAATCCTGTCCACCAGGCTGCCTCCCAGTTTGTAAGTCTAGCTCACCAGTTTGTAAGTCTAGCTCATCAGTTTGTAAGTCTAGCTCATCAGTTTGTAAGTCTAGCTCACCAGTTTGTAAGTCTAGCTCACCAGTTTGTAAGTCTAGCTCACCAGTTTGTAAGTCTAGCTCACCAGTTTGTAAGTCTAGCTCATCAGTTTGTAAGTCTAGCTCACCAGTTTGTAAGTCTAGTTCATCAGTTTGTAAGTCTAGCTCATCAGTTTGTAAGTCTAGCTCACCAGTTTGTAAGTCTAGCTTGCCAGTTTATAGCTTGATATGTGGTGGTTGGAAATGAAAAGAAGACACCCCTCCTTTTTTAAAGTCTTTGATAACCCAGTGAACAAATCTGTACTCCAGTCTTGACTCTTGATGTTTTCTTCTCTTTAGATGAATGGGTTAGTCGCCTATGTAAAATCCTCAGAAAATACAGACAATTCTATTAAAGTGCTCCACTGTTTCCATGAAACACAGTGTCCAAAGGGTGCCAATCTTACACGGTCCTTGGAAACTATCATTCAATCTGTAAGTGCTAAAAAGAGAGGAAACATATCTCTTCAAATTCATTTGTTTACATGTAGGTATAATTCTACTTTTTAAAAAAAAATTATTTCAGCTTAGTACAGAGGCAGCTAGACAATATGGAGAGAATTTAATGAAAACATTCAAAAAATATGCCAAAGAGTAAGTACTGATTGATGGAGATCAATTAAATCTACATACTAAAGTACTCAGATCAAGTCAGTATAATTTAAAAGTCTCAAGAAAAGATTCCATGGTGAATATTATGACATTGTGTAGATCTACTGACAAGTCTAAGCTATTATCCATCTTTTACCATTAGCCCTAAAGAGAACATGGTGGGGATTCAGCATGTGGCCACCCAGGTCCGTATGCTAGTGACCCTCCCCAGCACCTCCGATGATCATGCCTGGCAGCTCCGCCTTCTACAGTTCCTGGGTCTTCATTCCTTCTGGACGGTCCAGTCCAAGTCCTCCGAGATCCCACATGTAAGTTGATAGGGGATACAGGAATACTGTAAATACCTGTGTGTTTTAGTGGCTTCTAAAATGTTCTAGAGCTAATGCTCTACATAAGATTCTATGAATTATCTACAAAGTTTTCATTGTATTGCCCTAAAAGATCCATAACATCATGAAAACAACTACTTTCCCTAGTTTAAATCTGTTGAAAAAATGTCTCGGACTGCCATTGATTTGATGAAAATATGACTGTCTGATTTCTTAACTGAAGAAATCTTTAAAATGTCTGAACCTCTGATAAATGGCAGTATTAAAAGAGTCGAGAACATCTTGTAACCATTATTTTTTTTTGGGGGGGGGGATGAGGATGGTATTCAAATTGAAATCGGACATTCTAATTTAATTACAGTGTTCTTTCAACACTCAGCCAATGGAGGAAAAACTGAGGAAGGCATTCCAAGACAACTTTTACAAAGCTCTCAGTAACCTACTGAGCTATAATACAGGTATATATACATGTGTCACATGGATTAACTTTGACATTCAGTCACAGCTGAGAGGAAATACATCTGGAAAGTAATTACAAGTTGGGGAACTTAATGAGTTGTTTCTTATTATTATTATTATTTTTCTTCTTCCTGGGTAGTCCGGGAGTGATTAAAGCCATTTAAATTATTTGCGCGCACGTGCTTGCAAGAGCGTCGTGAAATGACCGATTTAATTGATATGGGCGAAACTTTTTACATTTTTGATGAAATGCTTTGAAACTCATTATATAAGGATATATTAGTACCATAGACAATATGACATGGTGTAAATAGCAAGATCTCACGCGCTCTGATTGGCTGAAACTAAAGTCTCAATATCTTTCTTGTTTTTTAACGAAATCTTTTGAAATTTTGAACATAGCCACGCTTTAGGATATCCTACAACATGATATATAGCAATCATCATGAAAACACGTGCATGCACGTGTGCTTCAATCTGATTGGCTGAAAATTTAAACAGCTATAACTCCCTTGGTTTTCAACCAAACAGAATGGGATTTGGAACATAGATATATATAATGAACTTCTACATGAAGGTATGGTTACCATGCACATGCATACAGCTGATTGGCTGAAACTTTAAACAGCTATACTCCCTTGGTTTTCAACCAGAAAAGTGTGAAAAATTAGATATATATAATGGACTTCTAGAAGAAGGTATGGTCACCATGCACATGCATACATGTGCGTGTACGTGCGCTGCAATCTGATTGCTCAAACTTTAAACAGCTATAACTCCCTTGGTTTTCAACCAAACGGGGTGGGATTTAGAACATAGATAGATGTAATGGACTTCAACAAGAAAGTATGGTCACCATGCTCATGTATGCATGCGTGCATAATGACCTAATACTTTTGAATTAAATACTTTCATATTTAGCATATTAAAATTATATAGATTGTGTAGACAATATGATATGTCATTACGCACATACATTCACATGCGCAATAGTGCAATGATAAAATTTGAATGAACATGGTACACTTCTGGATAAACGTTGTTTAAGTCTCCAATGCATAGAGTTTGTCATTAATTACGCTTACACTATACAGAGAAATTAGCACTAGTTACAAGTACCTTAATGAGTTTCTCAGATTAAAGCCATTTAAATTATTTCAGCTTATCATTTTTTACAGAGAAAACAAAGACCTCCTCATTAGATATATACCTTGACACGGCATGTCAGCTCTGTAAATACTTCCAGGTACGTCAGTCAGGAAAGTGTGAAAAATTAGAAAAATATTGTTACTTTTCATAACAGACCATGAGCATCTAATGACCTAATGGTTAGCCTATGAGGGTTGGTCCCTTTGTCTATCAGTCTATACAGAGAATGTAGAGGACCTAATATTGGAAATGAAGAGAATAATGCTGACAGAAAATATGATATATACCTGGTAATTCATTCCAGAACTTTCTATTGTTGAAGATCTTTACATGTACCAGGTATTAATTTCAGTGTTGTTACCTTTTTGGAGTAAATAATTAAAATGTTTTGAATATGAAGTTCATCAGTGATGTTGATTTGATACTTTCTGGCATCTCATAAATTTGTGTGACTGCATTAGAAGTGTTATAGTAAATATTGAAAATTTTGGGTAGTTAATCAGCTAAGAGTCATGCACATGATGAGATTTTTTTTTGTTCAGATTTCTATGAAGAAATCTTATAAATGTCTGAACCTCTGATAGCATGACATATTTTGTAGAAAAAAAAATGGGGTGATTACAGTCCAACCTGATTATCTTATGCAGAGCTGGAGCAATGACTTTCCATATGTGGACCCCAGTTGTCACATACATATTTTATCTGCTCTGTAAACTTTTCAAACAATGTTTCAAAGATGCTTACATTAGGTGAGATATAATTTGAATTCAGTTTTGAGTCATGAATTAGGGTTGCTCTATGTTTGTTTCCAGGATTTAATAGAAGCGACAGAAGTGGTAACTCCAGTCCTGAGTTTTTCTGAAGACGTAAGCTAGCATTCCTCTGATAAATCAGAATTTTGTTAACATAGAATGTTTCTCATCTTTTTCTTTTATTTTGTACAATGTGTTATGTTATATTATAGGAGATGGAACAGTGGGTCAAGACAGTTCTTTGTTTAATGGGAATGCAGGAAAAGGTTAGTTTTTTCTCCATTCAAAAATTTTAATAATACCAATGAATACTACAAAATGTTGGATTCCAGTGGATACATGTATTAAACCATTCCTGTAAACTGGTGACATCTTGTTGTAGAATACAGCTAACAATCCAGAGAGACTGGACATTCACAGAGCCTTTCTCTTGTTGTTTGTGTTCCATGCTCTCCATTTGTTTGTCTCCAAAGAAAATTCTGTCAGTGCTTTACAGGTAAGCTCCTTTTATTCATTTCTGCTTGAATATACTAGTATACAGTAGTGCAAAGATCTTGATTTAAGTAATTTCTCACTAATTCTATACTTTCTTTAACATTTTGTACTGCTGAGAAGAGAGAAATGATTTCAGTGTAAAAGCTAAAGAAGAATGGGAAAAAAATCTGTGAAGTTTAAGGTCTCCTTTCCCACACATTTGTTGAGAGACGGGGGTGTCATTACTTGAAACACCCTTAACTTATTTATTGCATTTACCTTTGGCCCGGATTAGCAAAACTTGATGGACCCAAATGCAATGAGCAAGAACTTGGAGTGAACATCATGTAAAATGGGATTTAATCTACATGCTGAGGCTAATTGATTATATTATAAGAAATGAAATCTTTAAGGTTGTTTACTAGTATCTGATCTTGAAGCACAGATTTGTACTGGCCTGTACTTGATTTTTGTCTTGATAAGAAATGCAATTAATTGCATTATTCTCCTGTCCAGTTACCAAAGACTTATGTACCATATTTAGATTTTTTAGGTCACCTGAGTCACTCATGTGACCTATTGCTATCCGTTTTCGTCCGTCAGCATCCATCGTCCGTTGTATGTTAGCATTTGAACATTTTGACCTTCTTCTCTGAAACCACTGAACCAATTTCAACCAAATTTTGTATACAATTTTGTATACAAATTTTCTATGGTTGAAGGGGAGCAAAAATTGTGAATTTCATGGTCCCTGCCCCCTTTGGGCCTGAGGGGTGGGGCCAAAAACCACTAAAATTAATGAAATTTTTTAAAATCTTCTTCTTTACTCCTGGACATCAAGCAGGCAAACTGTTAGCATGAATGTGATGAGCATTGAGTCCTCTACCAAAATTTTGAAATTCATGGCCCTGGGATCAGGGGTTCTAGTGCTAGGTTGGGACTATATAGATTATATAGTGAAACTGCATTATTTCTTTGAAAATCTTCTTCTCTGCTCCTGGGTATTAAATAAACTAACTAAGTACATAGTTATGATGAGCAAGAGTGCCTCTTCCAAAACTGTGAATTATATGGCCCCAGGGTCAGAGGTTCTGGTGTTAGGACGGGACTCTATTGATTACATAGTGAAAATGCATTAATTTTTTGAAAATCTTCTCTGCTCCTGGGTACTAAATAAACTAACTAAGTACATAGTTATGATGAGCAAGAGTGCCTCTTCCAAAATTGTGAATTTTATGGCCCCAGGGTTAGGGGTTCTGGTGTTAGGGCAGGGCTCTATTGAATATATTGTGAAAATGCATTAATTCTTTCAAAATCTTCTCTCCTCCTGGGTAATAAATTAACTAATCTAGTATAAAGTTATAACGCCTCAACCAAATTTGTGAATTTCATGGTCCCTGTGTCAGAGGTTTTGCCATTTGGTGTAAGGGGGGGGGGGGGGGCTCTTTTGATTATATAGTGAAAATACATTAATCCTTTGAAAATCTATTCCATTACTCTTGTGTATTATGCTAATGATCCAAGGATATATATTTATGATGAAGAAAGGTGCATCTAGCAAAATTTCATGCCCCCTGGGTCAGAGGTATTGGAGGGGGGGAGGATTACATAGTCTGAAAATAAATTAATGCTTTGAGATCTGCTCTTTGGTATTAATTTATCAACCATTTATGATGGAATAAAATTTATGATAAAATTTCCAAAATTTTGAAATATGTGGTTCCAGGGTCAGGGTTCCTTTGGGGTGGGGTGCACAACTGGTTATAGTTAAAAGTGGAAGTGCATTTCTCTTTGTTACTCTGATATACCTCTAGGTATTAAGTAAAAAGAGTAAGCATGCTAAGTTTAAAATTATGATTAACAATGGTGCCTCTTTCAAAATTGTGAATTTCGTGGCCTCTGGTTTAAAACATGAACCAAATTCAATTGTTTGAAAGTTGTTACATGATACTGAGGTGACCTATAAGGCCTATGGGCCTCTTGTTATTCATAGAGCTGTTGACAGAGAGAAGCAAACAAATTCTGGTTATTTTTTATTCAGATATTTTATATATACAACTTCAAGAAGTACAATATGTTTTTATGCAATTTTGATAAAATTTCAACTATAAAATAGCAGGTTTGAATTAAAAAAAAAACCACCACAAGCTAATTAGATTTACATGTAAATTGTGAATTTATAACTATATGTACATTTATTTGTATAATAAACATCCCAATACCTGCAGAATAGATAAAATAAATTAAATCTATTAACATTTTACACTATGAGTATTTAGCAATTCTAACATAATGCTGAATGACATATTCTTTGCTGTACCAGAAAAGGAATAATTTTAGGACACTTGAATTTGTCAGCACATGTACTTCCATTTTCATAGGAGACACAAGTGGTACATTTTCTCAGATGAATTTGAAATTGTCCTACGAGTGACGATCTAATCAACATGATCAGATGACTCTTCAAATAAGTTGAAACAGATAAAGAAGGCTTTGTTAGTTTCAAAAGGGGAAAAAATTATAGTTGAATGACTATTTTTTTCAAGGAATCTTCTTCATCATGAATCAACCTGTAACGTCCGATTTTCCCTCCATTACACCCCACCCACAGGTAGTCATTGTGGATCCCCAGGGACCAGGGGTCCCCCATCAGGTTGTCTTTAGTCAGGAGGTAGGCGGCGAATTCCCCCTCAGGGGTCAGGAGGTGAACGCAGCTGTTAGTGTAGTCACTAACAATTATGTTCATTTTGCTGTCACAACAAATGCCACAGGGGTCAAAATTTAAGGTGTTGCCTTGGTAACGACACTTGAGGTTTCCATCTTCTGTGATGATGCAAACTTCACCCGAATCAAAGCCAGTGCGATTAACAACACAGATGTCTTTGTTGTGATTTTGGATGATTGCATCAGGTCTGTTAAATAGAGGAGTTTCATCATCAGATAGTTCATCACATCGGTATATTGAGATGATGTCACCTTTAAGACTGTAATGCCGTACCATTCTTTGGTTAGCATTGGTGGGTTGATAGGAAACAGTGTCCTCAAGGGAAACTAAGACACCTGTCCCACTTTCATTATTTGTGACACATATTCCACAGGGCCGTAATGGCCAAGTGGTGAACAGTTCAACTACTTCACCAGAGAGGTTCACATGCTTGACACACTTGTTCTGGTAATCTGTGAACACCTGAGTGTTGTCGGACAACAGAGCAAAGTGAGCACTACATTGCTGCAGGTTCACACTGGACAAACACTGACCACTCCTGTCCACTAGATCACTCTGATAGGAGAGTGAGGAGTGGATCCAAACCTTTTCCTCAGTCTGGGGCCTCAGGGCTAGAATCATGTCAAATCCATACTCAAAATGTCCTAAGTGGACTATGTGCACATTGCCATCTTTGATTTTTGTCTGTGAATCTTTGGTTAATAGAGCCTCATGTAAGTCACATTCAAGAGTCTTATCTGTCAAACTGAGGACTTTCATGTTCCACTCAGATGAGATTTTTTTGCTAATGTCTAAAACACAAATTCAAGTACCTCTTGATGTAAAGCATCTCTGGAATTACGTGCACATGTAGTGGTTAACGAGATCCCCTTGAAAACGAGCTTATATAGGAGCCTGTATTACATGGGTTACTTCCTGTTGTGTAAGTGTCGCATGTTTACTTGTGACAACAAGGTCACATCCATTATAATACTCAAGAGTGTTGACTTTGTGTAGAGGGATGCATTGTGATGTTTGCTTCATTCACGTCAAGTAAGTGATATAATAATGAGGCAGTATGAGAAAAGAACCTGTTACAATTTTGTTTGTTTTGAGATGACGTTATGTTTACATGGTGTTATATAGACAAGGTAGGGGATGTTGCATCAATATACAAAGACGTGTCCTTGTTGGTTAGGTCAGCTTGATGTCATTTGTATAAACATTATAGCGTCTCCTCCCTTGACATTAAAGTTCTTAATTTATGACTTTGATTACTCCATTTGAATGCATGCTATCTTCAAATATATACAATTATCTACCCACAGTAAATTTTAATAGCTCTTCTGTGAGGGGTCATTAGATAAACAGACATCATTCGAATTAGTTGAACTTTTTAAACATGTTAATGTCTTCACATCACACTCAAGGATTGTTACAAATCTAAATCATTGAAGAAAGGAAGCAAGCTCTCCGACTATACTGCTGTAGTCACGTTAGTTGATTTATGCTTGATAAATTTTAGAAGGTCCTTACATGTTATAAAGGAATCGGATATCATTGTCTCAAGCCAAAGTACACATTCAGCATGAAGCTCTGTCCTAACTGTAGTTACTTGAATGAACTTGCCTCTATGATGTGGCATCATTTTCAGCCAATCATCTGATTTAACAGTAAACAATAACTTCTGTTAACTGCAATTAGGTATTGAAAGGTCACATTAAAGTTTTTTTTTTTCGTTCTAACTGTGCTTTACTAGCATTTGTCAATATTTTAATGAGCAACTCTGAGGAAAAGATGTATTTGGAATCAAAATGTGAATCCTCAGATGTTTGAAATGACCTTTGCATGCCAAACTTTGAGGCACCAGTCCTTCAAATGTGAACCTTCATAAAGAGAAAGTTTTGAAGTTTTGAGGAAAATGTGATAGATATAAATCATGTCGACCAAGATCTTGATAACTTCAACTCATATAATCACAAAGCCATTTGCTTTATTTCTTTGCATAAATCATTGAATTTTTATCATTTTAGGATATACACATATGCTACAACAAAGCTGTGAAACACAAAAGAAGATCTACAGTCAAGTCTGCAAAGTCAGGTCAGGGAGTTTTCCAATAGATAAATATATACACAATTTTTTTCTAAAAATGTAGAAAGTTGAAAATATGATTTTAATATTGAATCTTGCAATGTGTTACTGTATTTCATTTAATGTTTTTCCTAACAGAGCCAGAATGGATAGAGGTGGTGACGGAGTTATTACAGAGTATGATGTCACAAGGGTCCAGCTTTGCCAGACTGGCTGCTAAGACAACCTTTGGTTGTTTGACTGACCATGTGACCCCGGACTCACTAGGCCTCATTACAGACGTAAGGACAAGACTGGCCTGTAACCAGTGTTGTTGTATACAGTATAATTTTATATATTATATAGAAAGTGCAGTGCACATAATGTTGGATGAAGATGTATCTAAATTCAGATAGTTAATTTTGGGGAATTCAAGGATTACTAAATATTGATAGTTTAAGATAGTGAGAGAACACAAGAAATATTTTGATGTATGTGTATATATATTTTTTTTAATTGGCACTGTAATTATCTTTCAATAACATGCAGGTAAGACATGTTGGTCTCTGTCACTCTATAAATTTCAGGTACTCAAATCTGAGAAAGGAGATGAGAGTACACCAATCAGCTTTGAGGATGAGAAAGAGGGTTAGTGTATTTAGTTTTATTATCAAAATAAATCTTATCGAATATATATATAATCATAGTTACATATTTATTTAAGAATAAGCAATATTTTTTGAAGATATGTGTTTTAGTATCAAATGAAATGCAAGTGAGCACTGCTGCCCATAGGCCTTTATATCAATTTCTCCATTGGAAGAATGGTATAAAATTTAATTGTCTATATATGATAGAAGATGTATCAGATATGGAAAATGAAGATGGGGAAAATGGACAGGAAGCATTAGAGGATGAAGAAGAAGAAAAAGAGGATGAGAAGACAGATGAAGAGGAATCAGAGGATGAGGAGTCAGAGGAGTCATCATCAGATGAGGAGCGGGAAGAGGAGGTGAATGAGGAGTTCAGGAGCGCTGTCAAGTCGGCCCTGGGGGAGGCCGCAGAAAAATCTGACAGTGAGGAGGAGGTAAGGATCAAGTTGTTTAGGTGGAGGATTGAAAAGTCTCGGGAGTGAATAACAAAGTTAATTTTACGATGAGTTTCAAAGTGGCTTAAGACAGAACAAATGCTTGGAATTTTTACAAACGTAGAGATTAAGCAAACTTTAATGTAGACTCCATTCATCATTAAAATCAACTTGAGGTTAAAAAAGAAAGAATTTTGAGTTGATCTAAATTCTTGACCTGTGTATTTACAGTCTGAACCTGACCTGGACGATGAGACAATGTTCAAGCTTGACGGAGCTCTGGTTCAGGTGTTTAAAAACATGAGGAAGACGAAAGAAGCAGAGGCCAAGGAGAATAAAAAGCAGCTTCTGGCATTTAAAACCAGGTACATGGAAAACTGAGTTACATTTAAAATAGTGAGAAAAAATGTAAATGGACTTAATTTCAACAAATATCATTAACAGTGGGATGTTGTGATTGATTGAAAATTTTAGGGGGGGGGATAATTTAAGTTACTCTATGTGCAGTTTTATATTTTGTTTTCTGTAGAGTGCTGGATTTGGTAGAAATTCTAGTCAAGAGCCAGCCTCCTGCAGATTTAACCTTGGTAAGTATGATATGATTTTCATTACATAGAAAGTGTAAAAAGTGACAAGCTACTTTCCAGCATGTTAAGTTAAGTTGATGCATCATTGAAGTGTCTATATATCATATTTTAACTTTGCTTAAAATGAATTAATTTTCCACGACAATTATCAACAATTTTGAAACATTTGAAATACTTACAGTACATGAGTTTATTTGGTAAACAAAGCTTTCCCAAGCATTTGAATCAAAAGACTTGGTATCTTTTCTGTGTGATTGACCTACTTATGATATAACTATTGTGTACTTACAGGATCTGATCTTCCCCCTGTTGGAGCTCCTGGCCAGCACAGAGAAACACAAGGAGGGGATGGAGGGGGAACTGGGAAAAAAAGCGGGTAGTATGTTCAGACTGCTGTATAGAAAGGCCAAGGTAGGTCAAGTCTGTAGGGAAAAATTCTGAAATTCACTGATATTTTAATGTGCTCTCAATATGAAGGTTACCATCGATATGTTTGAGATCTCTGACAAATAAAACCAAAATATGTATGTTTGTATTATATCAATATTTCAATGAAAATGCAACCATTTGTAGATTCATGGTAATATGGCAGTGTCCAGGGATCGTTACTTGGAGGCTATGAACAATGCAATTCAGTTCTCCACAAAAGGTTTTTTTTTTTTTTTGACAAACAGATACATTTTTGTAGATAGTTGATAAAAGGGCAAATAAGCAATTTTCTTTTTCTCCTGTGCATAGCAAGGCAGTCACATCTCACAGTTCAACCAGTGAAATTTCATTTCAAAGGAAAGTAATAAATTTTGTTTTCCTTTGTTTTAGTAACAACCAAACAGATTGTGAATGATGTGTCTGATGCCTGCCTCCTCGTGGTAAGAACAACAATTCTTTTTTTTTTTGTTTTGTTTTTTTTTTTATACCCCCCGCAAACGAAGTTTGGGGGGTATATAGGAATCACCTTGTCCATCTGTTCCGTCTGTCTAGCTGTCTGTCTGTCCGTCTGTCTGTGCAATCGTGTCTGGTCCATATCTTTCTTACAGAGGGACATTAGAATCTACTACTCCACACAAAGATTGCCCACGACCTAAGGGTGTGTCATGACCTTGACCCAAGGTCATTTGGGGAACTTCAAGGTCACTGGAAGAAAAATTTCATAATTCGTGTCTGGTCCATATCTTTCTTATGGATAAACTTGGTAGGTTGTCATTTCACACAAAGATTGCCCATGACCCAAGGGTGTGTCGTGACCTTGACCCAAGGTCATTTGGGGAAGTCCAAGGTCACTGGAAGAAAAATTTCATAATTCGTGTCCTGTCCATATCTTTCTTATTGATAAACTTGGTAGGTTCTCATTTCACACAAAGATTGCCCATGGCCCAAGGGTGTGTCTTGACCTTGACCCAAGGTCATTTGGGGAAGTTCAAGGTCACTGGAAGAAAAATTTCATAATTCGTGTCTGGTTCATATCTTTCTTATGGATAAACTTGGTAGGCTTTCATTTCACACAAAGATTGCCCATGGCCCAAGGATAGGTCATGACCTTGACCCAATGTCATTTGGGGAAGTTCAAGGTCACTGGAAAAAAAAAATTTCATAATTCGTGTCCGGTCCATATCTTTCTTATGGATAAACTTGGTAGGCTCTCATTTCACACAAAGATTGTCCATGGTCCAAGGGTGTGTCATGACCTTGACCCAAATTCATTTGGGGAAGTTCAAGGTCACTGGAAGAAAAATTTCATAATTCGTGTCTGGTCCATATCTTTCTTATGGATAAACTTGGTAGGCTCTCATTTCACACAAAGATTGTCCATGACCCAAGGGTGTGTCATGACCTTGACCCAAGGTCATTTGGGGAAGTTCAAGGTAACTGGAAGAAAAATTTCATAATTCATTTCTGGTCCATATCTTTCTTATGGATAAACTTGGTAGGCTCTCATTTCATACAAAGATTGCCCATGGCCCAAGGATAGGTCATGACCTTGACCAAAGGTCATTTGGGGAAGTTTAAGGTCACTGGAAGAATAATTTCATAATTTGTGTCCGGTCCATATCTTTCTTATGGATAAACTTGGTAGGCTCTCATTTCATACAAAGATTGCCCATGGCCCAAGGGTATGTCATGACCTTGACTGAAGGTCATTTGGGGAAGTTCAAGGTCACTTGAAGAATAATTTCATAATTCGTGTTCGGTCCATATCTTTCTTATGGATAAACTTGGTAGGCTCTCATTTCATACAAAGATTGCCCATGGCCCAAGGGTGTGTTGTGACCTTGACCCAAGGTCATTTGGGGAAGTTTAAGGTCACTGGAAGAAAAATTTCATAATTCGTGTCCGGTCCATATCTTTCTTATGGATAAACTTGGTAGGCTCTCATTTCACACAAAGATTGCCCATGGCCCAAGGATGGGTCATGACCTTGACCCAATGTCATTTGGGGAACTTCAAGCAGGGGTTCAAAAATCCTCAAGCCCGACGTCCCGGATTAACAAATTCCGGATCCGGACTCGGCATTTAGAATTCGCCAAAGTTCTGGGACTTGGCTATGTTTCTTGTTTATCTTTTTTTATAAGTTAAAAAAATGATCGTAAAGCTAAAAATAAAGCAAATTCTCAAATGTATTAAGTAAAAATGTGGGTTTGTGGGCGTTAAAATACCCATAAAACATTACGAACGTTTCGAAAATACAATCCGTCTTTTTATTTTCCGTTCCGGTTAGACTCCTGCTTTTACGCAATTCCTCATGTTTCCTCCTATATGACAAATGGCAATGAGTTTGTTAAATTTCGGGTTTAGCTGTGACTTACAGCACATTCTAATTTCTACTTATTGTAACAGATGGTTTATTCAGTAGTGAGTATTTGTAAAAGTTATTGTAATGTACCAGTAATCTATCAGTCTGGTATTGTGTTGAAATACTCATGTATGACTATATGACAGTTTATGGAGGAAAAATAAAACATGTATTAATACATAGAGTCTTTATTTATTCAATGCAACAAATGAAAATAAATTATAAGTTACATAAATTTAATTATGTATAGGTATATATGGACTCTGAAATTTCTTCCTCGGACTTGCCTAAAATTTACTCCTCAAGTCCTGGACTTGACCATGACAAAAAAAATTTTGAATCCCTGCTTCAAGGTCACTGGAAGAAAAATTTCATAATTCGTGTTCGGTCCATATCTTTCTTATGGATAAACTTGGTAGGCTCTCATTTCATACAAAGATTGCCCATGGCCCAAGGGTGTGTCGTGACCTTGACCCAAGGTCATTTGGGGAAGTTCAAGGTCACTGGAAGAAAAATTTCATAATTCGTGTCCGGTCCATATCTTTGTTATGGATAAACTTGGTAGGTTCTTCTTTCACACAAAGATTGCCCATGGCCCAAGGGTGTGTCATGACCTTGACCCAAGGTCATTTGGGGAAGTTCAAGGTCACTGGAAGGAAAATTTCATAATTCGTGTCTGGTCCATATCTTTCTTATGGATAAACTTGGTAGGCTCTCATTTCACACAAAGATTGCCCATTGCCCAAGGGTGTGTCATGACCTTGACCCAAGGTCATTTGGGGAAGTTCAAGGTCACTGGAAGAAAAATTTGATAATTCGTGTCCTGTCCATATCTTTCTTATGGATAAACTTGGTAGGTTTTCATTTCACACAAAGATTGCCCATGATCCAAGGGTGTGTCATGACCTTGACCCAAGGTCATTTGGGGAAGTTCAAGGTCACTGGAAGAAAAATTTCATAATTCATGTTTGATACATGATACATGATACATATCTTTATAAGGAAAAACTTACTTCTGAAAAACCCAGCGGGGGGTATTTTGTCCTGTTTGGACAGTTCTAGTTCATGTTTGATACATATCTTTATTAAGGAAAAACTTACTTCTGAAAAACCCAGCGGAGGGTATTTTGTCCCGTTTGGACAGTTCTAGTTAATTTTTGAATGTGAAGACATTTTCTGGATTGGAACCAGGAAAAATCTTTGAAATACTGCAGGATATCTGATACATAAGAAATGATTTTTGTTTGGAGACATATTGTTCGGAGATTGAAAGTAATTTTATTATTTGATAGATCCGGTTATTAATGAACCTGGAAATGGGCAGTTTGGGACCTTCTCCAATGAAGACAAGATCTAAGAAGAGTCAGAAAGAAAAAGACAAGAAGGAGGAAAAAGAAAGGGTTTGTACAACTTTTCATTTCATCAGTTTATTATTCCAGGCCAGCAAAGTTCTTGGTTAAAAATATCAAATTTGAATTCATGCTAGTTTTCATTCCCCGTTGAAGATGGAGGGGATTTAGTTAATAGTGCATAGTGGAAGTGTAATGACATACAATGAAATAGCATGGATATTATTCCCTCACAACAGAGTTAAAGGGGATAAAGTAACACAGTTGTGTGTTCCTATGTGAGTAAGTTAGCGTTGTATGAAAGGGAAGTAACATAATTTACATCAGGATCTGAATGCTGCTTTGTATGGATATGCTCTTTGCAAACAGATGCATTGCCTTGCGGTGCCCTTGTTATTAAATATGTTGGTACTGACCAAAGTTAACTGTACATTTAATGTAAGTCACAATCTTTGGATGAGAATATGGTCTTTCACTAAACTGTGCAGGTGCTTTTTAAAAGTTATAAAAAATTCTGTACGAAGCATTATGATACATTGGAAGCATTGAAAATTGTCTTTTATTTCTGTTTATATGGAATCCTGAGACATTAGACTTTTCTGTGTATCTTGTGACAGGATCAGGAGACGGTCCACCACATGGTAATTGATGTTGTCCAATCAAATCTCAGGGATTTCCTCCAGAAAAAGTTTGTACATTTTATACTTATCACACAAGTACAGTGGACCTTCAGATATCCGGACGCCGGATAACTCTCTTCATCGGAACGAAATTTTAAAATGTTATTCTGTCTTGTTTAACTGGTGATTCAGATATCCGGATGCTTCACATATCCGGACAAATTGTCTGGGAACCAAAGCGTCCGGATAAACGAGGGTCCACTGTATATCTCTCTTCTCCAAACTTAGTCTGAATCATTAGTCTAGAATATTATTCAGTGTTAAAATTAACCATTATGTACATAAACATTTGATATATGCTAATAATTGGCACTGAATACACTCATAGAAGCTAACATTTGTGTCTTTTGTGAGCACAGATACATGTACATATACTTTTTGATTTTTATTGGTTTTCTTTACAGGAAACAGAAACTCCATAGAGAATTTTTCTACAATATGTTCAGCAAGTTTCCTGTAAGTAAAGACATCCTTTAATGTTCAAGAACTGATGATTTTCATATTCAAAATACGAAATAAATGACAGATAATTAAATAAACACATGACAAAGAAACGATAAAGAAAATTGTTCTCAGTTTCAGTGATTTGTATATTTTCTTTGTCTAGGTCTTGTTCTGGCCAGTAACAGAAACACTGCTAAACACGATTCAGGACGACCAAGTGAAAGTGTTCATAAAGGTATTGATAAGATCAAATATATTATCATTATATCTTATCCTCTGTTATATGTCCGTGTTTTATACTTCACTCCTTTCCATTCACAGACCCAGGCCTGTTACCTTCTGTCAGGCATGCTGAACAAGGATGTGGTAAGTGTGTATGACAATTTGATAGGGAACAGTGAACAAACTAATCTCGATTACTTTCTTGCCTGAACAGTTAGTATATTAGGACATGATTATTTGTGTTGATGTTCCGCAGGAGAAGACATTAGGAGAGGAGGCCTGGACAGAATTCTCACTTTCTCTGGTTGCTGGCATTTCAAGGGTAAAGAATTTGGAATTTACATTTTTACATGTACATGTGCTTTTGTTAACTTCGAGATAAAATCTCACCAATGCTTTTTCTAAAAATGTACTGTTTTTACCCCACAGAATAATTTCTGTTAAATCTTTGGGCAGAATGTGTATTTCTTAGATTGCAACAGTATGTCTTAAGTTAACTTTTATTTATTTATGTCTAGATATTGCGATTGGTTTCAAAGGAAGCATTTCCAACAAAACTAGTACATGATGTTTGTGTCATACTTAGGAAATATCTGAACTGCTCACAAAAACCTGAGGTAAATATGTTTCTAGTTTTTTCCCTTTTAAAAGGTTTGATGATGAAAGCTCGCTAATTACTCCCCACCCCTCACCCCCACCCCTCCACCCACCCCTTCTGTAGTTTCATTGTCCCAACACTGCAACATATCCATAAATTAGTACTACATCAACAAAAGATTTATGAAAAGTTTAAAGATACGTCTTATAACACTACTGAGGATGTTGATTTACAGGAGATTCCCGAGGAAGTCACAGAGAAGTTGGAGAGTCTGAAAGGTTCCTTTAACACAGACATCAGGAAAGAGTACCAGGGAATCATGTCAAAGCTAGGGAAGACAACTCCTCCTAACACGTAAGTTACTCAAAGCTAGGGAAGACAACTTCTAACATGTAAGTTATAACTCAAAGCTAAGGAAGGCAACTCCTAACATGTAAGTTATAACTCAAAGCTAGGGAAGGCAACTCCTAACATGTAAGTTACTCAAAGCTAGGGATGATAACTCCTAACATGTAAGTTATAACTCAAAGCTAGGGAAGATAACTCCTAACATGTAAGTTATAACTCAAAGCTAGGGAAGATAACTCCTAACATGTAAGTTATAACTCAGAGCTAGGGAAGGCAACTCCTAACACGTAAGTTACTCAAAGTTAGGGAAGATAACTCCTAACATGTAAGTTACTCAAAGCTAGGGAAGATAACTCCTCCTAACACGTAAGTTACTCAAAGGTAGGGAAGATAACTCCTAACATGTAAGTTACTCACATGTAAGTTACTCAAATCTAGAGAAGACAACTCCTCCTAACATGTAAGTTACTAAAATTCACAACTATCATGTAAGTTACTCAAAGCAAGGAAAGACAACTCCTAACATGTAAGTTACTAAAAAGTAGGGAATACAACTCCATTCATGTAAGTTTCTCAATTTGACATTGATATCTGACTGTTATTGTCATTTGTTAAGTGAACTTGAGTTGTATATCTACTTTGATGTCTTTCAGGAATCATAATAAAAATGCCAGAAAAAGGAAAAATAAAGATAAGACAGGCACTGCGGGTCAGGCTGCTGAAAATAAGAAAGTGAAAACAAGTGAAACAGAAACAGTTACCAGTCCTGTTGTCAACAAACAAACAAGAAAACGAAAGCAGAACAGTGTTAATGAGAAAGTGAAAGTAGGGCCCAAAACAAAGGGTTCAGAATCAGACCTGGAAACTAGTATGAATGACAGAAGTTCTGGATCGAATATCCAGGAGGAAGGCAAAAAATCTAAAAAGAAGAAAAAAGTACACAACAGAGAGAAAACTAATGCGGAATAAATATGATGTTTCTTATGGGATTTGATTTAATTTATTTTAAACAAGTACAAAGGGGGCAAAATATGAAGAAATTTGAAAGCTTTTCATTAAAAATCCAAGATGTGTTTATGAAACATTAATGCCCCCATTTGGCAATGTTTTACAAAGTAACATTGAAGTTTCTCAAATGCAAGTCAAATTCATAGGTAGAGGTCATGATCAAAGGATCACACAACTGTTAGCCAAAGAAGAGATGTGTCAATGAAGATACAGGAAAACATGTTACAACAAAGTGCAGGGGATGGGAAAATTGGCTTGGTTATAAGCATTATTCATTATATTTGTTAAATGTTAAATATATTTTAAGTCAAGAGGAGAAATGAAAATCACTTCTTCACTATACGCGTCAATTCCCGATAAGCATGTTTCCTATAAGTGTGTTTTAATTTGGTTATGAAATATGAAAGCCTAAGCACCAACCATTTAAACCTTCTATACAGAGTTAAAGGTTTATTTTATAAGGGGGTCAAATGTCAGATTCAAAGGTTAAAAAAATTATTTGTACCCAAGGAAAGATGACATAAGAGACATACGTGTGAAATATAAAAGCTCTAGCACAAAGTGTTCAAAAGTTATGGCCAAGGTTAAAATTTTTAAAAAGTGGGTCAAAATCTGCCGTCAAGATCAAAAGGTCAAAAATATTTATACCAATGGAAAGGTGGATGCAGTGTGAAAAATGAAAGCTTAGTAAAAAGTTGCTTGGGAAAGATGGGGGGGGGGGTGTAATACTACGTGTAGAAATTATGCCAAGAATTGATAAAATTGGATGTACATGTACAATACCCCTCGTCTTTTTTTCCCCATTTGGTAACTGAATAAGTAACATAGGCAAGGATTCTTTCACTTTAATTTGGTATTTCTTCTTTTTGTTTTCTTGGCATATTTCGTTAATGTCCTTAAGTGTAGTAAAACAATTGTTCAGAAACATGGGCGTCGGGACCGGGATGGGGGGGGGGGTTTGGCTCTTCCCCCACTTTTTTGCAAAGATATACATAATATGGGCATTGATAACTGGGGTTTACCTTTTTTTGTTGGTTTAGCCCCCCCCCTTTTTCAATTAACCACCCGCTTTCAATTTGCTTCCGACGCCTATGTGAAACAATTATGAAATAAAGTTGGGAAAAATTAAATCAAGGTTGTTAGTAACTACTGATGGTAAAACTTTTTTTTTAATATTCAATTTTCAATTTTTTCTAGAATCTGTCGAAAAATGTTACTGAACTTAAGATTGTAGCGTAAACTTTTAGAACAAAAGGCAGATAAAGAAGTCAAACGTTTAAAAACAAAAAAAGTTGGGTTTTTTTTTTTTTTTTTTTTTTTTTTGAAATTTGGATTTTGAACATTTATGGTAAAATTCTAAAATATCAAAATTTTAAAACCTGTTTGGAAATTTGAAATTTTAGATTTTAGAACTATAATATTAAATTTCAAAAATACGAAATCAGTTTGAGTTTTTGAAATTTAGATATTTGAACTAATATACCGGGTATTAACTTTCTAGAAATTTGAATTGTTAATCTGATACCCCATTCGTACGACGAAAATTTGCTTATGTGTGTAAATTTACACATAAGTAAATCTACACACGTAAGTAAAAGTTAATTTGCTATGTGTTCAGACGAGTTTATTGTACTGTAAGTAAATCCTCATATTTTTAAATAAAACAAGGAGATGGACAGTTTCAGAATTGTGAATTTTTAAAGAAAAGGGGTATTTCCCGACTGTTTGGGTATAAGACTAACTTTTGAATGTTCCTCAAAGAAACAAGGGGGGGGGGGCGATCCTCTGATTTATTTGTACGAAAAAAAACGAACTTAATGACTTTAAGGACAATTAAAGAATGGTAAAAGAATTTACACACGAAGATGAAAAATTTATCAAAATTGTTTAATGCTGGAAAATGTTTTGGCCTTGGTCCTAAAGACAGTAGAAGAGCTGTTGGGTGTAAAGGAAAAGGTGATTGCTGCCATATACTGGTTGATGTCTTCAGCAGGAATAGGACGATTGGAATCTTTTTTTGGTGTTGAGAAATCTACAGTGCATCAAGTGTGTGAGACCATTATAATGTATCTGCTTGAATAACATAATTATGTATTTTCCAGGAGAATGAAAAGGATAAAGAAAACTAACAGTGATCGGTCTCAAAAATCTTTGAACAATACAAATATGTGAATAGGAAATTAACACGAACTCCTAGAAATTCATGGTGGGATCAGGTGCCATGGAGGAAAATTTCGAGTGCTTACTTTCAACGATTCTAATGAAATTCCTGTAACATCAACTTATATGTGAGTAGCTTGCCTGAATTAAAAACAGAGAAAGGTAGAAGAAAGTCATCAAGAGGTAAACGGTAATGGGACCCTATCATAGCTCCAGAGCATTCCCAAGGAAACAATTGAATAGTAAGGACACTACTTATTGATCCTACAGAGCACTTGTTTGCGACCACAGCTATATATATCTTTATAGACATAAACAAAGGTTTGCCAGAAAAGGTACAAGAAGACCTCGTTTTTGCAAACTCGAAATTTTATCTCGGAGGAGATAATTGCTCATTGTTTAGAGTTTTGCCTTCTAGCCACCATCTTGACCGACCGATGTTTTACACGCCAATGCATACACAACCGAAATAACATTTCAAATAATTATTTATGCAATAAACAAAACAAAATACATATATATTTTGCTGCGTGTTCATACGACAAAATTTACACAGATGAACTAATAATTTGCTACGAAATGTATGCAAAAGTTAATTTGCACCTAGTCCTGACTAGGTGTAAATTTACTCAACTGTGCAGAATTTGCATATGAGTAAATCAGTTCATACGACAAAAATTGCACATGTGAGTAAATTTACTTATGTGTAAAATATACTGAGGTATGCAAATCATGTCGTATGAATGGGGTATAAGTGTTATAGTGACACGGACCCGAATTGAAACATTTCATTTACAGTTTTGAAGATGGTAGAACTAGAACTAGAACTAGAACATGGTAAAATGAACGGTTTTTGAAATCAAAGTTCTTCAATTTGTTGTCGTTTTTATTGATGAAGTGTACTGCAGTACTAGCTGTCATACAGATCTAAACCCCGTGATCCACCACTCAAAATCGTAACCGGAAGTGTACAGGTAAATGAAAGCGTGAGTCCAGGTAGACAGGTATGGCAGGTAAGTTCGTATTTAAAACTTTAATAATCTAATATTCGGTAAAAATTACTAGTAAAGTCTTAATACTCAACTGCATGATGTCAAATTAAACACCTTTCATCATCTGTTCTAATTTAATTAAGAATTGAAACAATTAATATGCCACATAATTAAAACTTTGAAGTTTTCAAATTTGAGATGATTTTTTTAAATAACAAAGTAAAAGAAGTGGGATTAATAATTTTTATGGGTGTCTATACAGAATATTCATTCACAAAAAGTATACACAATACGTCGGTTTTTGTGAAGAGTTTGTTCCCTTTATTGTGTTGACCACAGGACGATGAATGTTAATAAACCACCTGTAAACGAAGTTTCTTTCTGTTAAAACATTTTGACATGCATGGCATAAACCAGGCCCTGGGCACTAACTACAATAAATGTAATTGAATTAGGCACTATGATTATACTTAAGCCTAAAAGATGTAATATTTTATTTTATAAATACTTTTGATAAAAGTATGTCATACACAAAGAATAATTTAAATTTGTCTTCTTCTTGATTAATTTATCACTATATAATTAAAATATCTTTGTATTACAGAGTGAACACACTTCATAAAAAGAGAGAGACATGAACGTATAATAACATGATTTGTATGTGTTGCTAGCCCTTGCCAAAGCATTTGAAAATTATGCAGGATTGAAACTCGCACACAATGAATAAGTTCAGAAAATTGAAGAGAATCCTTTCTATGACTGGGATTATAATATGTTCACTTCTTCTGATCCATATCAATTTGCCTTGGATTAAAGGATACTTTCAACCAAATTATCCCATGATTGTGAACAAGGCTAACGGAAATTCTGCAGCAATCAGAGAAATGATGAAGATAAAAGACTTTTCGGCAAAATACGGAAACAGCTTAATAAATTCAGTTGAGGAGGTCATAGGGGTACCACTGAGAACAGAGGATATGACATTTGAGGAAATTCAAAAATCTGGATGGATTGATACCGAAAAATATTCTCCTGATGATGAGCTTGGATTTGTACCACCTGTTCCAAAATTTTCTATGTACGATATTGTTTATGACCTAAAGCCAAAAATTATGAGAAAATACTTAGCCCTCGATAAGAGGAAATATGAAAATTATAGTGTTGTTATCCTTACCCCAATACATAACAGCGAAAATGATCTTGTACAGTACGCTCAATTAATAAGTGAACTTAATTATCCGAAACACAAACTTTCTATTGTGTTTGGGGAAGATGGCAGTGAAGACCAAACATTCAAAGTTGGAAAAGACATTTTAAAGGAATTTCACAAACAAGGATTTAGAAGAGCTGAAATTTTTCATTTTAACATATCGGGTCAAATAACCGGGGATTGGAATAGCATTCACGACCAGGTACTCCAACATAAACGTAGAAAACATCTTGCCAAAGCTCGCAACCTGCTTCTTAAAGCTGGCTTAAAGGACGAAGACTATGTCTTGTGGATTGACGCAGATGTTGGAGTGCTTCCCCCTGATCTTATTCAACAGCTGATCTACGCAAACAAAGATGTCGTCGCTCCGTGTTGTTTATATAGAAAAGGTCATTATACTAATGTCTATGACAAAAACACTTGGAGAGAAACAGAATATTCTCTAGAAGCACAAAAAAATCTCAGCAAAACACAGCTGGTTTTAGAAGGGTATGGACCCACCATCAGACTGTATTTACCTCACTTGAGGGGGGAGGGGAGGGTAGTTCCCTTGGACGGTGTGGGGGGTTGTAGTTTACTAATTAAGGCAAAGTGTCATCGAAAGGGACTTAACTTCCCAGAGGAGATTTTTCAGAATCACATTGAAACTGAAGGTCTGGCCAAACTTGCCAAGAGTCTAGGCTTTGGAGTTTATGGGATGCCATTTGTAGAAGTCTATCATAAGTAATGCTGCATGTCTCTGTATACTTTGTTTTTCAACATCATCTTATTTTATGTAAAAATGTACACAAAATTATTTTGTTTCAAAATATTTTATGAATAGTAATTTTTTTCATACAATATGACAAAATTGAATATTTACTTGTATATATATACATGTATGTTTTGAATTTTTTAGAGCTAGTCGTTAGAATCTTGTCATCATGTATAGAGGTATGCCAAAATTGACAGGCATCAAATTTGGCAATTACTGGAAAGTACTCCCTGATATTGTACCAAGGTAAATAAATATGGGTATCATTCAAAATATATCTCTTGTTTATAGATTTCTTGTGTATTTTCGTACTTCAATTTATTGTTAAATGTTAATGGTGGTTCTTCCTTGTTAAAAACACATTCCATGAATGTTTTACTAGTATATACATAATTTCATTAATATTGAAAACATTTAATATCTTATACATTTTTGATAGATCTAACATTTTCATATATTTTATCTTATTCTGTACATCATAGTTTACATGGTGTCATATGTGTTTTTTTAATCCCCTCATTTGGTTGTTTTTAAATACATAAATGTACATTAACAAATATCAATTGTTAGTTTTTAATACTATACATGTATATATTTTGTTAAACATGTTGGTTTTTTACATTATATCCATTCCTTGTACACATACTAACATAATAAAGCTATTTGACAAAATATACATGATTATAAAACTCCAAATATGTTCCACTGATATGAGTAATGCATGATGAAAATTTGTATTAGTGTTTTAAGTTTGATGAGAATATTCTGAGCCGTTTCTTATATGGCCATTCCAAGTTTTTTCTCTGTTTAGCGTCCACCCATCTTTCAAAACCTAGCTACCTATTCACAAAAAACACACAAGTCAATAAAAAAAACCCCACATACTTTATAGTAATAAGAATGATGTAATTCAAAAGATATGATTTCATTTATCTATTTTTCATAAAGAAAGTTATTTTCATCAGCAAAATCAAAGTATTAAATATTGAAACTATTCCAATAATAAAATATTATATAAATATTTAGAGATATTGCTGGAAATCAAAAATTTTGACCTGAATAATTAATTTTCGGACTCCTGAGTGTGTTTGTTTTTTCTGACATGGGGTGCCAAAAACCAAGGCGCACGCGGACGCTAAACATAGAAAAAACTTGGAATGGCCTAAATTGAAATCTAAAAAATCATAATTATATAGATGATAATCTCACTAAATTATGTATAAGCGCATAAGCTCACATAAAACTGTCTTAAATGGACCAAAATGGTTTCATTAAAACTAAGCAAAATTCTAATTTAAGAAAAGTGAGTTCAAGGTCACAGGAAAGTTCAAGGTCAAAGTTTTTCATGCAGTTGAATAGCTCTCACTACTACCTAATATCTTAAATGATTTATTCAAGACAGAGATAAAAACATGAGGTCAAAAGAAAGTTCAAGGTAAAACAAGAGGCCCATGGGCCACATCGGTCACCTGAGTAGCTTTGACCATGCTGTTCGTTACCAAATTCCCCCTTGTAATACATATTGTGACCCCGTCCTACCTCCAGGGGTCATGATTTGAACAATTTAGAATCTACACTACCCCAGGAGGATTCCACATAAGTTTCAGCTTTTCTGGCTCAGTGGTTCTTGAGAAGAAGACTTTTAAAGTTTTTTTTCCCCTATATATTTCTATGTAAAACTTAGATTCCTTATTGTGACCCCGCCCTACCCCCGGGGGGTCATGATTTGAACAATTTAGAATTTACACTACCCCAGGTTGATTCCACATAAGTTTCAGCTTTTCTGGCTCAGTGGTTCTTGAGATCTTGAGAAGAAGACTTTTTAATGATCCCACCCTATTTTGGTTGTTTCTTGATTATCTCCCCTTGTGAAAGGACTTGTCCCTTGAATCTAAGAATTTAAACTCCCCTTTACCCAAGGATGCTTTGTACCAAGTTTGGTTAAAATTGGCCCAGTGGTTCTTGAGAAGAAGTCGAAAATGTGAAAAGTTAACAGACGGATGGACGGACGAAGGACAAAATGTGATCAGAAAAGCTCACTTGAGCCTTGGGCTCAGGTGAGCTAAAAAAGTTGATGCAGTTGAATAGCACTCAGTTATATAATTATATACGAGTACTGTATACAAGGTTATTTTCTCCCCGTGTTTTTTTCACCCTTTTAAACTTGCAAACAATTTTGATCAGTTGTAGTTTTGTTTAAGAAATTATAATGTATTCTTTGAAATTGCCCCATTATAAATTTGCCCAAATGAGGGTAGGGCAAAAGGGGGGAAAATAAAATGGGGGTGAAAATTTTCCTGTATACAGTATATGAAGTTCTATACAAATATCTTGAATACTTTCTTTGAAATTGAGCTAAATGCACTGAGCGTGACAATGGAAGGGCAGACAAAGGGACATGACAAACTCTAAACATTGTATTTATCATTTGTATACTTGCAAAGAAAAGCTAGGCCCATAATGCCTGTTTAACTCCATTGCAAGAGGATAATTAGTTTGAAAATTTAAAAGTATTTGCCATTTATATGTGTAATGGTTAACATGGATAACAGCCTGGATAGGTCAGTTGGTAGAGCACCTCAGTTGGAGATGCAGGGGTCCCGGGTTCGATTCCCGTTCTATCAATACATTTTCTTCCTTCCTGTTACACATGTAACCTCATCCTTTTAAAAATTCACATGTATAAGTAATTAACCTCTTAATTAATATTACATGGGTATCAAGTGACCTGGAAAAACTTAGTGGAGAGCCTCAGATTCCTGGTACAGTCATGACTTTTCCTCTCTCTTTGTGCTCTCAAACAACATTTATGTAACTCAGAGTGATTACTGTATACAAGGAAATTTTTGCCCATTTTGCCCTTCTTCATGGGTGGGCAAATTTTGAATAAGACAAATTCAAACTACAGGTTCTGTGAGCAGTGAGCTCACTAAATGATACCCCCCGCCTCCCATATGAATATAATGGCAGTGTCCATGTTTTGCTATGAGAATCCTAAAATATGTGTCGGATCAAAAAGTAAAATAGGAGGTGCACAATGGCAATATGTAATAAAGATTATGTGAAAGTTTCATCAAATTTCATGCCATGGTATGAGAGGAGTTGCGGATAAGGGATGGGTACCCCAAAGTGTAACAGACGGACGTACAGATATGAACGGACGGACATCCCGATTACCTACCATTATACCCTCTCACTTTTCAAATGGGGGGTATGTAGAAAATTGTGAATTATATATGGATATTAGAGTAAACTGTAATATTTTGAAACACTTAAGGTTTTATAAAAACACTGTGAATATGTTTATGTATGGAAATGATGCAGTGTTACATGATCTCGCAAAATTTACCTTTTTAGCTTTTAAAAAGAGGGAAAAGTTCATTGAAAATTTAATATGTGATAATTTATAAGTATAGTCTATATGTCTCCAAATTGTATACCTGGTAAGCCTGATCTAAAATTGTAAATATAACATTGTAAAATATTAATGTACTTTGGGCCGGTGGCCTGCAATACTTAATCCAATAAATATCTTGAATCTTGAATAAACCTGTATACAGTAGCTTGTAATCTGTCATTAATAAAGCATGACTATTTCTGCCTTCATTTGACAAATTTATTTCATCACATACTTAACAGGACTTTCTGAACAACAATCAAAATGTTCACAAAAAATAATCCTAATGTTACTATGGCAACAAGACATTGCAGACCAATCACATGATTTACAAGCATCAAGGTACACTTGGTGTAAAATTTAAACAAAACGTTTCTCTATCACTTAAAAATTATAACTGCTTTGTACAGCACTTCATACAGAAAAAAATTATTTTATCGTATTAAATACGGTAATGCCTTCAGTGGATGAACTATTTAGAATTTCATTTAAAATTTAACATAACTATGTTTCTTACTTTTATAACATCCATACTGGGAGGAAAAATTTATTCATACTGTAAATTGCACAAAATATATGAGATTTGAAGCATCATTAATTTAAAACTGATTTGATAACAAACCACATAAAAAAATCGATATTGTGAACTATGATTTAACCACTTTTATTGTTTTCATTGTAAATTATGATTCTGAATCTTAATCAATTAAGGCTGAGTATTTCTAAACACCTGAGAACTAGCAGTTATAATGCTTTAGACGCGTAATTCTAGTTGAAAAAAAATCTAAAAATATTTTAAAATGTTTGTGGAAAAAACTTGTTTCATGTTGCAAACTGACCTGACCAAAAACTTATAACTCAGTAAACTTTTTTTAGAAATCATATACAGAAAAACAAGCACAGTTTTAATGCACAATGGACAACACATTAAAATCCCTATCTGTAATATTCAGTCTAGTCAATTTGCAGATACAATAGACTTTAGTTCCGATCTACCTACATGTACTTGTATACAGTTTCCTAGCACAGAATATGGTTACTGTAACAGCCAAGGAAATCACATCATCACAATTCTGGATTTCAAAATATCAATACTTTCCAAAATAACAGCAATACTGGAACTATTTTTCTGTCTTAACTGTTTGCACTTCATAAAAAGTTCTCCATTTTCCCAATACTCGCTCAAAATCTATCCCGAACTTTATATACATGTACTTGTATAATTAATACTTATGAATAAAAATTCATTTGCTCAAACTTCTTTTCACAACGAACAATTACAACCCAATATCTTTTTCAAAAAAACATTTGAATCTAGTTTTATCACTCACTAGATAGCATTATAATAAATACTGCTTCAAACTAATATAACCATTTAAATTATGCCTGACATCTTATACAAAAATATAAAGCTATCAACATTTACAAATTTTTTTCACATGAAAGACAACAATGACAGCATGCTGTTCTTATATCTTAACAAACTTTAAACACAAACATGGCATTGAGCTAACAAAAGGTCGCCTTCAACAAATACACATACATGTACAAGCTATGTGATTACACATGGGAGACGTAAACTTTGGTATTGTTCAAGAATCTAATTATATACACAGCATGCAACATTTTTGAAGTGAATGCAAATTTTTTTTTGTAGAATGTAAAACAGAAATAATTCTATGAAACAAAACTGATTTTTTTTTTTAAAAATTGATTTCTTCCAACAAAGTATATGTGTTTGCAGATGAAACCTCATGCAATATTACTTAGGCAATTTTACTTGTATGCAATAAAAATTTTATGAGCATTACCTACAATGTATCTATGACATGTTCACCCGTAAACAAAGAGAACACATTAAATAGAATTTTGGTTCAATGCCAAATAAGATAAATTGTATTTCTAGAGTAAAACATAAAAAAAAAACCAGTGGTGATGAAAAGAAAATACAACAAAATAGAGAAAACAAGCTGAACACAGAGAAGAAAGGAGAAAACATAGAATGAAGAAAATTAAAACATGATTTGCAAATGTTTTTGACATATTGCACAAGATGAACACAATATGGTTAAACATACAAAGATATATCATCAATAAATCAAGAGCAGAGATCAAAACCTACACAATAATAAAAATTTTGATGTTGCCAATAAAAAAAATTGATATTATAGATGAAATCAGTATCTTTTGGGAAGGTCTTTTCCCATCTTGGTGTAGTTGTTCAAAAACAGTTTATATAACATAAATCTGTAATTGGGGAGATTTCAAGCATTCCAAATACACAAGCTGTTTTGTTTACACACCAAATGAATTTAAATCAATTTTAATTTAATTTTTGTAGTTAATCTTTACACAATTTTACTTTTCATGCTGTTTCTTTTAATCTTTGTACAAATGTATATAAAATCAGAAAGCAGAATATATTCCATTTAGGTTATATATATAATTTCAACAATTCCTGTGCTTGATATTAAACTGATATTCATTAGAGGTAAACATCTTGTTGATGTAAATGTTAATAAGAAAGCTTATCTGTGTATTCAAACTTTTAAAAATCTAAAACAAAAAAAGATGATGGCCCATTCAAAAATAACTGTGGAGGTTCTGACAATAAATCCGAAACACAGAGGCATGGCCAAATTGTCCTATATTCAGCAAAAGTGAACAAAGAGCCATAAATTCCCCCATCTGTTGAGAAAAAATATACCATATAAGTAGGAATTTTAGTGAGGATTTAATTTTGGCATTATTAGCAAGGGTATCAAAGATCGCTAAAATTGAATATCGCTAAAAATTAATTGCGCTTTATTTGTAATAGCTTCTTTAGTGAGCTTTTTAAAATTGCTAAAATTTCATCTCGCTAAAATTAAAATAATAATTTTCATGGACAAATCACTAAATTTGCGTCTCGCCAAAAATTCCAATTATACGGTATGTATGGCAACTTAGATATGTAATACTTCTTTATCAAGATCATAATAAATTCATTCTTTGAGCATAAATTAAGCAAAACATTAACAGTACTTTGAAATCTTAGAAATATTTTCCCAACTTCAACAAAAATTTCAACAATGCCATTTTTGTTCCTGATATCTACTGTAACAATATTCCTGATGATTTAACAACTGAAATGTCTTTCATTGATAAATCTGATATATGTATAGAATAATATCCAACATTTTCCAAAAGAATCAGGCCAAACAGTAAAAGCACAAAGCAAGCTCTGTACAAGACATTCAAATTAATGATACATGTATGTGTCATTTTTTTCAATACAGCCACTACTGTTTAATTAACTTCTACATTTTTTGCCAAGTTCAAAATTTAGGAATGTACTAAATGAGCTCTACTCAAGTTTACTGAATCTTTGACTGAGTTAAAAAAAAATATTTAGATAGCATAACTTACATATAAATTAAAACAGGCCTGAAAGATTATCTAAAAAGTGGCTCATGGAGGTAAATTTTTGGTTCATAGCAATAAATAGAAATAAAATGATATGTCAAATTAAACCTATTTTTCACTCTACTGAGTAGTGAAGAAAGTTATTATTTCTGTAACTATCATTAAATAACTTGTATTTCTCGCTGAGAAGTCAGTTCTCAATGGTCTCCATTACTTTCTTTTTGCTATCCTTCCGCTTGAAGCTCCCCGTCCGATTTTTGCCCGGTAAGTTGTTGGCGGAGCCGTGGCGCATGCGGTTGCTGTTGGCTCCATTTTTGTCGGCGGTGTCTTTATCAGTGGGGGAGTGCATGCTGCTGACACTGAGGCTGGACATGGAGCTGGACAAGTTTAGATTGGAGGAAATCCCAAGGGAGCTGGGATAAGGATTAAGAATGTCAAGGTCGTCACCAGGGAGACAGTTCTCAACCATCATGGCTTCCAGGCAGTTCACCAGCAGCTCGGCTGTATCGCTCTGCGCAGACTGTAGAGGAAAAAGAAGAAATTTAACGTAAATAGGACCTGTACAAAAACCTTAATATTAACATAGACAAATATAGTACATGTATATCAGTGACAAAAATGGTATATATGAATTTACTGATGTAGAATGATAAAACATTGGATCTAAAGAAAAATAAATTCCAGGACTTCTCAACCACCCCATCACCTGTACCTGAGTAGCTTTGAAAGATTGCTTGAAGAACATATTCATAGAGTGAAACATTTCCATGCATGAATTAGTCCTTTACTGCTAAGTGTAATTCAATTACTCAGATGATGTATGAGTGCATGTCAGACAGTATACAGTACCGTGCAAGGTCCTTTGGAGGTTACTCATGTTGTACATTCAATAAATTTAATTCCATGATTTTTTTTCTCATGAACAGAGAATACACTGAACAAATAGTGAACAAAAAATGAAAAAAAAAACCAAAACAAAAAAAAAAACAGTACACCAGAATAAAAAATGATATAAAAAGCAAAGTTTACAAAAGTGAAATAAATTGAAAAAAAAATGAGAGACACAGATTATATGTAACCACCACTACAGTAGAGATTGAGGTACACAGTTATCCCCCCTAGAGTGGCCATGCACTTTTCCCGCGTACCTTAAACGTTCCAGCAAACCTCCAAAGGCCTCCAAAGCCGATACCTGAAATAAACAACAAACATGCTACTTGTGGGCTGCCAAGTGATCTACAGAATTTTCTATGGAAAAATTCTCTAAGTTTGGGTTTTCTTGTATTCTTGAAGCATTACAGAAAAAAGCAAAAATTATATGGCAAATACCCAGTATGTTTTGACCTTCTGACTTTGACCTGGCCTAATATGCATGGACTTCCTCAATATATCCATGTAAAATCTGTCCATTTCAGTGGGTATGGACCATATTAAAATTTACACTACAGAAAGACGAATAAAAAGTGATTTACAGTACTTGGATAAACAGACCAAAATTGTACTTAATTTTAGAGGGTTGTAAAACACTCCTTACTTCTCATACTATGCATATATCAAAATCATAGTTATTTAAAACCTATGCTTTTTGTGCTGTTGGGATGAAGGGGAGAGTAATTTCCAAGAACAGCATATGTGCCTTGTACCTTCTCTGAATTTTAACTGAAAAACAGTGCTAAATGTTACAAAGTGTCAAAAATTAACATGCATATTTCTTTTATTTATTGAGATGGAGGGAAAAAGACGATAAATCAAAAACTCTTCAAGTTCTGTTTGCCATCACATTGAATATGTGACATTTTGTACTTACTCTGTACGTAGGGCAGTGAACTCATGACTTTTTTGTTCTTACTCTGTAAGCAAGACAGTGAACAAGTGATCTTTTTGTACTGATTCTAAGTAGGACAGTGAACAAGTTACCTTTTTATACTTACTCTGTAAGTAACACATTGAACAAGTGACCTTTTTGCACTGACTCTAAGTATGACAGCAAACAAGTGACCTTTTTGTACTTACTCTGTAAGTAGGACAGCTGCTGTTGAGATGGGTCCTCACAAGCGATCATGTTCTGTATGATGCTCTGTACAGCATTCAGGATAGCCTGATCATGGCACAATGAGAGGACATTGTTGATTTTGGCATCCAGGAGACTGTGTCTGCAGAAGTAAATCTTAAGTTTAAATACTGCACTTTTAATTATGACTGATCCATCTTAAACTACACACAGTCAAAACATTGTATGAAATGTTAATGGCAACTCGGTACTTACATCACTGGAAAAACTTTAGGAAAAACCACAGATGCCTCTGCAAGATATTCATAGAGAATTCTAGCCTCATTTTCATCTGTAGTATTTCTAACCAGGGTGGCCTACAAAAAATTAACATTTTTTAGCTGTCAGTTGTATAAGATTTAAAAAAAATAAATATTGAAGTCAATTTATTAGGTTTTTACATGCATACACAATATGAATGTGACTGTTGACAAAACAGACAAACATACCAGCACAGTGAGCACCAGGACTTGGGTGGGATAATCGGTCAGCATGTCTGGATCCAGCAGCACGTTGTTCTCGTTGGAGACCGACACTCTCCCACTGCGGGACTGAGACATAACCGCTTTACTCCCATCCTTCTTAGAACCCGGTGTAGGCATGGAGTTACTCCTGTTGTGAAATGGTGGTCGAGGATTGGGGTCGTCTAGACTTTTCCAAACCTTGGAGCTACCTGGCTGCTGTATTCATGAAAGACAGAACATAAACATGTAAATCTTAATTCCATCTATCCTATCTATAAATCTTACATCATAAACGTAGATTAATGTGAATAATTTACATGTAAGATGCCCATGTGATAACAATACTCCTGCTTTGACATGCCTGTTTACCTGAGATTGGTTGGGATGTGATGGGCCTTTCTGAAGTCGTGCAGCATTCATGGGTCCCAGGTCCAGGACCTCCCAGCTCTTCTGTCGCCGGGTCATGGGGGTAGCCACGGGGGGAGGGGTCATTGAGGGGGGAGGCTGGATGTCTAGGGTAGAGGCCACCGGCAGACTGGGGACGGGGATCACTGGTCCCGCAGCAGAGGAGGAGAACACCCCTGTCAAACAGCAACAACAAACTTACAAGGATGTCGGGAAAATTTATCAATGTAAACAGTGGTCAAAATACCATAAAGCTTTTAACCACCAAATATGACCCTAACCTGCTGCCATATCTGTGTTGAGACTGTCACTAGAGGGCGACTCCTTCATCATGTACTGTGACGTACGATGTTTAAGGTGGCATCTACTTCTCACTTCTTCAGAAACCGAGACCAAGGCTGAAAACAAAGGAATATTATAATGGCTCCTTAGTGTGTAGTGTATTTTTTTTTTATAGATAAGTTAAAGTTTTAACTGTAAGTACATGTATTAGTTTAATAGAAGGAATACTGAGCAAGCTTCACAAAGTTTACAGAAGTCATGGATTCAACAAATAAAATTCTATTTATTAGTTACCTGCAAGATATGGCACTGTCTGTGGTGTCACCTCAAACTTGTCTCTGAAAAAGTGACAAAACAATTTTTTCATAAGAAATGCTGTTAAATCATGTTCTGGTGGGACCAAGTTTTGTATATTTCACAGGTCTATCTTCTACCAAATTTACAGCCCCATGAAAAATAACTCCCCAATTTACAGCCCCATGAAAAATATATAAGTAAGCATATCATTGAATCTTCAGTATATACATGTACAGTTAATTCTCGATAAACCGCCACCTTTTGTAATTTAGAAATCATGGCGGTATAACGAATTTGGCGATGAATTGAATTTTCCATCTTTTAGGAAATAAGACGCAAAGTTATCGTTCTTAGAAATACCAGTCAGCGTTTCTATTCTTATTTTTACATATACAGGTATATATAAACATATTTCTAAATTTGATAATACTTCAAGTAATTTTTTAATGTACAATTTCGCTAAAACAGAATATTCAGTTATAAAATAAGGACAAGTTCATGTGTATACATGTAAATCTGCACATCTGATATTGAAAAAAAAAAATAATGCTGGGTCGATCATCGTGATATACTGCCTATAATACGTAAAATGAGTTCTTGAATAAACTAGAACTGTCCAATAGGGACGAATACCCCCCGCTGGGTTTTTCAGAGAATGTGCCAATTCAAAAATACTTTATGGATCTAGAGGTGTTCACAATTTACTTACAAAAATTTGCAGTGAAATATAATTGCTCATCATGTTCCTTCATGAATGAAACAAAGGTGCAACCAAATGAAACATCAATACTAATACATTGTAATTTCATTGTAACATTATTTTTTTTATTTAATTTTTTTATTTCTGCATTAAAAAAATATATTGCAATTATGTGTTATGTCACTCTGCAAACTGATTGTTAAAAAAAAAAAAATCATATTATACAAAATCAAATTAATCTTGATAACTTTATATCAAATTCATTTGAAAATAAAGAGCTGGTCATCCAGTAATGAAGTGCTTTGACAGACAATAAATTACAATTAAGAGAATAAGAGAAGAGAGATCTTTAATTCTTGTGCCTGATTCCCACGAGATTACACATGGTTGATAATGAGATGCCTTAATGTTCAACTTCCCACACCAAACTCATTAATTTATCTTTAACTGGATGCATGTCCAGTCATTATTCCCAAGAGACAAATGAAATTACATTATCTTCTGTGCAATGTAAAAACTGTTTTTAACACTTGATGATGTTTTTTTTTAAAGTTTATATGAGTAGTTTTAAGCTGTAGTATTTTTGTACAGATATTCTAGATTCTATGTCTCAAACCTTATACATGAGCCCAAAATGAACAAGTCAATTAAAATAAAAAATAAAACCTGTAAAATGCAAAAAAAATGAACAAAAAGAGTTGAAAATTCCAATTGCACACCTTCATATGGTGAATAATAAGTGTACAAATTTTCAGATTAATCCTTGCAATAGTTTTTGAGAAACGGTCTGAACAAAACCACAAAATAAAAATGAAAAAACACCTGTAAAATTCAAAATAATAATCGAATCAAGATGAAAATATCAGGTGCACAACTTCATATGGTGAATAATATTTGTACAAATTTTCAGACAAATCCTTCCAATAGTTTCTGAGTAATGGTCCGGACAAAATCTCGTCTACAGACAGACAGACGGACATGGTGATTCCAATATACCCCCCCTAAACTTCGTTTGCGGGGGGTATAATTAATTGTTTATGACATCATTGTTAATGAAACGTTCACAATATCTGACTTATACTTATTTTTTAAGCAAACTTTGCATTGTTTTTAAAAACAGAGATCATCAAATTAATATCGTTATCGGCGTAGTTTACAACGACCGCTTTCGTGGCGAAGCCTTCACTGAATGATTTTATTAAACAGAAAACAAAATTATTCAAACAGTTCATGTTAAAATTATTGTTTACTTAATTGAATGTACCTTGACTGGCTTTGCATGCTTTACTTTTCAACAGGGATAGCGTCAACCAATTAGCCGCGCTTTACTGACCACATGGACCTGTGGCGGTATTATCGAGATAATTGACACTTAAAAATGGACGTTTGTTGTGAAAACAGGGTGGCGGATGGCGGTATGCGAATTTGGCGTTATAAAGAGAATTTTATATAGCAGGAAAAACGTTCTTGGGAAATCATGGCGATATTGCGAAAATGGCAATGAATCGAATGGCGATAATTCGAGAATTGACTGTACATCATACCCATAAAATTATGTCCCGATGTATCCACAAAATAATAAAATTTTGGACTTTCCACAAAGATGGACCCCCCTCAAATTAAAATATTTCCACGGTACATGTATATTCCATTTCTTATGTATTTTCCTAAATGACCGAGTAGCTATCACAGTAACTGTGGCTTTAATACCTGTTGGTGGGTTTTACAGTGATGGATAACAGCTGGTTCAGAACTCGGATAGTTCGAGATGTGGTCGTCTGTGCTGGATGTCTAAATCCTAAAATACAAACAGTCATGTAAATATACAGTATAAATAAGTAAAAAAAATCTAAGCGATGAAAAAGAGACACAAAATATCATGAATGCTGTACATGCCTTTCAGAAGATGACCAACTAGAGCGAAGTTGAAGTTGGCTTTGAAGCTGAGCCCCATGGCGTGGTCCAGCTGTTTGAAATGCCACTCTAAAGGATCCCTGGTCTCCATCATGATCTTCTCTAGAGGCTAACAGAGGGGGGAAAATTATAAAAGTATACTTTACACAAACTTTTCACAGTAAATAGATTGTACAGAAAGCTGATAGCTTTTCATAACATGAACATAAACTATATCCATACTGACAACAGACTCATCAAATCATTGTACTTTTATTCATCAAAATCATTTTCAGGAAATATAAAATGGAATGCAGAACCTGCATACAGCACCTTTAAAGTTTTAAAGCCAGCAGTACTTGCCTCTTTATCAAACAGTCCCATGTTGTCCTTGCCTCTTTATCAAACAGTCCCATGTTGTGTTTACCTCTCTATCAAACAGTCCCATGTTGTGCTTACCTCTCTATCAAACAGTCCCATGTTGTGCTTACCTCTCTATCAAACAGTCCCATGTTGTGTTTACCTCTCTATAAACAGTCCCATGTTGTGTTTACCTCTCTATCAAACAGTCCCATGTTGTCCTTACCTCTCTATCAAACAGTCCCATGTTGTCCTTACCTCTCTATCAAACAGTCCCATGTTGTCCTTACCTCTCTATCAAACAGTCCCATGTTGTGCTTACCTCTCTATCAAACAGTCCCATGTTGTGCTTACCTCTCTATCAAACAGTCCCATGTTGTGCTTACCTCTCTATCAAATAGTCCCATGTTGTCCAGGGTGTGGAGATTCTGCTCCAGTAGAGCCAAGCCTGCAGCGTATAATGACTGCTCATCCAGCTGTAGTACAGAAATGGCCACCCAGAACAGGAATCGGTGGATCGAGGAATCCTAGGAGTGGAAAATCAAAAACATGTAGGACAGTATTCTGTTTTAGATATCTAGAAATGCACTGCTTTTTACAAGGATTAACAGTTTGTGAATTTGTATTTTATGTCCAAGAACTTACAGATCTCAGTAGAGGCTGTAACCTTGTCAGACACATAACAATGGCCTCAATCAAGGTCAGGTCATTAAAGGACTCCAGAGCCTGTACGAAACAAGGAACGAAATTAGTCATATGATAGTAAAAGTATTAGTAAAGAACACTTTAGGTTACTTTTTTCTCAGAATATTGTTCAAAGCTCTCCAAAATTATCAACGGTAAAGTATCAACAAAGAACAGTATATGTATTTGGCAGTGCTTGCCTTCATCATGATTTTGAGGAGCTGTTTGATTTCTGAGTCGGTGACGGTTTTACTGATGCAGCCAAACACAATGATAGCTCGGGGCTGTAAGGCAGGATTGTACTGGAATGCAAACCTAAAAGGAAAAAAAAATCACAAAATGTTACGCTCATTGTCAGACTATGTACTATATATATATAATTTTTTTTTTACATTTACATAAGTCCAAATTTCAAATACTGTAACTCATGCTTTTAATTTTTCAAAGACTAATTAAGATTTTTTGCTGACATACCTTCTAGCCAAATCTGTCCATTGCTGGAGCCAATCACAACTTGGAATGTCTTTCATAGACGCCTACAAGAACAATAACATATCTATACTGATCTTAATTTTGATATATACAGATATTTTTTATTCCACAAAATGTATTAATACTTTCTAAGCATATTCATTTTTTAAGTTAGTGAAGGAAGGAATAGAAAAAATATTCCCCCAAAACACTACCTCCATGATCTCTAGAAGAGCATCTACAATGGTTTCCAGAGAGGAGAGAGACATTTTCTCGTGTTCTGGAGGGGACATGGTGAAGGATCTATCCCCCGGCCTAAAGCTGGTCCTGAATGCACTGACGGCAGCAGACTTGACCTTACTGATCCCAAACAACTGGTAGAACTTGGGGAGGGAGAACTCAGCCAAGCTCATCTTCAAAATCTTCATAGTGGTCTCTAAAATTTTAGTGTAAGCGTTAACCCAATAAATGAAAACTTTCCTTCTCTGATAATTTTCCACATACACAAAAATTTGAGATATCTTGGAAAATAACAATACATGTACATTGCCTTTACCATTATCCTGAAGACCAACAAATCTTATGTATTATTAAAATAACAATATTGTGACAGAGCGTTGAAGTTAAATACTGACCATTGATGGAGCTGAGCTGTGAACATGTACACAGTGAGTGGATGATGTTGATAACGAGCCCGTGTGTGGAGGCTCGCAGAGACAAAGGGCCTGTACACACCAGTAGTGTCACAATGTGAAACAGGAAGGGTAAATGACTAGCAACTACAAAATAAAACAAAACAGATTACCTTATAATCCAAGTGCCTCTGATGACATGATTCATAAACTACAATAAATTTCTTTTCTTCCAAATTTTAAGAACACTTGTAATTAAGAAAATTTAGGCAAAATGTCCGTCTTTGTTTCCACAATTAAAATGTTCAATCTTGGGAATTACACTTAAAAAAGGAAATATTTTTGTTTTTAATTACATACTCTGCCTACAGCTTACCATCTAATGAATTATTAAAAGACAACATGAGAAGATATCTGGCCAGAATAGCAATGTCATCCCACATCAAGTGCTGTTCCAATGTGGGGGTAGGGGAGGTGCAGGTCTTGTCTATCAGCTGTTTTAAAAAAATTAAATGTATATTTAAAATGCTTCTCAAATAACAATGTATATACATAATTATGAGTATGGCTCCCTACCACAAAAGTTTTACCTTAACCCCTTCAATTTCTATCATTTATTTATGTGAAAAAAATACTGTAAAACTTCTCATGTACAAGGGACAATTCAGTAAACTTTATGAGTTAAATCATTGATTGCATGCAAAATAAAGAAAGTTATACTTGCCCTGCACAATCGACCTATGACCTTTCTGGACACAAGCTGTACATTAGCAGAGGTCAAGGCCACTGCTGTGTCAGCCATGATTTCTGCCTGTATGGACCCCAGCCCTCCAGTGACACTTCTCTGTATGAATACAAATTAAACTTCATCAAATCTGTATCTCTACATCAAAATACAAAGTCAAGCATTTCTAGCACTGACTGTTTTATAATATTCTTTTCTACAATTTTAGTTTTTTACATAACTCTCATTCTCTTTCAATGTACTTTAATACAGCTATAGGCATATAGATTTCAATATTCCTTTTTACCTTGATAAAGCTATCTAGCACCATATCCAAGAGATCGGCCACTTTTCCGATGTTTCCCCAAATCTTGGCTTGAATCGAGGGATACATCTGTTGGCAGAAGAGGAAGTCCATACAGAATCATTGTAAAATCATTTTTTCTTTCTGTATGAAATGCTTGTATGCATTGTTCCTACAGAATCAGACATTTAATGGTGTATTTATGGACAACGTACCTCTACTTCCTCTATTGTCATGGTGATCAACTTGTCCAGAATCAAAGCCACTTTCTGTCTTTTATTCTCATCCGAGTGTTTACAAAATCTGTAAATATACAACAAATCAAGAATTAACATCTTTGCAAAATTATACATAATACATGTGTGTACACTTTACTAATATGCACCACATGTATAACTAAATTACTTGACAAAACATTTATTTTGTAAGGCCTTCTAGGACCCCATTCACTGACAACTGTAACAAACGTTCTGAAATCCATTATTTGACACTGACGCCCTTTACCTTGTGAGGTTAGGTAGCCATGGAGTGATGTACTCCAGACACAAGTGTTTCATCTCAATGTTCGAGTTACCAAACCCCTGTATACACTCCTCCAGGAACTCTAAGGTCAGATGTGGTTCATTTACAGCCAAGGTTTCACTGATCAGCTTGATGAAAATGGTATTGTTTGCAGGGATACATAATCCTAAACAAACAAAAAAAAACATCACAATATTGTCTCTTAGGTACTAAGAAAGATAATATTATATACTTTATTACTTAACACTGGATAATTCCTTAATTATTGTTTCCTTTTCGAGTATTTTTGCACAATCTAAGATTTTTCACCTCTATTAGACCCACTGATCAAAACCATATTGTTTTACATAACTATACAATATAATTACCTGTGGTTTCTAATAACTGGCCCTCAATTTTCAGGTCAAAGGTTTGAGTGAGTGCACACAGCAAGTTATAGGCAGCAGATCTGAGACTCGGGTCTGAGCTTCCGAGATTCAGCAGGGCGACGTTGAGCAGCGTGCCGGGCACGTCTTTTGGTCGGATTTTGGTGTGAACCGTCACAGACTCTGGTTGGGACAGTTCCCATCTGGTCCTTATGTGGATTATGTCATGGACAATGTTATCACAGTCATTATGAATAAAAGACAGGGGCCCACTCTCATTGGATATCGTCAAGGTAAACTGATTGTCATCAACTAAACACACCTGAAAAAAGAAGTGGGTAATGTGATTCCTAATAAATCAAAAAAAATCTTTAAAAATAAATAAGGATAAGAAGAATAAATGACATTTTCATCTTGATACAAAAATGAACATTCCTTATTATCTGCATGATAAGATTTCTGTTCATCTTAAGGAGTTCAGATTACTTCAGATTAAGATTTTTTCTAAACCCTGCCAAGTTTTACCTCTTCAATCTCCGATGCGTAGTAAATATCATTCAGCAGAACTTGATGTCCCAGTACTCTCAACTTCTCAGCAGAAGTGATCTGTATGGCGTTGGGCCCTACTTTGATTGTAACCTTCGTGTCCTTGTGAGATAGCTTCAGAGCATTGTTAGAAATTTTTAGATCCTCCTCCAGGGCTACAGTGGATCCTGGCAATTTCTGCTGATCAGGTTCAATGTACTCATTCAATCGGGCTGGATGGTCAATGAAAATAAGTTTCCTATTTCCCTGAAGAAAAAATAATCATTTTAACATAGTAGTTTTTCTTTACTTTTTAAAAGTCTTAGAAAATAGTTGTACATGTATTTGGGAAGCAGAAATGCAAAGAATCATAATTCTTCATATTAAAGCCATGCCACCTAGCTTCCCCTATATGATTCAGAAATAAATTCTGGTTTTCCAGCTTCCTACAGACAGACAAGGAGACACCCTATGTTTTATTGTCTTACTTTGAGAGGGTTGAGGATGCGGTCGTGGTACTTGGTGTACTCTCTGACCCAGGAGTTACAGTTGTAGATGTAGGAGGCCGTGATGTTCTGATACACCACCTCCGGCATCACCACAAACCACTTAGACAGGAAATCAGTCTGAAAACAATTCTTATACATTATACACTGTTCATCCTATCAGCTTCTTAAAGCACATATTCATATACAGTGCAACAATGTCTTTCTTTAATGTTTTAAAATATGCAATCCTTGTATATGTGGGACTTACCCTAAATCTATTTTCTGCACAGGTGTGTGTAAAGTCTATCACAAGTTCAAATGGCTTGTTGTAGAATGGTTTGAGTGTTAACAGCACGTGGTAGATAAGGAGATCTCCATTTATCTCTCCAACCCTAGGCAAAATCAAATAAAACAAGAAAATGACAATTTCTTCCAAATATATACCTCACATTTGTAAATTTAACTGATAAAATGCCCTTTTGGTAAGAGACTTTTTTTAAAAACAAGTACTTCAAATCTATACTTATTGCATCTGTAATTGAGACATGACACGACACAGAATTGACCAATCAAAAGAAGCCTTACTTGTATCGTCTGGCTATGTAATAAAACACTGGGTTGCCTGCGATGCTGGTGCCCGCCTGATAAAAGATCAGGAGATTCTTCAGGGACTTGAACTCGTCCTTCTCGTGCATGTTGTGTTTGGACATGATCTCCTCAAACTTGGTGCTGGTCATATCCATGCTGGACCATCTAGTGGCAAATATCCCAACACTATCAGGAAAATTGTAAAGGCATCCATCAGAGAGAGTCATGCACATGCCCAGGAAAGCAATCATGTCTTTATGATTGGTTATATGCATGAGGTTCAAAGGTCAGACAGAAATGCATTTACAGTACTAGCTATCCTACATATTCATAGGTACAAGTTTTTCTCAATATGGATGCATGTGAAATTATGTCAGTGTAAAGAATACTAATATTGAAATATTCATTTAAATACCTTAATAGAAATCATGCACTGCCTTAATCCTAAAATTTCTTACATAGACTTAAATGTGCATATTCATGCTTTATGGAGGATGTGATGTATTTGATCTGAAATCATGCATTGGATGTTGTTCACATTCATTCCAATGTTGCACTATTTTGGTTAAGTAAATGTTTGTAGTTTACTACCCACTACAGCTAAGTTTGTCAGTTCTATCTTTCTGTCAATTAGTACTGTCCTACATGTAAATATTTTCTTCATATACAGTTCACTCATGCATTCTATACTGATATTTTTAAATAACTTTTTTATGAATGAAGTCTTTTTTGATTTTGTAAAGTGAAGTAGTTGTACAAGAATACTGTTTACTCACTGAGAGTCCAGAGGCCTGTGTTCTGGCGGCCCCAGATACGCCAATAAAGTCGCCATCTTGTCAAATGGTCTCCTTCCTACCGCCTTGTGGTCTCTACAGATACAGATAAAACACTGATTAAACACAGGTACAAGAAACTTGAATCTTAACTTTGACTATTGCAACATCAGAGAAAATGGTTCCTATAAATGGTCTTGCAACCATTAAGTTTCTGGTAGGGATCCCAGAGAGACTGTTTCATTTTACAGTAAACAAAATGATTAGAAAGCATTTATTATTTTCTCAACATATACAATACACTGTACAAAGCTGTAAATGGATGAGAAGCAGCTTTTTCATCTGCAATGATCTTTCAGCATAAGCACTTGTATTTTTGGCCTTAAAAGCATAGAAGAAACAGCATTTCCCAATATTGTCTTCATAGTAAAAAATGGATAATTGAGAAAAAAAGAAATAAATTCTGCGACTCTGGTATAACACGAGTAGAAGGACTAGCTGGTAGAGGGTATACCTGCTGCTGGACAGATAGTCCCCTATCTTCTCCTGGTTGTTCCACAGCAGTCTGTGTAGAGCCAGAACGTTGGCATCGTTAATGAAGGAGAGGCTGTGATTCCCCGTGTCTGGAATGTCTCCGTCAGAGGCAATCTCCGTAAAAAACCTGAAACAAAATATGTAAATCAAACATTTGTAAAACGTATCCCTTTCCATCGTGTCAATAAAACCTTCTATTTGGCTTTCAACTTGTAATTCTTCACTAACCTTCTACCAGCCTCAAAATTGGTTTTGAGGAACTCATTAAATGTTCTCATGTGGTTTTCCTTGGTGAACTGCAGGTGGTTGGCAATGTTTTGCATTATTTTGCACATAAGCGTCAGCCCTCTTTTGACTTTCTGTGTCGGCTCTTCATCAATTATTCCCGACTCAAATGGAGACACTAAAATCCAAGTTCATTTCATTTTCAACTGTATATCACAAAATAGCAAGTTTGCAAAAAGGATGCATATATCTAAAAGAAATTTAGTAGAAAAATTCTTATTTCTGTACACCTTATTTTGAGAAATTGTCTCATTAGTTACACATATTTTTTCCTTACAAATCAAAGTTTTCTCTTATCTACATCCATATTTTCAGATTTTTCACTCCATTTGTATCTGTTATAAATTTTTTTTTATCAATGTACCATTCAAACCAAATTATCCACATTCCCAAAAAACTTCTCTCAATTCTCGAACTTATAAACATAAATAAATATTACATTGCATTACTTTAATATTAGCAAAATACAATCATAATGGTTGTTAACATACAAACAGGTACAGAGTTGTTAGTGTTAATATCAGAGGGAAGTCAGCTGCGGATATAACAGGTAGCCAAGCACATGCAACTTAATGAGAACCGCAAACCAATACCTGGCAGCTTCATTCAGGCTAAACTGTAGATACATGCCACATGTTATTATAGTACATGTACCTGGTATATTAATTTAATATTTTTTTATTACACAGGGAAGAAAACTAGAGCTGCAACTTCACAGAATATTATTTAACCTTTCCAAAACAAAATATATATCACCATTCACTAAACACACTTCACTCTTCCAATAAACCCACCAAAGCACACTACATGTACTAGGGGATGACAAAAGTATATAGAAATCCCTACTTTCCTAAATATGATATGATCTACCGATTCTACATTATATATGCACTGTATACTAGTATGTCTTTCTTCTAGTTATTAAATTAATCAATCTTATTCACAAACTTTTTATGTATTTAAAGCAAGTAACATTATGCTAGATATGATATTGTGCTAAAATTCAAAAAATATTCATTGTGGAATAAAAATTACAAACACTATAATAAATCTTTAATTTTTTTTGTCAATAACATCAATAATCGTCAATTTTTTTTTTTTCACTATTATATGTATTCGTGATTTTTCACAATTTTTATACTGAATTTTTATAAACTTTAAGGTATGTATCACACAATTAATTCTGAAGATGAAATTGACATTTTCTGAAGCCTTTCAACTTTTAATAACCTTTCCTGTGACCTTGACATTTAAACTATGGCCTCCTGACCTTGTAAAATAAGACTGAGTACTAATCTCCCATCACAAAAAAAAAGAAAACAACACTTGATCACCACACTAACACCATATATATGTTCACACAAACACCACAACTGTTAAGACAGACTCCAAAGTTCCACGACAACAATGGATTACAATTCTCAAAATGTACACAACTCAAACTTCAGTTGAATGCAAACTTTGACAAGTTTAAATCTTGTTTTTCACACTCTTGACCTGCTTTCACTTAAGATTTTTTAATAATTGTTCTACAATATATTTTTTATTTTCACTTTGAAAGCAGGTCAAAAAAGAAATTGCATATGTATACTAGTTTTAGAATACATTACATCTTTTGAGAGAAAAAAAACAAAAAACAGAAAAAAAACTTATCCAAATGCTTGGACAGTCTGTGATTGTCAGAGAGTTACCTATCGCTGGGTTGATGAAGCGTAAGAAAATAACTGTGCCAATAACAGTCCACACGGCCTCCGTGGAACTCTGCTGGAATCTCTGTGTCACTACTTGGTACAGGCAGTGACACATGCTTCGCAGCTTAGACGGAAACCTGTGAAGGCAACAAGGTGTTCAAGATCCAACAAAAAATCTCTCTCTCATACTCTAAAGTTTAAATGCTACACTTAGACAAGGTCTCTCCATCTGTCAGACTTGGGTGTTATATGTCCAGGCTCTGGCTTATGCTGAAGTATACAGGATAATGAAGAATGATCAGTGGCGGATCCACACAAAATCACTGACAAATCTCGAGTTTAGAACAATTTCAGGAGATTTTATACCCCTGCATTCTCTATTACCCACCTTGGATCCACCACTGATCAAGTTCATTGCCTTATACAAATAATAAATGTTCAAGGCATTCCAGATTTGGGGCCGTCTTGCATGTTAATATACATGTAGCTGTAATAGAAGAAGAGCCTCTTGGATATGTCTGTGCAGCAGTTGTGTGGGTAACTGGGCATTATCCATTTTTAAGGTGCTTTTGATATTAGTAGACATTTTATCAAGAATATTCATATCTGAATATGCCTACATATGGCTTTATATGGTATATTCTATTATCCATGTGACAATTTTTTTTATTCCCTCAATTTTGATTTGAAAAAAAAAAATATTTTGATGAAATGATTCCATCATGAGCAAAGAAATGCTACCTTATGTAAATAAATAATTCATTTAAAATAAGAATTAATAAAATGAATTAAAATACAGCTAAAAAATGTTCATTAAATCATAAACCAATGATATACAGATTGCTAAGTTAGAAAACATGCACTAATTTCCAATTTTCTTTCTATCTGAAAAGGAAGTACAGGAAAGCAAAAATTGTCACATCTATTACAAAGAAGAAAAAAAGTATGTACATTCCAAAGTGTTAAATTTATACAGCTGACATTCAAAATAGAGGCAGAAAGTTTGATATGGATTTCCGCAGCAAGCAGCAGGCTCTCGATAAATACTTCGTGTTTACCTAACACGGGATTGTAAAATCGTAGGAAAATTACGGTCCCTGTCGCAAAAATACTATCGTGTGGAAAACGGATACTTATCACTTGAAAAAGGCAATGGCACATGACTCTCAGTTTGGGAGGAAACCTGATAAAAATCACTATAAAGTTAGAGATTTCTGTTCTCTTTGATACCAATCTTAGTTTAATATAAACAACCAATGTAATGCTCTTCATGGTTAAAATATGTTTTTTAAATTAACTTTTTAAACATGAAATTTTGCATAAATTCAGCAAAGAGTTCAATAGATTTTAGATGGTAACCCCCCTTCCCCGCTTTTTACCGACTTCTGAATGCAGTGAACTTACTGAGGCGCTGATCCTACAATAGAATCAAACACCTTCTGGGTGATTATCATCAAATTCTTCTTGTTTTCCTCTATATTCTCACCATGTTCCAACCTACATTTGAAAAATATTGTAATATTATTAAGACCTGAAAATAGATAATCTGAATGTACATCTACAAAGCAAATTTAGTAAACAAACACACTATTATTCTTTATGTATACTTGAAATCTCTTCTAAATGTACAAGTGAAACCATCAGTTTCACTTTGAGAAAACCATTACCTCGCTGGATCAATTTCAAAGCACACTTTCTGTTGCTTTTCCAGCTGAGCCATCTCCATGATGTGAGGATTAAGTAATTCTCGTAAGTAGTTCTGGCCGTAAAATCGGAAGCAGTAGGCCATGATCTTGCTGGCCAGAGAATTGCCGCGGAACAATGTCTGCATGCAGTCAGCAATCTCCACCTGTCCATCAAAATTCTAAATCATTTATAAACAGCCATCTTACTTCAGAGAGACTGTGTGAGTTACTAATAAAACTAACCACAACAAAATATAATATAGTTCTGTTAATTTTTTGTGAAAAAGAAATCTTTGTGTTTTTAGTGTTGAAATAAAGACAATAACAAAATTCCAGAAAACAAAAAAGAAAGTTCACATTTTTTTAAAAGGTATACCGGCCAAAAGGATCAAATGAAAACCAAACATGTAGTATATCACAATGCAATTAATTTTTACAAAGAAAATAATAAACGGAAATAAAATAAAAAAGAAAGAAGCAATACGTACATGAATACATACCTCCTTGGAGAACATGTTCCACAGAAGCTGGTATAGGAGATGCTTGGCATCAAACAGATTAACAAACACTCGGGCCAGTTCATCCTGCGAGAACAAATCATTGAATGTGGAATTTAAAGTCATAATATGTCACATTAATGTATTCTTAAGTCTGCCAATAGTTTCTAATATCTCTCATCATAAATAAACAAACTTTAATTAAAAAAACAAAATCATCTTTTCCACCAGAAAAACCCAAATCAATTGTAGAGGATGTGTAGAATAAGATATTTAAATGTACTCACCATTTGTTGAGAAGGTACCACCGTGGCCAGTGCCATGGCTATAGGAAGCTCCCCTTTGTCCCCAATCATGGTCACTAGTTCCACCAACCTCTCGAACCTGTCCGCCAGGGCAGTCTCGGCCAGGGTCTCAAACTCTGTCCCCTGCTGCAGGATCTTAGTCAGGACCTCCATGAAGGCTGCCCTGGTCTGGGGATCTTTGTGGTATCCCAGAGCTGTCAATTCAAAATGGCACTGTACAAGTACAATTTATATGTCTCTCTTATTTACTGTAATTAAAATATGTAAACATGAAATGATGTTTTTTCTGTTATTCAGCCCTTGATAGTATGTCAACATGTTTCAGAATATTACAGCTATAAGAGGTGAATAAATTATTAATTTACTAATCAATAATGTATATTTATAATAACATAATACTGTCTTCCTACATAGTCTGACTTAATTGATTGCAGCAGATTTTCTTTTTTCTTTGAACACAATACCAACCTATAGAGTGCATCATGCCGCTGTCAATCTTGGCATTAAGGAGGTTGGTACCTACCTATAGAGTGCATCAGGCCGCTGTCAATGTTGGCATTAAGGAGGTTGGTACCTACCTATAGAGTGCATCAGGCCGCTGTCAATGTTGGCATTAAGGAGGTTGGACATGGCCTGGACTGTACAGTTCCTGAGGGCAGACAGGTTAGACGTGCTCCGCTTTCTGTTAGGGTCCATGGCTGTGTCCTGTTCTTCTTCTGAACAGTCATTCAGGAGGTTCATAAATAATGTCAGGTATCTACAGGAAATAAAAATTTTATTATTAACAATTGTCATATTGTCATTACAGTGTACAGTGGAGCCTCATTTATCCGGACGCTTTGGTTCCCAGTCAATTTGTCCGGATATATGAAGCGTCCGGATACCTGAATCACCAGTAAACAAGACTAAATAACATTAAAAAATTCCGTTCCGATAAAAAATCGTCTGGATACTGAAGCATCCAGATATCTGGCGTCCGGATATCTGAAGGTCCACTGTACTTTCTTTCAATCCTTCAAATGATGCTTTATTGGCATGCAATTAATCAAACAAATCAAGCTTTTTTTCTTCTTTTTTTTTGTTATTTGTCTCTCCCCCCCCCCTTGTAATTACTTACTTATAATTTTCATGTATCTAGGTAGTTAGTCTTATAGTCTAATTATCATTAAGACAGAACTAGTAATTTTTTCAAGGAGATCAAAATTATTGAATAAAAAAACACTGGTTAATCACTAGCCCTCTTACTTAAGGAATAGTTGTGATTTGGCCTCCATGAGGTCGCCACGGTCACTCTCCTCTGGCTGGAGGGGTAATCCTGCCAGCAGGGCCGCCACCCCCTGCATACTGGCCTGATCCAAGTCTCTGTGATAAACAGGAGGCAGAACTGTACACTAAACTTCAACAAGATTTAGCTAGCAATAATAATGTGCAGAAATGGAGATCTTACAAAGTTAACTATTATTTCTAGATTTTAAGTTCTGATCATCTGAGTTTTTTCTCTTTATTCCATTATGATAATATTTCTTGCAATGAAACTAACATTCCTTAATAAATCTGTTCATTTCATTGAACTTTTCTCACTGTTAAGTTGATTCAATTCATCTAGAACAATTACAAACGAGTGCATGCATTCCAAAATATTATATATATATATCACAGAAAGAAATAAGTTCAACACCAAAGTGGTTTGGGTGGGAGGTTAAAAGTGAAAAATAAAGAAAAAATAACCAAAGACATAAAACGGAATGGAGAGAAGAAAAAAAGCTGAAAATGATTTAAAAAGGCAGTTTATAAGCTTTCTCACAGCTTCAGAGATGTCTAACTGCTGACCAATATAGCTGTGTGTACACAATTTAGAAAAAAAAATTCTATTTTTATGCTTGTGATGTGAAATTTCTGAAGAATTTAAGGTGAGGGGTAGTCTTGAGTAGAAGAGAGAAGTGTTAGTAAGAGATGAAAACAACTGTATAGATTGACCTACAAATCTCTATACCTGACCCAAAAACAAAGTCCAGACACGCCCACTTTGTGAAGTCAAGTATTTGTTCTTTAAAATATTTTCTCCAACTTGTTAACCATAAATGTGGAAAACTTATCTTATTTTTCAAACGATAAAATGTGACTGGTAAATTTAACTTCACCATCCCATAGAAAAACTCTTATTAAATACCTCATTTAATTTTAGAATATTTTGGCAAGTTTCCACATTTACTTTTAACAATCTCTTTCTTATTCGGATGTTACCATTTGAGTTCAGTTTTTTAAATAATTGCCTGCACTACTTGCTGATTAGACCCTGCTAATGAATTAGGAGACCTAAGAACAGATACTTTGTCACAAGTGGGCAGATACTCACACCGTGGTTTGGGAGTGCAGAAATAATGGTGTGGGACTGGGCACATAGGGTGGGCCCTTGGCACAGGAGCCCGGCCCACTCGGATTGTGAATATATCGCTGTAGCCCAGTTCTAGGCATAGGTTTCCTGATAAGAGATAAGCTTTTTTAAACCTTCATTCATCTTTGCAACCCAAGGGTCTTAAACCTTCATTCATCTTTGCAACCCAAGGGTCTTAAGTAAAGTCGACCAAAAACCCTAGGCTTGTGAAGATGACTACCATTTAGCTTTATAATAAAAACCAAACGGTTTGGTGTCAAAATTATATCCACTGTCAAGTTCACTAATGTATGTCAACATCTAAGTCAACTCTTTTTTTTTTAATGTAAGACCAGAGATTACCGGTATAAAGTGTTTATATTTTTTTTTTATTTAATAATTTTTAAACATTTCTCTACTGAAGGTCTGAAGCTAGATTGAAGTATTACCATTATCAAGGCTAGAAAAAATTATAATTCAATCAGTCACTCCAACTTAGATAATAATACTGAAATCAGATAACTTTTGTTTTAAATTCAATCAAAGCTAGTAGCTTATACAGGCAAAATGCAAAGGCTGTGAATTCTAACTTGCAAAAAAAAGTATGATCTTTTTTTTTCAATTTGCAGAGACTGCAGCTTTTATAAAAGCAGTGAAAGACAAATGCCAAGTTCTACTTGTGTACTCTCAATTAACGGAAATCAAAAAAATATGTTCAGTGTACACATTTACGAGAAATGCAATGATTCAAACTATGTATTAATCCATGACATCACTGAATGTAAGGACATATGTATATAGAGAGGTAAACAAATAATAGGGAATTTTCATGATTGGACAGAATAAACAATTTTACATACCCAAACAAAATGAAAATAAATTCATAGACATTTACTATTTACTACTTGCAAATATAAAATTACACTTGCAACTAAGAATGTAAAATTGCAACAGAAAATCTAATTAACACATGGGTTACATCTGATCAAAAATTGCCTGAAAAAAAATCACCATCTCCCCTTTCTCAATCAATGAACACTGAATGCCAAAAATACTTCAAACTTGACCTCAAACATTACTAAAATATTAAAAGGACTCTGAAGTGCTTCAGAATTCCAGAGAAAAGACAATACATCTCATGTAAAAATATATTCTCAAGCTTTAGCTTTTTTTGTAACATCTGTAATGTACCAATAATTCAAAAGATACCAAAAAACAGTATACAATTAACATGATAAATAAATTTTGTTAATGATCCATCATATTCATACTGCTACTTTTTAAACACTGTGTACCCAGAAATTGCAACATTTTTTGATATTACAATGTTCTGCATTTATGTCGCATTTTTGATCAGAGTAGTAACTGGACACAATTGTTGGTACAACCACAGACAAACAAGGAATAATCATGTAAATGGCCATACCACAGAAACACAGACATTGAAGAATGGACATACCTTGACATGCTACACATATCACCGATGTTAACTTGATGGGAATTTCCCATGATCCAATCCGTCAGATACTCCACTAATTTGTTGCGAAATTTCATCTCTTGCCTGAATGTCAGGTCATCGCGCCGGTGCATCATGGCTTCCACTAACTGACAGAGTTTGATCTTTATCTGAATGGCGTGGACAGTGGAATCTAGATGCCTCACATACCTAAAACGAAGAATAATTTGTAAACAGATATTGAACCCCATTTTACAACTGCACAGAAAGAAGCCAGTGGTTCAGTAAATTAAGTAAATGTATTATACATGTATTTAGCATGTACAATATTTGGTGGACCTTGATCTTGGAACAAGTTAGCGAAGACTTGATTTAGCTTATCCTCTTATGTTCATTTGTATCAACATGTGCAAGACATTCAGTGTTTTATTTGAATAAGTTGAAGTTGCTTTCTGTGAAAGGTACCAAAAAGAATAAACAGCAAAATGTAATACATTTACAATTAATTTTTCTTTTCTGAAATCTAACTTTTTTCCTTAGATCTGTATCTTCTTGATTAGTTGAGTATTTGTTTGGTTGTTAAGTATTTGTTTGGTTTACCTGACCACTGCCAACATGAGGGATTCAATACTGGTGACCCCTAAATGTTCACAGGGCTGGTCTGTTGTCTTCATTTCTAGAATATTCTTCATAATAAATATCACATTCTCTGTGAACTGGGTGTTCAAATCTGTCACCATCACCTGGAAAGATGAAATGCTATGTTTACAAAACAGAGAAATCTCCAGTTTTCCATTACAGTTTAAGCTTGAAAATTAAATTTCCTTACCTGACCAGAGGGATCAAAGAACTTGTCCACTGAGACTTTGATTTGGTCGAACAGAATGGGATAAAGGGCCGGATTTAACTCATGTCCTACCAACTCCTTTACATGTTTCTGAATCTGAGCTCCAAACTTCTCATTCTGACAGACCAACAACTTCAGCATGTTACTGATAAATCTACAAGAAGAAAAATGATGTGCCATCATACTGACTTACTTCTAAATGACAAAAATCTGCTTTTTTTTTAAAGAAAAGAAATAATCTGCATCAAGATTTGTATAAATGTATGAAACTTGTCAGATTCCTGGATAGCAGATAAGTCTACTTACTGTGTGACAGGACAGTACTGAGTATCATAACTCTGCATCAAGCTGCTCTTACGAGAATCCAGTCCTGATGCTATGGAAGGCCCTCCGCTTCTGTAAAATAATTCAGAACATTAGTTGAAATCATGAATAAAACACTGAAACTTTAAATAAATGTTTCTTATATTTATTACCAGTGGAAGCACCCTTGGTTTAAAACATTCATTTTTCTCATTTGACAACCAGTTTGGATGACAATGAACATCTACTAGTGACTGCTTACATTCTATGTGGTCTGTTCTGCAGTCTTACACCTCCCAAAGCACACAAAAATCCTGTCATGTTGGCCCACTCATTCAACTGGTCCTGAAATGTCAAAGTTTCCAATGACATAGATATTTCCAACTTTTTAACAACCCATCAATTTTTTTAGCATACCTGTTCAAAAGTCAATCATTTTGACTTTTTTCTATGAACAGGTTTCCCCAAGAAATTATGTGAATACTATAATACATCTTTACAACTGGATTTATGCACATTCTTGTAATACACAGATTAAACACAAGGTATGAAGACAGACCTCCAGCTCATGTTCTGTGTTTGCGTGATGAGGTGGTTTTCTCTTCCTAATGGTGTCCCCCAGGCCTGTTGGAATTTCTGAGTCTGTTTTCACTTTTGCGTCCTTGGGATAATTCTCTAAATACTGTGTGATAACTTCCCAGTTCCTGAATGTGTCATCCCAGGCCTATTTACAGTATAAATATATTATTACTGAAGTTTCAGCAGACAAAAATCGGATGTAAAAAAACTTTTGATACCAAAATTTGAAAACACTACAAAATAATTTTTTTTGTCAATAGTCATGATATGATAAATTATAATAATAACAGATTTTTGTGCTGAATACTTCACCTGTGAGTTTCCTGATGTGTACTGGTCTATTTTTCTTAACAAAGCCATGATACGTTTTTGTAACGCAGCTCTCCCTAAAAAGTCACAAGGCAAGACATTTTTTTTAATACAAAGAAATACTCCTGCCTGAAGACAAAACCATCACTGAAACATTTTCTCATAGCAGACCAAACACCCACACAATTCACAAGGAAGTATGGTTGACTTATTTTTAATTTGTCCATTACCTGTTGTTAATACAGTGCTGGCCTGAGCAATGTCGGCATACACATTGTAGTTAGGGAGTATCTGGGTAACTGCCATCTCGTCTGATCCACATCTAATGTCAGCTTCCTCACACAGAAGGTGAAAACAGGACATGCCCGTCAACACAGCATCAATGTCAATACTCCACAGGTACATGAAAAATACAACCTGAAATCAAATTCAAAAGTAATTTTTATACATTTATAGTATATGTATATTTCAGCACAATGCAAGTTATACCTATTACAAAACATATTCCATAGATAAAGATGAAATGTGAATAAGATATATTTAATTATCAAGGTGACACTGCTTTCCAATATAGGCAAATTATAAAGGAAGAGGCACAAGTATTTTAAATTTTCTCTATTTACAAGATTATCTTTATTAAGAGAATACAATTTCCCACCTCTAACTTGATGTGGATACAGATGGTCTTGTTGTTGCCCAGGTTGGCGTTAGCACTGTGTTTCTGGAGGAAGGTATTCCTACACACCAGGATATCTCGCAGCCACTTCAGGATCTCGGTATAATTTACCAGCTGTCTCTGAATCAACTTTTGAGATATGGAGAACAGTACTTGTGAACTACAATATGAAACAAATGCTTACTTATATGAACATATATAAGCCTGTGGATCTGAAAATCACACTGAATAAAATAATGTGTGGAAGTAAGTTTTTCCATAATAAAAATATGTATCAAACACCAATTATGAAATTTTTATTCCAGTGACCTTGAACTTCCCCAGATAATCTTGGGTCAAGGTCATGACACACCCTTGGGTCATGGGCAACAGTGAAATATATCAAGTTTATCCATATAAAGATATGGACCGGACACGAATTATGATATTTTTATTCCACTGACCTTGAACTACCCCAAATGACCTTGGGTCAAGGTCATGACACTGATTAATCTTTCAGTGAAATGAGAACCTACCAAGTTTATCCATAGGAAAGATATGGACCGGACATGAATTATGATATTTTTCTTCCAGTGACCTTGAACTACCCCAAATGACCTTGGGTCAAGGTCATGACACACCCTTGGGTCATGGGCAATCTTTGTGTGAAATGAGAATCTACCAAGTTTATCCATAAGAAAGATATGGACCGGACACGAATTACATATTTTTCTTCCAGTGACCATGAACTTCCCCAAATGACCTTGGGTCAAGGTCATGACACACCCTTGGGTCATGGGCAATCTTTGTGTGAAATAAAAACCTACCAAGTTTATCCATAAGAAAGATATGGACCGGACAGGAATTATGAAAATTTTCTTCCAGTGACCTTGAACTTTCCAAATTGACCTTGGGTCAAGGTCATGACACATCCTTAAGCAGGGTCATGGGCAATCTTTGTGTGAAATGAGAACCTACCAAGTTTATCTATAAAAGATATGTATCAAACATGATTTTTGAAAATTTTCTTCCAGTGACCTTGAACTTTCTCAAATGACCTTGGGTCAAGGTCATGACACACCCTTGGGTCATGGGCAATCTTTGTGTGAAATGAGAACCTACCAAGTTTATCAATAAAGATATGGACCGGACGAATTATGAAATTTTTCTTCCAGCGACCTTGAACTTCCCCAAATGACCTTGGATCAAGGTCATGACACATCCTTAGGTCATGAGCAATCTTAGTGTGGAGTAGTAGATTCTAATGTCCCTCTGTAAGAAAGATATGGACCGGACACGATTGCACAGACAAACGGACAGCTAGACAGACGGACGGACGGACGGACAGCTAGACAGACGGACAGACGGACAAGGTGATTCCTATATACCCCCCCAAACTTCGTTTGCGGGGGGTATAATAACACCAATATATACTTGTACAATGTACCTGTACCTAATTAAAGACCAAACATAGATGGAAACCTTGTGTAAAAATATCTATCTGTACTTCTTAAATTTATTTTTTCAAACCCTCTTTCAAAACAATACACCATGATACAAATGAGAAAATTCCCATTTCTGACTGACCTGACATCCCAGAATGTGTTAATGGGTGACTCCGGATTCCACAACTCAATATTCTGGGGTTGATGTAAGCAGAGCAAGGCCTGGAAATAGACAATCTTATGTCAAAAATTTGATACAAAAACTGTAGTTTACATCTTTCTCTGAAACTTGTTTTCAGTATTAAATGTACACACAAAATGTGACTGAAAAATATAATAGCATTCATCAAGCGAGAATCTATTCAAGTGCATCAGAACAGCTCAGTTTTGGCAAATCCTGTAAATCATTTTACTCAAATTTCCCTTTCCTGAAAACAAAAGTTTCAACTGTCCTTAAAATTTCCTGTCCTAGTCCATAACGTAATGCAATTTTACCGAAACTTGTATTTTAAAAGTTATTATTATATCCCAAAAACCTGCTGCTAAAAATAACTCTTCTGTACCTCCATAGCTTCTTGAGCCACATCTGGCATACACTGCTGATGAACCAGAGAGACCAGTCCGTTCATCAACTCCAGGGTGCTGCTCTGAATCTCATGACCTGGCTTACCCTGATTCTGCAAATGGAACCTTCAAGTTACACCAGAACAAGTTTGATACAAATAAACAGATTCAAAAGAAAACACAGCCCAAAATCAATAGGTAAACAATGATTGGTGAATTTAGCCAAATGTACATTGTATCAATGTATTACAAAACTACAGATCAATCAACTAAAGCATTGGAATATTCCACTATATACACCTTTTCCTTTCCATAAGATATGTATATAACTAAGTTACAATATTATTATCACAAATGCTACAGAATTAATCGTCATCTAATTTTTCATGGATTATTCCTGTCCACAAGAAAACCTTCAAAATTTCCCTGTACAAATGATAATAGGCTTCTGACTCACATGTAACATCAGGTAGGGGTCAGCATGAATGAGTCTCACAATCCACAGCAGCAGGTAGCGGTAGGTCGTCATGTTCTCATCTGTAGCCTTACTCAGTTTGTACAGGGTCATCTTGGTAAAGTTCTGAAGGAAAAACAATTTTACCATGTTATCAAACTGTGATTTAACTCAACCATGTATAGTAAAACACACTTATCATGAATTGCCACAGTTGGGCAATTTTGCTTCCTTATAAAACCTAATTCATGATATCTGTTCAGTTCTCCATGATTTTTAAAGCAACAGGAAATAAAAATCACTTTGCTGTAAGCATTAATTTGTATATCCTAGGTGGGAGAAATGTTAAATTCTTACAGACTTACTGCTATACTGACGTAGGGGATGCTGCTCCCAGTGACCTTGGGGGTGGGGTTGGTGGCCATACCCTGGGTCACTTTATTCAGGGTATCAGTGAACATGCTGCGGAGCTCAGCTGCTTTCCCATATATGATATTGATACTGGGCCACCAGGGCAGTCTTTGCTATAAACATATATCCAATTTCCTTACTTATTTACAGCAAAATACTTTTAAGTGGCTGGTGTATGTTACATGATGTCACTTAACTCATCACTTGCCATAAAATACTTATCTAATAATGACTCTACTTCAAAATACATCTTTTCACAAGTACATAAAACAGATAATTATCTAAGAACTTTAAAGTATTTTCCTGCATCACATATCATTCATCTTAGAACATTAAATAATTTCTGTCTTTTCAGCCACTAAACCACAGCTTCAGAATACCAAATGCTAACCAGTTTAAATTTAAACCTTACCTGAGTGATAATTCTGTGCAGTGCATTGACCAGTACAAAGTGATAGATGGGAGGGGAGTGTGGATTCAGACAGATCTTCAGAACGTCGTTATTATGTGGTGTAATTCTAAAACAGGACACAAAGCAATCTATATATAAATCCAGGTCCTGTCCCACAATGCCCTGCCCCCGGGAGAAAGCTTTGGTGGGTGGTGGTGTGAACAGAAGATTCTGAAACAAGCAATAAAACAAAAAATCAAATTCTGTCACACAAATTATCAGACTTGAACAAAGAATATTTAGAGGTTCAGATTTTTATCTTTTGTGATATGCATTTATAAATATACTCAAAAGTATAACCAATTTAATATAACTTTTTGAATTCTTTTCAAGAAAATTTTATTACCTTTAAATCATTAATGATGGACTGTACAAAGGAGAAGAGGACATTTAGGCGGTCGTTGATGCTGATGTAAGTGGAGGCTTTACACAGTCGGACACAGGTAATGGCAGCGCCCTCTATCATCTGTTTCGAACCTCCATGATGGGAGGCAATAGCTTTCTTCACCTCGTCAATGAACATTTTCTGAAAAAGAAATCATCACATCCATACACAAGCCTTTAAGTATTCCTCCTTGATGAATATTTGAAATTTTACTTACTTTTTTCATAATTTGTTGTGAACAAGGAGCACCTGCATCTGCATTACTTATTTCTTCCAAGATTTTCTAGAAAAGAAGAAAAATGATCCACTAGTAACATTTATCCTCAAAATGTGTTTATTATTCATACAGATATAAATTTAGTAATCCTGAGAAATTGTAAAAAAAATTCTTCAAGAAAATAAGTAAAATTAAATCTAGACTTACTGGGGACATGACGAGCAGCATCATCTGTAACGGCCAAACGGCTGCTGTCCTCTTCCGGGACTCCATACAACTCGTGTTAAAATGCTCAAACAATTTGTCTGAACACTCTGTCGTAAGAAAAAAAAATAATATGGATTAATGAATTTATCTTTCTGTATTAATATACAGTTTTTCTTACGAGCATGAATTCTGGGCATTTTGTCCATATATAAATGCTTTATCTTTGCCAAATGTTAAACATTTTATAATAAAAATATATCATAATCAAAAAATACAATTTCAAAATAAATGTATATTTTTTTTTTACTTTTTAAACTGGTCATTATAATATCTCAACAGCAGTTCTATTCAATAAAGAGGAAAGGATTCTGAAACATTTATATAATGTAAATCATGCTTTTCCAGTTATCTACCTTGCAATTCTTCATTTGGCCTTTTCTGCAAGTCTGTAAATTCTTCAGGGTAATTGTCCATCCAATTCCATATTGCCTAACATAGAAATAAATGTTGACATCAAAAACCATATTTAATACAATGGTTAGGACTCTTCTGATGAATTTCATCAGAAATATACATGCATATACATGCATCACAGCTTTCATTTAAATTTCTTCCAAATGCTTAAAATTTCAAATTGCTGTCGATCATTTAGAATCTCACCTTTTCTAAATTATTGGCCAATGTCTGAAACACCTGTTTCTTAATGGGCTTAAATTTACACACTACCTCTGGAAATAAAACAATATGCACAAATATACATGTTTTATAATTTTTGGACATGCCTTAATTGACTACCATAGTATCTGTACAAGAACTTGATATCTTAAATATAAAAGATTTATTTGCCTGGATACCAATACTGGAATAAGAGATATCTTTTGACATCTCTACAAGTATATGACATTTTATTAAAAGGAAGACAAAGATACATGTATATGCACAAATAAAAATAAAAATTGATATCTCCATTTTTCTGATATCTTACCATTAAGAAGTTTGATAAGTCTGTGGATGTCTACGTTTATATGCTGGATAAGCTCCAGGTCTGACAGGTCTGACTGGTCACCATCAGCACTAGGCAGGTTAGATAACCTAGTAAACAACAAGAAATAACATGAACATCTCACTTTAAACAATTAGAAGTTAGATAAATCAAAAGCCTGAAAGGCTTCAATGGCGTCGAACAAGAAAAACAATTTCAAAAAATCTGCAAATAGGTCAAGTGAGTGACTCCAGTTACATAACAATAAAATTTAAAAAATAGTCTTAACACAAATACAGTATAGGGCCTATAGCCTTGTGTCCTGGTCCGAATGAGTCAGGGTTCAAATTGACCAGACATCGTCAGAAATGTCCATCCTCTGTATTAATCTAATTTCTTTTCAGTCAATCGAAGACATATGAAGGGTTTCATAATTTATTTTAATTAATTGCCATTGTCAGAGTGTTGTTCTGTTGTATAGTGATTGCATCTTAACTACAACCATGACTCTAATGTTACAAGTACGATCGACTTACGATAAGGCGCGGTAAACAAATGGAGGAAATGGATAAATACAGTAATACTGGCATTACTGGTCAATATCGTAGGTTGTTCGGCTAAAATTGGATTGAAGATCGTAAAAGTAAAGCTAAAAGAAATTCAATCTTTATAGTCTTGTTGTATTCGTGTTTGTTTTGTTATTATTTTACAGTATTTAAATTTGTTTGTATTACAGTAATCGGTCCCAAAATGTGATTCATGTCATTCGACGCACCGCTCTCAGTAGAAATTTGTTCCGCAACAACCATAACATTTTTTTGCGTAAAAATTAAACATAATATCGTTGTTTTGTAGTAGTATTAATTGAACATACAATTGATTTAATTTTATATTCAAGCTATTATTCATTGTGAACGTTTTAAAAGAAATTGGTTTATAGCTGTTGCTATTTTCTATTGCAGATGCATCCACTGACACATACGGTCGCGTAAACCTGACTGATCCCTAGCTGACGATCGGGCAAGCCCGACGCCATAAAAATTTTTAAAATTATATCCATGACATTTTCCTTCCCGTCAAAAGTAACTTTGCTTCAAATACAAAATTCATTATAACCAGATTTAGACATGGCAGATACATAGGTTGACTTACTTTGCAGAGATTCTGTTGAAGACGGCTGTGAAGTTATTCTGGCTGAGAGCAAACAGAACTTTGGAGGCCAAGTTCTTCAGTTGTAGAACCAGTGGGTTAGGGTTGTCTGTGGGCTGATTCAGGAACTAAAAATAAAACAGGACATTATCTTAACAAATATTGATCTGTGCTATGTCATAAACATTTCACATAAATTCTTAATTTTAATTTTTTTTCTGGTCTAGTGATCTTGAGATATTTTTGTCCCTTTTATAATTATCTCTCTTTGAAAGTTGCATGGCCTATCATTTAACAAACTTGGTATTTGAGCAAAATTTGATTAAAATGTTCTGGAGGAGAACACAGAAATGTGTTATGGCTAAAAGAACAATGCTACTACCGCAGATAAATAACAATTTCTATCAAAAGAGCTATGATAATGCTCAGATTTAAGTATACTGTACAGCTAAATCAATTTAATGGCATGTTCCATTGTCAGGTTTAGAAGACGTATGTACGCAATCAAATGAATGAAATGTGACCTTACCTTACATATCTCTGGAAGGAGAAGTTTAACATAAATTGCCTCATCTAGACGCGAGGTGTCCTTTGGTTGCTGCAGAGGAGTAGAAAATTAAATATGTAAATTCATATTAAATATGTATTAAATTCAATACAAATATGAATTAAATGACTTTAATTATTAGGACTTATTCATTCTTACTGAGTCATTCTTGTTCATAACTATTTCAAACCACCTTTTGCTGGACAACTCAATATAGCATACTTTTCCTGACCATGAGGTTTTCACTTACAGAATTCAGAACCTGTTCTAAGGAGTCCAAAATGATGAGTTGTGATTCATGGTAATTTCTTTCTGCTTCAGGATGGATACGCTATAAAACAAAATTTAAAAAAACAGTAATAACTGCTTATTAAGAAACACCAAAATATATATCTTAGAGCAAATTATATATATTTCTGCCAACAATGATGCAAACAGAATTCAATTCCTACTGCTATTGTGACAATATGTATTTGTAATTTCACTATCATGACCTTGATTTGACCACCCCAAAAAAAAAATAAAAAAAAAATACCAAAGTAATTCAAAAGTTTGAAAAAGGTCAAAGTTTAGGGCAGTCCAAAATCTTTTCAAAAGAGATAACTAGATTTTTAAAATTTTCAGAAACAGAGAAAAAAGACATGACAGTCAGAGTTTTTCTTAAATATTGGGAAAAAATGCAGTTTCTGTGTTTTCTTTCTGTTATTAAATAAACATACAGTATTTCACATTTCTAATCATTTTTCTTAATTATTTTTTATAAATAGAATTTATTTTCTCACAAATTTTCAATGACTTTTTGTATAAATTTATTTCTTAAAAGAATCATCAATCTGCACAATAATCATTATATTCATATAGAGAGATTCCTGTAAACTGATTACTATTATAAATCTACTGTGTTATGATAAATACTGATTAAAAGGAAAAATGTTGTAAGATGTGCAAAATAAACAATTCATCATGACTAGGCATAAACTGATCATATGCTTGAGTGCTCAAAGACTCTTTGGTATTGTAGGTTAATGGGTTTTCTATAAATAAAGCATGTTTGGGTTGTCTGACCTACATTTGGACTTTAAATTATAACCATTCCATTCATAAAACTTATCAGTCTTTGATAGTTATCCAACACTGGGTCAATGCTTGTTTATATGTGCAAATGGTACAGCAAAATGAAAGGTTACCAGATTCTGGTTGTACAAAAAACATTTTGTAAACAAATCTGTTTTTCTCAAGGTGTACATGATGGCAGAGTGGAGATTTAATACTCCGCAAATGTAATTTTTAATTACATGTTCCATAAGACCCAAGCCAACTCAATTGATTCATACTGATAGGCAATGTATACAAATTATAGCTTAAATGCATATTGATATTATTTGCATCCTTGTATGCCCAAAGCAAAAAAACAAAGCCCCTGAAACTAATCAGCCATCCGTGACCAAATCACCTCATGACAAGGCCCAGTCATTATCAATATAAAGTGTGTTATCTCGCCAGTTGTACAACTGGTACAAAAGTCACAATTTATCCCCCTTCTAAAGCCTCACGTCCGGCCCAAACGTAAATTCTGGTATCGAGACTACTCCAAACATGCCTGAATTGATAAATTTCCCCTCACCACGCTAAACAAGGGTTATTCTCATACCCACGTGGAAAAATATGGAATCAAATGAAAATGGTGAAAATGGATTAGCAAGTACAAGAAGTCCTTCAACAGTGGAACTTATGGCAGTAAAAAATGAAAAGAAATCTTGTAAGTAAATACAACGTTATCTAATATAATTTATATACAATTGTATCAGAGTTTTATTTATCTTCTCTTTGTCTACATCATATATTTTAGTGAAATTACAAAGTATGGAAAGGAATTTACAAACACCATTTCCTCTGCCTTCCAACTCGTTCAAAAATTTCTTGCTGATATGTTCAAGAGAATTAATCTTAAATGTGCATTCAAACTGAAGAGATTTATATTCCTAACTGGGCTAGAAATAATTTTTTTTTTCACTGGTCACTTAGGCTATTGCCTTGAAATTTTACTGGTCAACTAAGTGACTCGACTGTCCCATTGTGCCAGTAGATTTTAAAAAGACTATCCCCTAAATCATTAAAATACAGTGTAATAGACATATTTTGTATATAAATATAGTGCAACAACTTAACAAAACAAGAAATGACAGAACTTGGATGCACAACCATGTCGAAGTAAACCAGCCCAACTATGAATGAATTTTGTTATGCATAATAAAAACACTGAGGCACATGTCCTCCAAAAAGCTGTCCTAGCCCAGATAAAAAAATTCTCTGGCCCCTGACCAGCGAGTCCTGAACTAAAACCAAACTGAACCCACAGTGTTTAGTCAGTCCATTTAATTTACCCCCATCCACCCCCTCTCATACAACTTAATGCAAGAAACACAAATTAAAGAACACAATCAAGTAAAATATTAATGACATTGTGCAAAAATGCACGGCCACCATATACAGGTATAAACAATGTTATATCACTGTATTCATCAGTTTTATTTTGCTCTTTTGCATCACAGAATAGATTCTGTTATAAAAAGTGATGATATCAAATGATTTGGCATTCATTCAGTAACAAAAAAAACCCCCACTGAACATAGCTCTAAGTTTACATTGCATTTCCGTTGAAGAGATCCTATCAATTAAACATTCCTACCTCATTCAAAACCTGCCCAAGTGTTTAATGAATGTCTACTAAACAGTTTTGCTGTGTGCTAATTTGATACAGCCTTGATTTTACTAATTTTCTATACAGCTTTGCTGTGTGCTGATTTGAAATGCCAGGGATTTTCCACTACCCCGTGTAGGGCCGAATATGGGCCCCATTCCCAACTGCAAATTCCTTCCATTTTTCCCAAAAGTGAACAGACGAAAACTCCACAAAGTTAACTTGATCGAAATTCATGTAAAACAAACATGGTCAGGTTTGAAATCTAAATGAAATGAACAAAATTTGAGGGAACTTCATAATAATTAATCTTTACTCTGAATTATAGTTCTGAATAATGAAGTAAAAATCAATTTTATTCATTATAAGTGTTTATTTCTTGAAAAACTCATGCAATAAAAAATTCGTAAAAGGTGATAAAATGTCGCTAAATTCCCAATTGTAAGGGCCTGGGCCCCATACCCAAAATGGTGTGGAAAATCCCTGAATGCTTTGATGTGTACTAATTTGATGCAGCTTTGCTCTGTGCTTATTTGCTATACAGATTTGCTGCATGCTAATTTGCTATACAGCCTTGCCATGTGCTTAACTGATACAGATTTGCTGTGTTCTTATTTGCTAAACAGTTTTCCATGTGATTAACTGATACAGATTTGCTGTTTGCTAATTTGCTATACAGCTTTGCCATGTGCTTAGCTGATACAGATTTGCCGTGTTCTAATTTGCAATACAGCTTTGCCTTGTGTTTGACTTAAACAGATTTGCTGTTTGCTAATCTGCTACACAGCTTTGCTGTGTGCTTAAGTGGTACAGATTTGCTGTTTGCTTATTGCTATTCAGCTTTTTAGTGTGCTTAAATGATACAGATTTGCTGTTTGCTAATTTGCTTTTCAACTTTGTGGTGTTCTTTGCTTTTATTTACCTGCTATGATCCACAGAAAACCCACCACATGAAAATAATGACAATTGTGTAATTCTAGTAATCAAAATATACAATAAACTGTGAGCATTTCTTTCACTAATTTACATCAACAGTAGACACATGCATTTCTAAATAAAAAAAGGCTTATATACATTTTGATCACAGAACTGTGATACATTTTTGCCAAATAATTTTCCTGGATTAAAAATATGACTACATGTACTAAAAAATGTAAATATATATAAATATGAAGAATGTACATCACCTTGTACCACGTTCAACAAATGCACAAAATAAACCAGTTAATCTAAAAGATTAATATGTTTGTGGGTGGATCAAGGAATCAAAAAACAAATAACACATCTCCCTAAAATGGCAAAAAAATTCTCTCTTTTATTTTTGCCTGTTATAACTTCTTTTATAACTAAGGTATACCTGTATTCTTTGAAATACTGTTGATGAGGGTGGGGGAGGGGGAAAGGTAATGGAGGAAGATGACTTACCATGCTCGAGACATTCTGCAGGATTTTTGTCAACCCATTGATAACTAAGGAGAATTTGTGCTTGGACACACTTATAAGACATTCTTTATTTTGCTCCACATTCTGTATTGATTGTGTTGTATGTAGTCCAGTCTTGATGGGCAACTGAAAATGAAAAGGTTGTGTTAGGAAAATAGGCAAGTTCTTTCTCTATCTTTTATTATATGCTTGTTCAACCAAATATTAAATAAGATTTTTATCAGCAATGCAGATGTAACTATAGTAAAAGGATAGGTCAAGGTTACAAACAGAGTTTAAAAGTAAAATGTAAAAAGTATGTTTCACAAACAAACATCAATAAAAATTACTGCATTTCACAAGCACACATCACTCGAAATGGAAAATCTACATTTCCTGAATCTGAGAACATTTTCTCATACAAAACTGAAATTGTTTTAAGCATACGACACAGGCTTGAATCAACATGACATTAGTACTTTTATACACAAGTAATGAGGTTTTATATTTTATAGTCTCATATAAAAAACATTTCTGAAAAAGTTTAAATCATGTATCCAGAAAGAAAATGAGTAGAAAGATTTTATTAAATTCATTTTTCACCTCATTTACAAAGATTTAATACAAATCACTAGCCTTGAAGTATGAGTGACTACAAACTATACATAATGCTGAACCATCTCATTCAATGTGGTTTTTAATGAATTATTAGAAAACATTAATGACTCTTATCTTATGGAATCCATATCATGTGTATTTATTATTTCATGACTGCTATTCACCAAGCCATTTTTCATTCTTTACAGTCGAGTAGTTTTCATTCATGTAAACTTCCTGCGATTAAATATATGCAGACTCACAATCCCACTAACTCCCACGCATACGCACCTTAGTTAGCTTTAATTCATAATTTATCATAATTACACGCCAAAACAATTAAGACAATAACACAGAATTCTTTTTTACAAACAAACATATGGCAGAATGTATAACTGTTAAAATTATTTTGCTCCACAATAATCAATGTGAAGCATCTCAACGATCCTTGGCAAAATGCAAATTCAACTTGAAGTGGAGTCGGTCGTTCATTCATAAAAATTTCATGCTGGAAACATCACGAAGATTTTTGTCGACAAGGAGGCGGCATGCAAAAATAATTTTTGACAATGAGTAAATATTGATATTACCTGGGCGTCAAATCGCTGAATCAACGACTGAACCCATTCTCCGGGCTTTTGTGTTGCCATAATTTTTAACACTCCTGTAATCTTGTCGCCATTTTCTTTTATGTTGATATTATTAGCGCATGCGCATTAGCATATATTTATCCAAATATGGGCATACTCAGTACTTGATTGGCTTTAATTTTTTTTTTCGATTAAAAAAATCGCAATAGAGAACTTTTCATAATTCTTGTAAAGAAAATAAGCCTTCCTTATTGGAATTTCACAATTTTCAACATATCTGTATGCACACATTGTTGGTGAAATATTGAGTTTACAATTTTTTGGTTCATTTTGTTTAGAATAGGCCTAGTTGTGTAGCTGACTAAATGAACAGCTGATTAAGCATCCAGACATGTGCCTTCACTTAAATTTTTCAGGAAAAAATATTTGAAAAGGAATTTACACAAGAAAGAACATAAATTACTAAATATCATTTTCTCCATCGATGAAGATCATTATAGACCTTATGTATGAACACAAAACCATGCACAGTATAATTTATAATGTAGGACTCCTTGTCAGTCTTTTGGCACCGGTTTTAAAAGTGTAGGGACCAAACTTAATAAATATTTTTCTTAACAAACTTTACATTAATTAATTTTATAATTTAGATATTTGTGTCTTTTCATTTTGAATACATTTAAATTATTTTTTTTCCAACTTCTATAATCTATTATGAGCTGAAAAGATAGCTGAAATAAGTGAAATTTCTCCCAATAAAATACCTAAAAAGAAGAGTCGAATACATTTTTTCCACATGCTTACAAAATCTTGAAATCCCCCCTAAAATTGTCAAAGTTAGCGTAAATCATAGTTTCGTCGAGAAAATTTTAAAAATGTCAACTCGGTAGACTTCATTTTTACCCTACAAAATCTCAGTCTAGAATCCAGGAGCTCCCCCCCCCCCCCCCCCCGCCCCACCAGGGCTTTGCACTGGACCCACGCCTGCTACGCCTAACGTCTCAGATCGATCGTTTAACAAAAAATTATTTATCTTACCAGATAAGTAAAATGTGTCTTTTTTAATAATCAATTTTCAAATATCTGCATATAAATAATATCAATATCGCGGCTAAGATGCCAAAAAGAAAACAGATACATGATATGATGCGCATACAGAAATAAATACATGTATACTAATATGTATATAATAAATAAATATGAAGTAAAATACGAAGGAAATGTTCATAAAAAGGGAAATGAAACGGCCAAAAAGGAAATCCGGAATAAAGTAATGGTATCAAAGATGTAAAGCAAGAATATTAAGATTATCTACTTTCCAATTAAGTGAACCTTAGAAACTAATTTAGAAATGAGAATTTTCGCTTTCTTACGTAAGTATAACTATATATACATGTATACCAATATTGAAATTAATAAATGTATCACTTTCTATATCCATTACCTTGCAGCTGCTTTTTACAGTACATGTTCGTACGTTTGTGGCTCTATTGAAGTTTTACTAAAGCATGGTTTCAGTATTACAGTATCATGGTCTGCATCTCCAAAGAAAACTCTTTTCCTATGCCTTATACTTCAAACACGGAAAACTGTATGTTTTAAACTTAAGTCTAATGACCTAACGGGAATCAGGGAAAGATAGTTATAGTATTATGTGTTTGTACAACTCCTTTCATCATCTCCCCCCCCCTCCCTCTCTCCATACTGATCTCCACTAGGTCCTCCACGAAACCGCCCATCGTTGAAGTTCACAGAACTCATTGGGTCACTAGAGTTTATTATAGTGAGACTTCGGAGTTGCGGTCGTGGTGCTAATATAAATAAAAAATGCAGAAAAAAGCTGAAAATTTTGACATATTCTCACAAAGCAGAATTAAGTTTTTCGCTTAATTTTTCTTATATAGACACACACATTTGTTATCTAGATAGTTATTAAAAACCATTTAGTGAATTGAAACAAAATGATTGTAGTCAAATATGAGCACTCATTGGTATGTCATTCAACGTTAATCACCGAAGTTTTTTTCGTTGTTTTGTTGAAAATAAGGTCTAACGTTAAGATCAACCATCTTTCTGTACCTTTTTTACACAAACATTACATTACCCATATATTAAGCTTGTTTGACTATACTGCTACCAAAAAAAAGGGGGGGGGGCACTGGACTTTCAATGAATAGAAAAACTAATGTCGTGAAAAAAGGGACAGACCCCCCCCCCCCACACACACACACACAAACACCCATCCACCCCCACCTCCTGATGCTACGTGCCTGAAACTGACAGACAAATGAGTTTAATGTCCCCTTGCTTTCACAAGATGTGAAGTGTAACCTGTAGTAAAAGAAAAAAATGCAAAGTTCTGAATTTTATTCTTAGCTAAGACTTGCATACGAGAGAAAAAAAAAGAAAGTTTAAAAATTAAAAATGTTATACAATATTTAGGTAATGTATTGTGTTTTAAAATTCGTCGAATAAACACCACCTAGTTAGTTTGATAATTTTAAACGCTGTAAATTTAAATTATACATTGTTTTATACATCTAATCACAGTTACCAAGAATTCATTTCGAATACCACTTCCTGTTTTGTTGCACAGTTCAAAATGGCACTGACGACACCTTATGGTGAGATCTTTGCCTAGGATGAGTGTGGGTAGAAAAACTACAATGGGGAAGAAACTCAAAGGTTAAAATTTTGAGGGAGGTGCTTATTTCCTCCCCATTTAAGCATAGTATAAAATACACGCGTATGCAAGTAAAAAGCTATATATATAAGAAGTCGTCGGGATAAACGCGGGTATTCTAATATCTGTAATATCTCAATCTCTCAATGCTATTCTCCCACTGGTTAGAGTATTCTCATTTATCCTGATCTAGATTTATAAGTATAAACAACATTAAGTATGTCCTATATTGTGCATTATTATATTTTTTTTATTACTGCGGTTGTTGTCGCAATAGGGTCGGGCTCAAAGTACAAAATATTCAAGAGCCACTCTGAGGAATCACAGGACACTGAGTCGCTTTCAATGTTTTTGACCGATTATCTCTGAAATGTTTACAGATGAGTCGTATACTTCCGCCATTCGACGACACAGTTCAGTTAGACGATATGCCTGTTGATATTTCAGACACATCTCCGATTGTCCGCAACAATGAAGGAGCAGAAACTCACGTGGGAACCCCCGGAGTCGTCGTGGTCACGGCGGACGACAGCATCTCCAAATCCAGAGCTTATTTTATGGTGTTTGTGTTATTGTTTATTAATCTACTCAACTATATGGACAGATTTACCATAGCAGGTTTGTTGTCATGTGCACGGGGCAATTCTTTATGTTTCCTCATTGTCATTGAAAAGTGATCAAGTAGACTTAATCACTTAGGATTATGTCGGAATATATAAACTTTAATAATTATGTCCTAAAGTCCAGATCCCAAAAACTTGGAGTTAATTCTTTTAAAACAAAATCTATTAAATGATTGTACGATGTCACAGCAATTGTATGTATGAATGTCTTGACATGACATGTGAACATTCAGTATGTTTATCATAGGATTCGTGAATTTTAGCATGCAAGAAAGCTCAGAAAAAAACTTTATTTTGTCTGAAAGGAAGGGATCAGAAATAGAGACAGGAAAGCAGAGAAAAAACTGTCATTTGTGACAGAATGATGTAGAATATACCACAACATCATTTTATTTGCATGAAGCAGTTTTACATATTCTGAGTTCAATCTTTTACACTGTTTTCCTTTTTTTATATTTAAGAAGGGCAAAATATTCCTTAAAAATTAAATATTTCTTGTATGACATTTGGCTGAAAGGTAGCCAGTGGTAATTATGTGTAATAATTAACATTTTGCTTAATCTCCATATGTATGAATTCATGTTCACTTATTAAGCTCCTGTAATGTTAAATGAAGGAATTACCATTTCCATATTAAATTTGCATTTTAATTTTTAAGAAAATAAATATCTCAATTACATGGAAATCTGATAAATTATGAATTTTATTAAATATTTGAGGTGTACAAGCCTACAAGGAAGCTGCCCTCATATTACAACAGGGAAACTACTTTTTTTATATAACTATTATACCTTAGAAATTGTGAAAAATAATTAGTTTTTTCTTTCTTTTATACACCAAAGAAAGATTAAGAGGGGTGTGAAAATTACTGACTGCTTTGCTGTCTGAGGACATAATTAGTTAATTTCTAAAACTATTGAATATTTTTGTGTCAAAATTTGTAAAAGTACTCAAATTATTTGAACTTGTATACTAAAAAAAGGATGCAAATATTAAGTAAAACCAGAAAATTTCCTATTTGGGCATAATTTTGAAATTAAGAGCCTTTAGACAATCATGCTATTTTAGCAAATGTCAAGGTTAAAGGTACAAAAATCTTACATTATTGTACATGTACTACATCAACATGTATCAGCAACTTTTGTGAGGTGCTATGTCCTGACCTTAACTCAAGATTATTCGGGAAAAGGTCAAGGCTTCAGAAATGTAGAAATATATATTCTTGTTTTGCTATAACTACGTATACATTGAACTGGAGAAAAAAGAATAGCATATTATTACAAACATGATTGTGGATATATGTAAGAATTATATAAAAAAAAAGAAAATAATAATGTTTGCTTTGGTTTACTGTAGACGTATTTTTTTCCACAGGGTCATAATTCAGCGGAATTTTTATATCTGTTCAATCCGCGGGTATAAGATTACGCAAGTATATTAAGACTCTCCTTGTATGTCTTATATTTGCATTAAGTTCGATGGTACAAATTTCCATGGAAAATTTGTGATCGCTTACATATCGTAAATTTATACCTTATGGAAAAAAGTACTTCAGATCTACAGTATCTCATTTTGTTCTATTCTGTTGTAGGTGTGTTGGTGGACATACAGCACTACTATAGCATTGGAAACTCAGAAGCAGGGCTTATACAGACAGTGTTTATTATAAGCTATATGATTTTCTCTCCAATATTTGGTTACCTAGGTGACCGCTATAATAGGAAGTTTATCATGGGAGGAGGAATCACGCTGTGGTCACTTCTTACCCTGTCAGGGTCTTTCATTGGAAAAGACGTAAGTATTTCTCAGAGGGTTTAATATTTTTCTTTTGAAATTCCATGGGGTGGGGGTTGTTGGTTTGACTGTAGCAGACATGGTGAAATTTAATTTCAGGTTCTTACTTAGACACCGTTCCACCTTTTTAAAAAATGAATATTTTACAGTTATGCTTTTTGTTTACCCTTTTCTACTGAATTTCATTTTACATAAAAATGTAATGCCCACTAACTTGGACTAAAAGATTGTTGATATGAACTCTTTGTCAACACCTGTAGTTCTATCATTTACACATTTACACTTGCCAATGTTTTGTTTGTTATACATCGATATGCTAGAAAAATATGGGTTATATTCCTTCATAATGAAATCCTATGATAACAATGAATAGACTATCAAATTTCACACAGAGACAAACATCCCCTGCTTTGAGATTGTAAGAAGGACATCTGTCTCCTAAAGAAAAATAAAAGATAAATCCAAGCAAATTTTTACCTAGTACAGATATTAAACACACACACACACACACACAAACAAACAAAAGAAACTTTTAAGTTGATAGTATTGCAAATTTGAAAAGTGCATACTTGACATAATTGTTAGAGAGGGGAGAAAAACTTATCGTACATACAGTCATCTGTTTTGTGTCTGTTACATGTAATGAATATATAAACCCCTAACTCTTAGTTTCATTGAACACTTGACATTTTGTACACTCATTTGACATGGATTATTATGTCCTTTTCAAAGTACGGGATTAAAGAAATCCTTACAGGAAGAAGTAATCCATTTTGATAGAAAGTCATCAGTTTGCTTCATTTGATAATGTTCCTTTTAAAACAATGCGCCTTCTCTTTCAGCGTGAAATGAACTTGATAAAATTCTTTCATTTTAGATTTTAGCAGCATACAATATTTCATTCTGCTTTCAGCACATCATGGCCCCATAGAAGATATGAATAATGATATGAAAACTAATAAACTGTTTTCTTTTTTAATTGTTACAGTATTTCTGGATATTTTTAATAATTCGAGGCTTAGTAGGCATAGGGGAGGCTAGTTACTCCACCATAGCCCCAACAATTATAGCAGACATGTTTGTCAAGGGGACCAGAACAAGGATGTTAATGTTCTTCTATTTTGCTATACCAGTGGGCAGGTAGGTCAACTGGGGGACAAGAACCAGTTTAATAGACCCCTGTTTTGTGTGTTGTGTGTGTGTTTGTGTTTATCTGTCCTTCCTTGTGCTATTAAGACTAAAACAATAATTTTCTTTGAACACTCTTATTGTTTGTAAACATTAATTGAGTGGGCAATGTAGCCTTTAAATTATCATTTTGATGATTCTGCTTAATTTATTGCGCTGTTAAAGAAGGTTTTTGAAAATTGACAAAGTTATTCCTTCTAGATATCAAAGAATGATTATTTTCCATAAGAAATAGAGTGCCACAGTTGCTTTATGAAGCTGTTGAATTTTAACAGGTGCTCGTAAAAGGGGTTTATTTAATTAATAGGGAAATTATTGCTACATTGATCGAGATACATTCATGAATTTCACTATGATGAATGGTGTTGCCATGGATATTAAAAATAGAAACCTTTGTAAAATTCTTGCAAAAGGCTACTCCCACTACAGTTTAGTTTTATAGTAATAAAACTTGCCTCAAAAAGAAATTAAACCAAGGATTTTTATTCAGTCCAAGTGCTACTTTTCTCTTCCTTTATTATAAGTATACAAACCAATAGAGCTACTGTCTGATCAGAGACTCCTGGTTTGAAAAATTTTGAAACAATCAATAAAATTATTTTAGATTCGTTTCTTTTCTAGCAGCCTTGCTGATCACTGTGTAAATGTAACAGAAGTATGAATATATTTTATTGACAAGATTACCTTATGTTTTGATATTTTGGGTAAATAAACAAAATGTATTAATTCCTTTAAAAAAATGCATTTTACACATACCAGTACATTTAAATTTGAAACCATATAATTGGCTGTGCCCAATCAACTAATCACGTGCAAACAATGCTAGACTGTTTTGTGGTTTATCCTTGTCTCAGTTTATTGGCCATGAAGCTTCCATTTATGTTTGATTTTGCTACTTAATTCTTATATTCATTACCTTTTCTTGCATATTATCTTTAGTTAAGGTTTTACTAACTTTTCAATTTTTAAGCAGATTTTTATTGCATGTTGAATATCCAAAGCCACCCCTGGCCAACCGGAACCCAATATATAACATCCTTTGCGGTTAAAGCTTAGACGGAGCGTGGGACTTGAAATCATTAACATCTGTCTAAACATTTTTGAAATTTTGTTGCAGTATTTCTGGGCATTTATTCTCATACGGGCTGCAGTGGGAATAGGGGAGGCCAGCTATTCTACCATTGCACCCACCATAATCGCAGATCTGTTTGCGAAAGATCTTCGCACAAGAATGCTGATGATATTTTATTTTGCCATCCCTGTGGGAAGGTAGGAGTTATCTCCCTTGAAAAACAGGAGAACGGGGAATATGGGAATTTTTTTGTTGTTAAATTTTCTAACAAGGAGATTAAAATCAAGGGGGGGATTAAAAAATACATTTCTCTGTTCACAACTTTAAAATAGGCCTTAGCTAAACTAATCATGCTATTGGACAAAGATATTTTTAACGTATGTAGTTGAACTTTTCTGGGTATTACTAAAGGTTGCTGCAGATTTGTAGCTCTCCTTGACTGAAAAAATTGGGATGGCTGACAAAAGACCAGAGAGCTGCAGTTTTTAGCTAGGGCAAAGATTAACATGTTCAGTAAACAGTTCAAAATTTTCCAACGATAGGGACAATTTTTCACACTAAATGAAATAACAAAATTTTTTGGGAGTTGAAAGTTTAGATTGCAAAGATTCTTGTTAAAACACCATGTTGAATTAATATTGGAGTAGGTATTTTTTTTTTTATAAATACATGGACATTTTTAATGATATTACTGGGTTATAATATTCTAACTCTTTTTAATGTGATCTGGGTTGGTATACTAAACCTAAATCATATTAACCTGCATGAATATAAACATCATATTTAATAATGCATGATTGCATGGGTGTTTTTCAATCAAATGAATGCTTAATTTTATGATTTAGATTTTATTTGGTGAAGTTTTCATGGCAAATGTTACATATATTAAATCCAAAATTCAAGTAAAAAATACTAATACATGTAATATGTTTACAGATATTTTTTAAGAGGTAAATTGAATCATGTAAGCGCCTTCTTAGCATAATTATAAATTATAAATCATAATTGTAAGTAAAGTTTAAATTTAGTATCGGCAAAGTGAGCTTTGTATTACTTGTAGTTGAGCTCCTTAAATTGACAATTTTTTTTAAAATTACTTCTTTTTTTTTCTTCAGTGGTTTAGGTTATGTAGTAGGTGCAAATTTAGCCAAAGCCTTTGGTGCATGGCAGTGGGCTTTAAGAGTAGGTATATTTCTATAGATGAATTATTGAAAGAGACAGTTCATTAAATTGAAAAAAAAATTACATTGAATGATGGTTACATGATTAATAAAATTCTTATCTTAATTACGTGTTAAAGTTGTTGAGCATTAGAAATTATGTTTATACTTATGCATGTATATATATTTTTGATAATTAAAAAACATGCTGCAGTGTTATTTGATATATATATGACTTTTATATAAAAACCTAATGTTGTTTGAATGCTATAATATATAATAATAATATATCTGCTTTGTTTGCAGTTTACTCCAGCCCTAGGAATTATCTGTGTACTTTTGATATTTATTGTTTTGAGAGAGCCTCAAAGAGGCCATGCAGAAGGGGGAACTCATTTACATAATTCATCATATCTACAAGATCTCAAGGAATTGGCTAGAACGTATGATCAGTTGTTTACTTGTAACTCGAAAGTATTGTTTTCAATTTTGAAAGTTGTGAAAACTTCAAGTTTGTTAAATACATTTCCAATTACACATGGTTAAATTGCAGCATGTACTAGTCTAGATAATGTACTGTGGAATCATTTTTATTCGTGGGGGTCAATGTTCGCGGGTAGCCAAAAATTTCCTGGTTCATGGTTACATACTTTCGTTGATAACATTCTTTTTTCGTTAATAATAAAACAAATGTTTGTGAATATGTTTGTGGGATGTAAACTCGTGGGAGAGGGAGACCAATGAAAGCCACAAACATTGGTCCCCCACGAACAATAATGATTCCACAGTATTTGTTTGATAATTGAAAAAATTGATTAAGATAATTGATAAATGTTGTATTATAATACTTTAATTGTAGAAAGAGTTTTGTCTTGTCAACATTTGGTTTCACCTGTGTAGCCTTTGTGACTGGGGCTCTGGCCCTCTGGGCTCCATCCTACATGTATAATGCCATCAAGGCCCAGGGCCAGGATGCAGATGAAGGAGAGTAAGTGATTAAACTTTAAAACACTTTGATGTGGTAACCAGCACAGTAAAACACGGTTATAGTGAACACACTTATAAAATTGATGCCTACAGCGAAGTGATTTCATTCCCTGTGACTTCAAAATTTATTATTCACTTAACAGAAATATGTCCGAAAAGTCTTTGTGTGAAATTTTCAAAACTTTGACATTTCTTTCCTGACCACTTGATCTTAAATTTTAGGTATTAAAAACAATACCTCTCTATGCTATATTTTTACACAAGCACGTGCAAAAACAGTGTGAAATGCTAAAAATATATCATTTTCAGAGATTATTGTTCTAATCCAAATATGCATAAAAAGAACCAAAAATGTCAAATCACATTCGAAATCAACAGGTATTTAGTTTATTTGACTTGTATCTTTAAAATGAAGGCAAATTCATTGTAATTCATCTTGCATGAAAAATTATAAAGGAGCACAATGTAAGTATCACCCCGTTTTTCTTGTCGTATTTTTCACAATTCCGACTTGTATAACAGGTAATATCTTAAAAAGTCTTTGTGTGAAAATGTTGTAATTCATATTTTCTGAAAGAAATGACCACTTTCTTTATTTTAAAAAGGAAAAAAGTATACCTTTATGATAAAATAAACGAGAAATATGACTTTTTTTTTTAATTTTCGTTCTCTTCTGTCATAAATATTGACCTTTCTGCACTAAAAAAACGTAAGTTGGCACTGACAAACATCTGAATATAAAACTATTTTGCAAAAAAACGAGTATTTTGTTTTGATAAGAAATAATTTAAACAGATAAGCTCTTTTCTTCTTCCTTCAAACATTCTGCCCCCCCCCCCCCCTCCTTCCCCGTCAACAATAAACACCTAATAGAACCTAGGAATGACTTTATACAATAAAATCTACATTCACTATAAATCAATAAGTAAATATAGGTACAAGTACATTTCTTATTTTTTTCTTACTTTCATCCAGAAAATACAATTAATGGTAATCATAAAATTAAACATATTCCCCTAATTTAAGCCGCTGTTTTTGCTGAATTTTATCTTATATTTTTTGCATTTTTATATCAGCATATCATAGAGGTATTTCTTCACAACTGAAATTGCTATAATTATCAACCAAAGGAAGAGAATTCTGATATTAACAGACTCCATAAATCAAATAAAACTGTTTTAAATGATGAAAAATTTTCTTTTTGTAAACTGTGTATGTTTTTGATTAATAACAATGTTATGCCTATAATCACAGTTGCAAAAGTCAGCGGGAAAAAACAAACATCGCTATTGTGACGTCACATAACGCTGCTTTGACGTCGAACGACATAGGTCCCCCCTTAACAGAAATATGCTTATAGCGCAGAAAAATGATCCATCACTGACAGTTATAAGCATGTTTTACTGTATTTGCTATAAAATCATAAACTATGACAAAGGACAAGTTAATAGTAGGACATAAGAGGCTTATATAATTTTAAAAGTTCCTTGTATTTTTAAGCATATAAAGGATTTTGGATGGGGTGGAGGAGGGGGTCCAAATTAAAGAGAATTCATCATAATCCAAAAATCATTAATAGCCATTAGACTTTGCCTTTAAATATTAGCCTCTACACCTAGATAGTATCTTTTCAGCATTGCTTTCATATTTGGAGGCATCACAGTGGCTGCTGGCTTCATTGGAGTAGCCTTGGGTGCTGAGGCCTCAAGACGATATAAACGAATCAATCCCCGTGCTGATCCCCTAGTCTGTGCTTTTGGTCTGCTGATGTGCACACCTTTCCTATTTTTTGGTCTTTGGTTATCAGAACACCACATTCCAGCTTCATGGGTGAGATGTTTGAATTGTTTATCAATAATTTATTTGTTGAACAAAATCTTGAAAAATATGATGTAATATAGTAACACATTTGCATTACAATGTTTTGGAATCATGATTATTTATTCAAATGAAAATGATTTACCATATTTCATAAATGTCTTGCTATATTACTTATGATATTAAAATTATTCAATGTAGAATTTGTTGGTCCTATTTGCAGGCCCTTATATTCTTTGGAGAAACTTTCCTTTGTTTGAATTGGTCCATCATAGCAGATATTTTACTGGTAAATATCAAACAACAATAACATTGATTTCTTTGATCTCATTTAACAGGGTTAATTTGTACAGACCATGGAAAGTGCTTGAATTTTAACCCATGTCCCTGAAAAGTGCTTTAAATTACTTAAAAGTCATGGAAAAGTGCTTAAATTTGAGAGTATAGGTTTGGATTTTTATCTAGACTCTACTTAAGTCCTTGAATTCTGAACATATCTGCTAGATAAGCAAAATAAAATTTGAGAAAGAGAAAAATTGTGTTGACTTTATATCTGTACATGCATTAGTAATTAGAACATTAAAAAGACATCTATGAGAGCTGTTCAAACCTTTTCAATGGGAAAGAAGTCATCAGTCTTTTTTTAAATGCAGGAAGACACATTTTTAAAGGCATTAAGTGTTGTAAAGGATTTAATATATTCTGTACACTGTTTACTAATTAAAAAATATGAATACATATGAACTATTTAAGAAAATTAATATTCTTAAAAAAAAAACACAAAATTGATATATCTTTTAATGGAGGTCTAATGGGGTGATGAGTGAGTTCCCTTTTCTTAAAAAGAGAAAATAAAGAGAGTGTGTATACAGTAAATATGATTCCTTGTTTACATTTTTCAGTATGTCGTCATCCCTACGCGACGCTCAACAGCCGAGGCCGTACAGATTCTGGTGTCACATGCCCTAGGGGACGCGGGAAGTCCGTACCTGATTGGGGTGGTACGTACTTCATATTTCTAGGCACAGAATAATATACAATGTACTGTTTAAGCATTGATTAGAGACCTATTATGTCTTCTGTTCTTTGCAGATTTCTGATGCCTTAGGACATGGGTACCCAGTAGATAGGAGGAAGTCTCCGTCGGTGCAGTCCGACACTCTCAGAAACGCTTTCTACGTGACACCGTTTATCTGCGTGATAGGAGGGGCCTTCTTTTTAGCCACAGCTCTCTTTATACAGAAGGATAGGGAGAAGGCTGAAAGAGTCACTAAAGGTAAAGTGTCTCACTTCTTACTGAAAGAATGGAAAAATGTAGCTTTGAAATGTCTTTGAAGGTTTATTTGGAATATTTAATGAACAGGGAATAAAATCATGAGTAACTTTAATGTGCATGTAGTTTAATCATTTTTAAAATGAGTTTAGGGAGTTGACAACACCAGATTTGCAATGGAAAATGTAAATGATCTAGGTGTATATTGTCTTTCCTGGTAAATGGCTCTGAAATCAAAGTTTCTGGGTCAAATCAAGTCCCAACTGGCGAGTAATAGTTTTTAGCTTGACCAGACTTGTTTGATTATTCTAACCAACACGCTTAACAAGATGCTGCAAGTGAAACTGTCTAAGGTATTACAAAGTGACCCATAGTGAGGACTTGCATATAATTAACTGATTTTGCCTAAATTAATTTGGTAGTACTTATGTTATATATTTTATGACTACATGTGCTTGCAGATAACATTAGTGGAGGTGAAGTCCAAAGTATTTGATTGTCTCTGCTTTTAATTGTTATTCATCATTTTATATGAACTAAGTATGTACATTGTGTGTATGTATAGATTCTTCATCATATTGGGGTAAGAATATAATTAAAATTGATCTGTTTGCGAATGCACAGGGCATGTTACTGATAACTGACAGCTTCCATCTTTTGTAACACACTTAATTAAAAACTGAAAGTCTTTATTTAAAACATGTATCAATATCATATATTAAAGAATGAAAAATTGTCACACTACTGGTAGTTCAAATTACTTGATCATGATTAATATTTTGACCTTGTGTTTTTTCGTTTAAAACATAAGACTTTAATGATTATGTATACAGGACTAAGGGATTCTGACGAGGATATATCCGAGGATGATAGCGATGTTGAGCCAATTTTAAGGTCAGATGATGAGGACTTCGATGGATTACAACCCTTTGCATAAATCAAGATCAAATACTAATGTAATATTCTCCAGAGTTTTCTGAACTGACTTGCTGTGTTTCACATACTAACAATTACACTGCTAAATTTATTCATCATTATAATCATAGTATCTCGACCCTGCATTTGTAAAAAGTTATAGAAAGTATTGCAAGTACTGAAATACTGCAGGATCTATTTCAGCATTACCTGAGTACTGAAAAATTAATTTTCCTGCAGTTGAAATTGTTTTGAGTTTCTCCCCCAGGTTGAAATACTGTTTAGTAAACTTATCTGAAATGGCATTTTTGGATTGAGTTAAAATATTGATGAGTCAATTTACTGCAGTGATAATATGGATTGTGATTATATTTATGAATTAAAAAAAAAAAAGTTTCGTAAAAATACATGTATACCATTTCAGTTTATTTTCAAAAAAACAACATAAAATAGAAACATGTTTCCTATTCAGTTGGTTTACTGCATCATATACATATATGTAATTTTGAAGGCCATAAATCTATAATTTATAAAAACACTCATAAATATAATAGCAGTCCTGAAAGCATGAACTAATATTGTCTTTGACTTGTCACTTGTAGAAGAGACTAATCTTTTGCTTTCATTTTCTGTAGGTGTTGTAACACACTGTGTCACTGTACCAGAACATTAAAGTCCTTTTCTTTTAGTTCTGTCATCATGTCAGCAATGTTGTTGGTGACCTGCACTTCATTTATAAGAATTGAGTTATTTCTTATCTCATATGTGTTCAGTTCATTATGCACATTTTATTCACATGTTAATCTTAATTTGCTTAGAGAGGTGATTTGTAGAAATATAAACTGAAAATTTAATTATGTTCACTTTTTGAATAGAAATTTTGCCTGTAAAGCAGGGTTTGTACCTATATATATTCTCTTATTTTTTACCTTTTTGTTTTTTATATATGATTTCTTTGAAAAGGTTGTACAGTGTATGTACATCATGCATTTATTTTTATTTCTTTATGTAAAACTAGAGAGGGTAAAGTTTTGCATTGCTTTGCATGTGTGCGAGGTGCTTCCAATAGAAATGCCCATTACTTTATAGATTCAGTCCACACTGTTTCAGGTTTGGACAGGATTGTAACACACCACACAATAAGGCCAGCTAATGCTTGGTAAAGTGACCATCTGTCTTTCTGTCTCTTAAACAATTTTTTTTTTTGGCATAAATCATTTTTTATAAGCCAGCAGGATACTTAAGTTTGTAAATTTAAATCTAAGATAAAACTTTTCCACTTAAAATACAAACCAGTAGAGCTAGAGTCTCTTCAGGGACTTCTAGTTTCTTCCCAAGTTTCCTTCCAAATATTGTGTGAAACTTTCCAGTGCATACACATTAAGAAATTTAATGTATGAATGACTAATTAACCCCTTCCATGGCAAAGATTTTAAGCATTTCTAGACAAACTGATATTAAGATTTCAATGCATTTTTTTCGGGTATTTCTTGTTATTTTTGTATATACTGATGTATGTATATTCTGAAAGCAGGTATTGTGTAGTTTCTGAAAATGAGTGTAAAAATATCATTTTAGTTGCCATGGCAACGAAACACACCATAATCATGCTGGAATTTCCATTTATTTAAGAATGAGTTTCATTATAGTTTTTTTTTTTTGCCTACTTAAATATATTAAAAAATATTTTAGTTTTGTGTTGAAAATTATGAACATGTTGTACAATTTTTTTTACAAACCAATTTTAAGCATTTTGGAGGGGGTGGGGGGGGGGGTGAGGTTATCACCAGAATTTAGCATTTTTACATATAACATTTTACCCCCAGATTGATTTCGATAATGTCAAAATCGCTCAAATAGTGTGCAAAGTTTAACTCAAGCTAGCAAAAAATTGGTACAACAAATAAAAAAAATTCTGTATATTATTGTATCGTAATTATTTTCTCTTTCCAACGGTGCAAGATTTATTCTGATATTTGCAGTATTAACGAAGTTATGAATGTTTTTTCACACTGTACTCGTTTTTCAAGCCAGAAGCGTAGAAATGCGTATATGCCATGTAAGGGGTTAAAGATAGCTTTATCTGAAAGACATGGAGACAAGACAAGCTTGGCTATGATCAGTGAATTATTGAAAAATCAATATATAATGTAAGAACATGAAATAGATGCATACTAGTAATTTTTAACATGCATTTTTGAATTGAAAACTATCTTTGTGAATGCTTTCATAACACTGGCTTTTATAATGGAACAAAACAAAGGACACTACATGTACTATTATTTTTTTTTTTTTGTTACTTGATAAAACTAAGGTAGCTGCAATATTTTATTGGGTACTTAATCTTATTATTTATCTTCACATTCTGAATATAAACCTAACAGTTCCTTATACATGTACAATATTATTAACAATATAACACAAAGTGTAAGCATGTTATGTATGGTTCTTAACATTTCTGCAATATATTTATTTATTAATAAGACAATTCTTTATTACTGTAGATGCAATATATATTAATTTTAGAAAATTTAAGACTCTCCTTATATGCCTTATATTTGTATTAAGTTCGATGGGTCTAATTTCGGCGGAAAATTTGTGACCGCGTACATAGCGTAAATTAATACCCCGCAGAAAAAAGTAATTCTACAGTATTTTGAAGTAAAAGTAATAACATATTATGTGTTTAAGTATATGAATATGTTTAAATGAAGTTTTACAGCAAATCTATAATCATAGATAGGCCATGTTTAATGTGTGTGAAAAGTCCTTTACCTTGGACATTTTTTAATATTTTACTCAATTTGTGATGTCTACTCCCCTCAAAAAAATTCTCTAGCTATATAATGATAAATTGTTTAAACAAAGAATGGAGGATATCCCCTCTTTGTCTGTATTTGCTTTGAGACTGAAAGTTGTCCGATTTTACACATAATTTGATGTAACTGATTCTTTTTTTTCAGTGGGAGGTGATATTACAAACAATGTCTCCATTAATGGTGGATTCGACAATCCCAATTTAAACCTGGGAGAGAATGATACCATCACTGAAGCTAATCCAGATCGCAGCAATGTTTTATAAGTCTTAATTCTGACAAAAAATTTGTCCTGTTAAGGTAATTTTGGTTTGGACTGCTGTGTACCTGGCTAAACAAAAAATCAACCACCTAGTTATGATTCAGTTATTCCTTGTCAAAAAATAATTCAGCATCGAGGGCTCTGCAAGATACTTGAGGTGTAAGTGGAAGAGTTCAAGTACCACAACATCTTTCTGGAGCATGATCTTTCAATTTTCCATTATTTGAAGCAACATTGGATAAAATCACTGTCTCAGGTTGACCTTGTCTTTCCGGTTCTGTGGCTGAGTGCAACAAAAATTTTATATGTATGAAATATTTTTATGTTTGTGAATATTCCTTTTAAATAACAGTACATCTTGATATTTTAGTGCCATGGATTTTGTAAAGGCAATCATTTTTATTATTTAGAAAAAAATGCACTGCATTATAGAGGATAACACACTTGCATTGTATTTATTTATTTGTGAAATATTATTACTTGTACAAATATTGAAGAGAGTCTAATGACTTATGCCGGTAACTTTATTTATGTATTTTGCGGTGTTTGTGAGGAAAATTCACATCATTATTTACTGTGACATATTCTTTGTGTGGATTCTGCATCACGTGTGAAATAAACGATGTTTTAGATCATATAAGAATATTAATCATGTATTTTTGATAGTGAAAAAAAAAAGATTTTGATTATTTTTGTTCTTGCTTAAATGTATCGAATAATTTTTGCACTAATTTAACTTTGTATATTTAAAGTTTGCTTTGATGAATCATATAACAAAACTGCTTTTTCTTATTGTATCCTCTATATGCACTTTTTATGACGATAATATCTGTATAAAGCTGGAGTCATTTCTGAGTTCAGTACCAATATACTTTAATACTAATATGACTCTAAAATGATTGGTACATATTTAGTACAGTACCAGATGATCTACTTTAATACTATGTGACTTGAAATGGTTCATGTAACATATCTAGATGACATTATTAAGTACAAAAAGAATAATTTTCCTAAAGGAAAATTAATATATGTATCTCCAGTATTAGATCATGCAAATGTAAAAGAATCATTCTTATAATATCCACTATGTTTTTTATTTATAGGTTTAATTTGAGAGCCAAAAAATGTTGGTTTTTCATTACTAAAAGAAATTATGTACATTTTAATTTTGTGGAAGTAATGTGTACTTACACATATTGTAACAAGACTCAGGCAGCTGATCTGTCAAATAAAGATTTGTTGTCAATGAACTTCATATTTGATATTCATCAAAATGACCTTGATTTTGAAAAGGAGCAGTGTCATTAAATATGGTTATTTTAAAAAACCCTTTGCAGTAAAAAGAAAACTAGAGCTAATTTCAACAGCTGGTGTTGTGCAACAGCAACATTAAGGATAGATATGGGGTTATAATGTTTTGGACAGGTATATCCTCCTGGGTACCTCAATAGGTATAGCTCCTGACTAATAATGCAGGGGTCTTGGCTTCAATTTTCTGGTCAAGCCGTACATTTTCTTCTTTTCTGTTTTATAATTTGGTTTTGCTGGCTATTTCCTGGACTTGCAGTTGAAAGTCCTTCCTGGAGCAAATAAGAATTCTGTCTTTCATAGCAAAGACAATTAAAGGAGGAGGGAGTGTAATGGCTTGGGCCATGGATATTGGCTTTGGTAGATCAGTTGGTAGTGCACCTGACTAGTCATGCCTAGGTCCTGGGTTTGATTCCCAAGTTCAGCAATACATGCTCATCTTTCCTGGAACATACTGTTAAAACCCAAAAAGTTGAATTAGAAATAGATGGTGTTTAGCTCAAATTGGAATTTGATTCAGTCCTTTTTGTGATTAGACCCTAGTACCATTTGCTAGTACTAGTATACAAGTATACTAGTATACAAAATGTATTTGTGAAACACTGATGCCTATGGCAGCCCATACAAAGGTTTAAGTTTCTCAAATGCAAATCCAAGTCCAAGGTCAGAACAAAAAATCTAACATAATGAAACCCAAAGAAAGATATTGTCTTCAATAAAAAAAAACTGAAAAGAGGAAGCCCAGCCAATCTTTTTAAAAGTTTTGGTCAAGGTTAAAGTAAAAATTCCAAAATAAATGTTAACCATCAAGGCCAAAGGCTTGAAATTACTGCTGTCCAAAGGAAGGCTGTGTTACAATAAAATCACCTATAAAATATGAAAGCCTTAGCATCAAATATTCAAAAGTTATCGACGCGGTTGAGTTCTTCAAGGTAAGGATGTGTGGATCAAAATTGTTGGTACCAGGGTAAAGGTCTTGTTACATTCTTTTTTTCAAAAAAAACTCCAAGGTCAAGGCCATAGGGTCAAATTTGTGCAAAAATTACTTCTGCCAAAATTGTTAATACCTGCATGGGGGATTGCCTTGTCAAAAGAATTAAACATGTAAAATATTAATGCCATAACACTTATTTTTCAAAGATTCTGGCCAGTATTAAAATTTTCTAAAAGGTATCAAGCTCCTTAAAAGCTCTGAAGTCAAATAAACAATACAAATCAGGAGCAGAGTAAACACGGACCTCTTAAACATCAGAGGTGGGATCAGGTGGATGACTGTATGTACACTAGAATATTAAATAAACTCAGTGGCGGATCCATAGGGGATGCCCCCCCTTTGGATTTGCTAAAAAGAGTCTCAATTTTTTTTTTGTATTTTTACTATAGAAATGTTCAGTGAAGGGCTAATGTAGTAATATATAAAATAATTCGGTTGGGAAAACGAAATGCCCCCAACCCCTCTTTACAAAATAAGATTTTTGGGTTCGGAGATTTATTTAAAAAAAATCCTTTATTATGTTAACGATACTATATCCCTGTATCCTATGAAGATGTTTAACTATAGATGTTAAGGTACGTTATAACCCCCCCCCCCCCATTGAACAATTTCTAGATCCGCGACTGAAACTCATAGAATAACAAAATGTACTCTGAGCAATGAGCTCACTAAATGATACCCCCGCCTCCAATAGTTATAATGGCAAAGTCCATGTTTTGCTCTGGGAGACCCGAAATAAGTAACTCAGCAGATGAAAGGGTCGCAGAAGCAGGGATCCAGACGCGTAAGCGGAGCCGGTAAAACGGATGTTTGCGACCGTTAAATCAGCATTAACGGTCGCAAATACCAAACTAGAAGATTAGTTATTCCCATTCTAATGCAATCCATGTATTTTGTTTGTTGTTTACGTCTTATTTTGTTGAATTTTTTTATATGAAATACGTCACGGAGCATTGTGTTTTTGCATCGCTCTAATTATGACGTCACAATTAAAAAGCTTTCACGCTCGTTAATGCTTGTTTTACTACTTCAAACATCAGTGCATTAGACAATCAAAACATGTTTTACAAAACAATTGCATTAGAATGGCTAATGCACTGATGGGGAAGCTTGTCAAAAGAAATAAACATGTAAAATATGTAATGCCATAACACTTACGCAAGAAAGAATGCCCCAGTATTAAAATTTTCATGTAATAAAACTCAACAAAATAAGACTGTAAACAACAAAAAAATACATGGATTGCATTAGAATGGGTATAATTAGGGAATAACTATCTTTAATTTGGTATAGATTTGGGATCCGTTAAATCAGCATTAACGGTGCAAATACCAAATTAAAAGATTAGTTATTCCCATTCTAATGCAATCCATGCATTTTGTTTTTGTTTACGTCTTATTTTGTTGAATTTTGTTACATGAAATACGTCACGGAGCATTGTGTTTTTGCGTTTTATTATGACGTCACAATGAAAAAGCTTTCACGCTCGTTAATGCTCGTTTAACTAATTTAAACATCAGTGCATTAGCCAATACAAACGTGTTTTACAAAACAATTGCATTAGAAAAATAAGATTTCTAATTTGGTATTTGCGACCGTTAATGCTGATTTAAAAAAAATCCTTTATTATGACACGTAAGCGGAGCCGGTAAAACGGATGTTTGCGACCGTTAAATCAGCATTAACGGTCGCAAATACCAAATTAGAAGATAGTTATTCCCTAAGTATGACGCACTGAGGAAGATCAACGGAACGCAAAATCAACAGAACTGGGAAACAGGGGGCCTGGATGAAGTGGGACTTACCAGAGTGGGAATTAACCTGGGCAGAACTGTGGAGGAAGGACCAGTTTAGAACCTCGTTCTTGGTGAGGTCAGTGTATGACACACTCCCATCTCCTGCAAACTTACAACATCGGGGGCTAAGTGAAGACCCTAGCTGCAAGCTGTGTGGAAAGAGAGGGACACTGGTACATATTCTGTGAGGATGCCAAGTTGCGCTGACCCGGGGAAGATATAGATGGCGACTTGACAAAGTCCTGCGGGAGTTGGCTGATGTGTTGGAGGTGGAAACACTGTAAAAAATAACTAGTTAAAGTCACGAAGAAAACTAGTAGATTCACTGTCCATACAATCACTACCTTAATAGTAGTTTTACCAGATATTGGTATATTTACTAGATAAGATTAGTAAATTTAGAATTGATGAGTAACTTTCACTAGGTATTTAAGTATCTATACGACCCCCGCTCCACAACTCACTATCTTAACCAGTAAACTTAAAGTTTACTAATCACGACCAACGCTTCACGAAACACACAAGTTAAATTCACTAGGTTTTTCTTTCAGTGAAGAAGAAGGAAAGAAACAAAGACAGACAGGGTGAAGCAATGGCTGACACAAGAGCAACAAGACAGACATCAGTGTTGATTAGAGGACATGATTAGGAGCTCAGAGTCGATCTAGACAGGAAATTAGTTGACCCTAACATCGTGGAAACCAACCTAAGACCAGACGCAGTTTTAGTGTCCCAGCAGCCGAAGACGTTGGTCGCAATCGAGCTGACTGTGCCATGGGAAGAAATTTGTGAGGAGGCACATGAGAGGAAGAGGCAGAAGTATTCAGACCTCATGTTAGACTGCAGGGATAAAGGCTTAAGTGTCTGGTTGTTTCTAATAGAGGTCGGCTTTAGAGGTTTCCCAGTACAATCAGTGTGGAAGCTGCTCACAAGATTAAGTATCAGAGCGTGCAAGACAGCAGCAAGGAGACTGGGAGAAGCAGCAGAAAAGTCATTCTGATGGATATGGCACCACCTAGATGATCTGTGCTGGAAGTCGGGATCCATCGAGTAGTGGATTGGCCACCACTGCTGACCCACTCACTGAAGGATGTCATGGTTTAGGGTCGAAACATCCGGCGAAGGTTGGAGACCCCTTGATGATGATCGGAACCGACAGCCGAGCACCAAGAGTGGAAGTTACAGATAGCTACAGGCATGCTTAGAGTGCCATCTTCTGAGAGTAAATACTAGTATGAACAAAATGTAAAATAGGAGGTGCCAAATGGCATTATGGAATAAAGAATATGTGAAAGTATCATTATTCAGTGGTATAGGAGGAGTTGCGGATAAGATATGGGTACCTTTCAATTATAGAAATAATGGCCTTATCCATGTTTTGCTCTGGGAAACCCAAAATATGTGTTCGATCAAAAAGGTAAATAGGAGGTGCACAACTGCACTATGTAACAAAGATTCTGTAAAACTTTCACAGAATCTTTGTTAAATAGTGCAATAGCGCACCTCCTATTTTACTTTTTCATTAAATTTCATTAAAAGAGGAGTTGGGATAAGAGATGGGTACTCCAAAGCGTAACAGACGGACAGACATGCAGACGGACAGATATCCCGATCACTATAAACCCTCCGACTTTTCAAGCAGGGGGTATAATTATTATTATTATACTTCTGTTAAAATGTTTCCTATATAAAGTTCAGAAGGTAAAATAGCTATCTTTGATAGTCTACACATAGCAAAGCTATACCCTGGGGTATAGTTTTTGCTATCCACCCTCGGAAAATTTTCATGCAATTTTTGCCACCAATTTTGATTTCCAGCGATAAATCTATTGACTGATGATGTCATAATGACCTCAGTAGCATTGTGACATCATCATGATGTCAGATTATTCTTGTAGTATTATCTTACTCAAAAATGATTAAAACCTCAAAAATTGTAATTATACATCAGTATAATAAAACACACAAACGTCATATAGCAAAAACATTTTTTTTTTAAATCTAATGTTATGTCGATTTTAAGTTATGGCGGTGAATACAAAACACGTAACAAAATAAATATAAAATATAAAATGGATTTAATACATTTCAAACGGTCAGTTTAAATCCAATTATTTATAACTGAATTCACTTAATTCACAAATAGACTTCT